TGCATCCTCATGGCCCAGTTCCATTTAGTCTCCTCCTCCAGGAAGCCCTCCGGCTGGTGTGAGGTGGTCCCTGCTGCTTTCTCTCTCCCTTCGCTCCAGGTGCCGACGTCCCATAGGGCTTGGTGTCCACCAGGCTGAGCCCCACCTCCACTCTACAGTTTCCCACTGGCCTGCTGGCCCACCCTGAGCCCCTCTCCAGGAAGCCTCTTGGCTCCCACCCACTCCAGCCCCTACTCTCCCTCTGGATCTTCCCTTATGTCTCCGGTATGGGGGTGTACATGCCCTGCTCTGTCTCCTCCAGACTGGGTGTTCCTTTGGATAGAGCCGAGGCCTCTGGCCAGGGGGCAGCATCGCCAAGCCAGCCCAGCACAGAGGAGGATGCCGTAAATATGCTCTGTAAAGGGCGGCTCCAGGGGCTGCAGGCCCGCCCCCCTCCTCTAGGCGGGAGCCATTTCACAGGGAACAGCCGGCGAAGAGGGGCTGAGGGCGGCAGCAGATGGCGCGAGGAGCGGAGGGCCGGGGGCGGGGCCGGGAGAGTTCCGCGTGGGCTCAGCTTCCCGGAGTCTTTGCCTGCGCTGCCGACCTTCCTCACTGCCACTTCACATATTTTTGTATTTTGAGAGCAAATTAAAATTTGCGGATAAATTGGTGGCTATTCTTAACCTCACTAAATCATTGTCTTGGCTCCAATTGACCGAAGCCTCCCCCAGCGCCAGGCCCTGAGCTTGCTACTTGATTCCATCCAGGCCCCTATGTAACTGGGCTGTTTTCCAAATGAGGAAACTGAGGCACAGAGGGATGAAGTCGCTTGGCGGGGGTCACACAGCCCAGATGGGAGGGAGCCGCTCTGGGACATCAGGACCGTCGGGACTTTGGAAGGAAATGGCTGGGATGGGGGAGAGGGGTTGTGTGCAGCTGGTACTCCTGGGTTCAGATCCCGCCTCCTCACTGGTTCACGAGTTAGTGGGGGTGGGGGAGGCTGGCATAAGACCTCATAACAATTGGAGGGAGCAGAAGGAGACCCTAACGGTGGTGATGGTGGTTCCTGGGTCTATGACCGCTTGCCCTGAGTGATAGTGAGCTCTCCGTCCCCAGCGGTATTCAAGCAGACAGGGAGACCTCAGGGTGGCAGGTCAGCCTCCTCGCATCTTGAATGTCTCGGTTTTCTGAGCTCAAGGTAGTTGGGGTCAGGCCTCAGGGCGACGCTCTACCCCCGGACCCTCCTCTTCCCCGGCGGGGCGGGGGCGGCGGCGGGTGCGTGTGTGGTGGGGGAGACCCTGTCAACCTCTCCCAGCCCCGTCGTCCCGCGCCCAGCACCTTCCGGCCCCCTCCACTTGGCTGCGGGGGCCGCTGACGTCACTGGTTGCCATGGCGAACGCCCAGCTCTGGATGTGGGCAACCCGGAGCCCACCGAGGTAAAAATAGTCCCGTGTCCTGGACGCGCCCGCCTCGGCGCGTGGGGCGGGGTGCTGTCCGGAGACCCGGGTCCCAGCCCTGCCGCCGCCCAGAGACGTGGGCGCCCTCAGGGTCCCCGCCGGTAAACCGCCTGCTGCTCCCGGTGGGTAGCAGGCGGCTCAGTAAACGTGAGTAAAGTTTACCAGGTGTTATGATCGTCCGCGTAGGCCCTTGCTGAGCTCCACAGCAACCCCAAAACAACACACAACAATAGCAGTAATAACGGCTGCTCATTGTTACTCCGTAACCCTGCTTATGTTATCTCCAAGTTACAGATGGGCGCAGGGAGGCGCAGGGAGCCGCAATCACCTGCTCAAGTTCCCGCAGCCGGGAAGAAACAGATAATAGATCTGCACCCACGTCTGAGTGTCCTCAGAGTCTAACCTTGTACTGCACAGCCTTTTGAGAATTTAGAAACCCTCTTGGCAAGCCAAATTTGAGAGGGGACTCTGGGGTCACAGTGGACCCCAAGCACAGGGCTTTCTGCCCTGTATGTGGTGAGGGCACCCAGAGTTCATGAAGGTCAGCTTGCTGAGCGCTAAAAGAGTCTTCAGTTGGGAGTGGCCAGTCAGCGCCCCCACACCCCACCTGTGCCCAGGACGCACACTTGCACGGGTTCTGCCGAGGGTGAGGGGGGATGGCTTTCAGACCCAGGAGAGGGCAGGGTGAGGAGGACTCGGGAAGCTCCCTTTCCTCAGCCGCTTATTAGTATTTAGCCACGACTGACACTTCTTCACAAATATACCTAATTTGGTTTTTTTTTTTTTTTTTTTTTTTTTGTGAGGAAGATCGTTGCTGAGCTGACATCTGTGCCAGTCTTCCTCTATTTTGTATGTGGGATGCCACCACAGCGTGGCTTGATGAGCGGTGTGTAGGTCCATGCCCGGGATCCGAATCCCCAAACCCCGGGCCACTGAAGCAAGCACATGAACTTAAGCACGACACTGCCAGGCTGGCCCTAATTTGTTATTTTAAATAATGAAGTCATTTTAATGCAAGTAGGGTGGGAGCAAGTAGGGAGGTAGATTGGGAGTCTGGGGGGCTTCCAAGATGAAGGGGTGCTTCAGTTGAGACCTGAGGGATGAGCTGCAATAACTAGCACTGGAGTTGAGAGAAGGCAGTCCTGGCAGAGGACACAGCTGGTGCAAAGGTCCTGAGGCAGGGCTGAGCCCAGTCTGTTGGGCACGCAGAAAGAAGGTATTGACTTGGAACAGGGTGAGCAAGGGGCCCTCTCGGGGGCACAGCAGGTGGATGGAGGGCCTGGGATGTGAAGGGCTTGTCTCCTTGGGAATGACCCCTGTTTTCCTCTCATTTCAGAAGGAGCTGAGCCTGCCTCGCCGCGGACGTGGGTGAGTTCACCTGGGGCTGGTGGGCCAGGTGGGGACCGGTGGTCCTGGGAACAGATATTCCAGCAGCCCTCTGAATTGTGAATTTATTTAAGAATTACAGCAAAGCTTCTCCCCTCAATCCTGCCCCTGGTGTTTGCAAAGCGTTTCACTGTGCCTCCCTTGGCCCTCCCTGCAGGCTGGGTGGCCCATGCCGGTTTGCAAATGAGGAGACTGAGGTGCCAAGGAGTTGCATCACAGGGCACCCAGCTTGGAAGGGAGAAACATGTCTGGCATCCAGAGTCCAGACCATAGAATTCCAGCCAGGTACCCTGGAACCAGCTTGCATGCCTCCTATGATGGGGAGCTCACTCTCTTTCAGGGAACACGGGTAGAAAATCATATCCTTCAGTGTCACGTTTGCATTCCTGTAGGTTGGCATATTTGGATCGCAAAAGCTCCAAGGACATTTTGTTCGAAGACTTCCCCGGGTCCCAGCAGGCAGCCAGAGCTCCGGGGTGGGGGCGGGCTCGCCTCTGCTGGTGCTCTGAGGTGTCAGTGCCCACACCCCCTCTTTGGGGGCTGCCGTTGCCTGAGTTGGGGTGGGAATTCTCTTGCCCCTCAGTACAGTCACTCAACAGACTTTTTCTGAGCGCCTTCCTTCTGTGTGCCGGGCCCTGTTCCAGGCACAGAGCACATGGAGAGAAGTCAGTGCAGGAGCCTGCCACCGGGCCGTGCTCTCGGGGCAGTGATGGTGAAGCAATGTGACTCGGGGAAGAAAGTGGAGAGAGACAGACAGCGGGCTGGGAGGTGGCTTTAACCCTGAAGATGTGGGGCCCATGGAGGAGGTGACATTTGAGATCTGGAAGAGGAGGAGGAGGCCGGGGGGGGGGGGGGGGGGAAAGTCTGGGGTGGGTGGGGGCACGGCATTCCAGGCAGAGGGAACAGCATGGGCAAAGGTCCTGAGGTGAAAACCAGCTTGGCCTTGGAAGACCAGCATGGAGACAGGGGTGGCTGGAGTGAAATAAACACAGGCGAGGCGAGGGAGAGGAGAAGGGGGAGGTCCTGAGGGTCAGATGAGAGTTTGAAATCCGATGGTGGAGATGGGGTCAGAGTGGCCCCCAAGCCCAGACCATCTTCCGTTGTTGGACACGGGGTAGTGCAGCTGGCAGGGCGGAGCCTGAGGGCGGGGCGGGGCTCGGACGATGCCCAGGGGGCGGGCGCTGTCCGCGGCCTTTGCCCAGGCGGGGGGCGGGGCGGGGGCGGGGAATCGGTCGTAGGGCAAAGTCCCGGCCACGGGGCAGCGCGGACAGACACTCCCTGAGGGCCGTCTGCTTCCGGCCCCCCGCCGGTGCTTGACTGCGTCCCCCAGGGGGCTCAAGGAAGACACAGCCACCCGGATCTTCGGATCTTCGGGGGCCGCTGGACCGGGCGGAGGGAGGGCGGCGCCCCTCTGGGAGGCCGGGGGCGTGGCCGGGGTCGGGGGCGCTGGGGGCCGGGCGCAGCAGCTTCGGCGGCCCTCCCCGCAAGAGGCTGACCCCGCGGCTCCAGCCTCCCGCCGCCGACCCCTCCTGCCGGCCGGGCCTGCGCGCAGGTGCGGGGTTCAGAGCCCCGCCCCGAGCCGGGGAGAGCCCGCCCCCCGCGCCCCCGGCGGCCCAGCCCCCGCGCCGCCCCGCCCGGCGTGCTGGCCCCGCGTCCACGTTTGTCCCTCTGTCCGATCGCGCCACGTTCCGGGCTTGGGGGGCTCAGTACTCAGCCGCGTAGACACGGCCCCGGCCTCGGCATGAAGTCCCGCAGGGACAAGCTGCACATCCCGGCGCTGACCCTCGAGTGAGTGCTTGGCCATGGACGATGGGGCGAGTGGGGGGAAAGAGGCGCAGGCCGACAGCCACCCTACCCCCGCGTCTCTGTTCAAGTGGCCCAGAGTCGCACCGCCGCCTCCGGGGAGCCCTCCTGGATCATCGGTCTGGCCCCGCCCTCGAGGCCTGCGCGAGACCCAGAATCCTGGGCCTTGGGCCCCTTCTTCCAGAGGGAACCGCAGCCCTGGTCCAGTCTCCAGATTCGGCCACATGCGGGGACCGCTGCCAGGTTCACAGTCCTCGGCCTCTTTCTTTGCAGTCTGTCCCCGAGCAGCCAGAGCCCATCCCTGCTGAGCCCCAGCAGCCCCTGCAGCCCCTGCAGCCCCTCCCTGGGCCTGCACCCCTGGAGGTAAGTGACAGCACCCGGGGCGGGCACCGACGTCGCCCTGGCACTCCAGAGCCTTGGAAGGTGCCCAGACCCCGCTCCACCCCCAAGGTACTGTGGGCTGGTGACAGCGCCTCTCTGGGCCTCAGTTTACCCCTCTGTAAAGTGGCACTGCCGTCCACAGTAGGGCCATGATGGAGAAGCCCCATGTTCAGGCGTAACCAGCAGGGCTCGCATCTGACGGGGCCACGGTGAGACCAGAACTTGAGCCCCTGCCCAAGGACTTCCCCGAGCCAGGTGCTGGGTTCCCAGCCTGCTGGGGCTCTCCCTGCCAGTCAGCCGGCCGCCTGCCCGCTGTGACCTCAGGGGTGCCCCTCCCTCTGAATGTACCCCCCCCCCCCCCCGAGGCTGAGTCCACCCTAGGCCTCCGCGCACTGATCCTAACCAGGCGCTGTGGTGCAGGGAGAGAAGACCCAGCTTGACTGAGCGCCAGCTGTGTACCCAGTGCCTTCTGTCCCTTCTGAAACCCTGGGAGGAAGGCATCCTTCCTCCCCATTTCCCAGGAAACTGAGACTCTGAAAGGAGGTGCCACTTCTCCTGGATCAGCACGTTTGGGGGCCAAGCATCAGGGCCAGCTTGGCCACCAGAGTCTCTTGAGGGTTTGAGCCACCCTCTGTGACTGGCAAGCCACAGGGGGGAATATCATGGGCTTCTCGCACAGCTTGGGTAAAAGTTCAGGGAAGGGACAGGTCCATGGGTCAGTGACCTCTAGAATTTGATGGCCCATCAATCGTTTACACCTTAGTATGAATGAGCTGCTCAGTCTCTTCCTACAGGCCTTTAATGGGGAGAAGAGAGAACAATTTGGAGCCCACACTGGGTGCTGGGCAAGAGGCAGATACCTTCATCAGGTAGGCACCTACTATGTGCCAGGTGCTACGGGCATAGCTATGAACAAGATCAACATGGGCTCTCAGTCAGCTCTCAGGAAGTGGGCAATGAACAGGTCAACAGACAAACAAGGTACATGCGACAGGGACCTCTTTGGGGAGGTGATGGTTGAGCCAAGGCCTGGTCAGAGCTATGGGAAGAGAGGTACTGGACAGAGGGAACTGCATGTGCAAAGGTCCTGAGGGAGGACTGAGGTTTTTCAATGCTCTGTGGCTGCCTCGGGGGAAGAAAGGTCTGCTGAGGACAAGGGACAGGAACGGAGCTGGCAGAGGCAGGGAGGTAGCTAGGGCAACATCTGGGTAGGAGATGGTGGGGCCTGGACCAGGTCCGGGTGTCCAACAGGAGGCAGGGCCTGCTGTCGCCTCCATGTAGCAGAGGAGGAAACTGAGCCACGGGACCTCAGTGTGTTGTCCAGGGAGACCCTGGGAGAGAGTGTCAGGCCAGATCTAACTCTGGGTCCTTGGCTTCAACCCCAGGGGAGAACAGGATGAGGGGAGGGGCCTGGCGAGAGTGGCTGAGTCAGTTGTTTTACCAGTAGGAAATGGGGGTTTGAGTGTTTGGGGCTCTAACAGAGGCCTCTCCTCTGGGCCACCTCACTTGCCACAAGGGGGCAGCAGAGCCACATCACCTTGGCCAAGGCAAAGAAATGGGCCCCTCCCCCACCTGCTGTAAACTCCTGAGGAATAAGCCTACACTTGTCCCCCAGCCTCCAAGGACCTGTGGGTCAGGCCCTGTGGGTCCAGCCCCCTTGGTCTGGCCCTTGTGACCCCCCTGCCTCCTCCTCATCTATTTCCCCATCGCTCATTTTGCTCTAGCCCTGTGCTTCCTGGGCTGCTGGAATGCAAGCTGATTTGGCCTCAGGGCCTTTGCACTTGCTGTCCCCTCTGCTCAGAGCTCCATTGCCTCCTTTCTTCGTTTGTCAAATTTCCATCAAGCCCTCAGATAGGAAGCCTTCCCTGACCACCAAGCCCCTTTGAGGGTGTCCCAGGCCCCAGTGACATCCATTACCCTCCACTTCCTTCATCTGGACCCCATCCAGGGTGTTAGTTCCACATTTTCTTGTGTGATTATTGGTTTGTTTTCCTTGGCCAGAGGTTTCTCACCCTTTGAGGGCCAGACCTGGATCTGTCCTGGTCATCCTATATCTTCATTCAGGGCCTGGTATGCAGCAGGTGCCCAGTTAATGCTTGTGGTATGGACAAATGGGAAGCAGCTGGGAGGGCGCTACCAGTGGTGGTGGTGGGAGTTGAAGAAGGTCGTCAGTTGGGCCCACATGGAGGAGGGAGCGACAAAGAGGCTGTTCCAGGCAGGAACAGCATTGCCAGAGGAGTGTTGCCTCCGGGGCCTTCCACGCCAAGGGCAGGAAGAATTTGGATTTTCTACTGAGGGCCCTGGGAGCCACACAGGGTATGGGGCTGGGAGGGGCATGCACGGCCCAGGGGCAGGCAGGAAGGGCTGAGGCCGGGGGTGGGGGTCTGTACACCCAGTGGGGCTTTTCCGTTTACACAGTCACCAGCACAAGCAGAGCGAGGCAAAGCCCGCGTCACAGGCGGTCAGGACCCGAGCCCTGGACGGGGGTTCACCCAGAGCGCAGTTTGGCTGTCACGGCAGTGAGGAGCCGCGGAGGGGGTGTGAGCAGGGCAGGGCGGGACGGGGCGGCCAGTGGGCGGGGCCAGAGGCCGGCGGCGCGGCTTTCGCGGGAGGCCTTTGCCGGCCGGCCGGCAGCCCGGTTGTGCAGGGGAGGAGCCTGAAGCCAGGTGGGCGTGGGAGGGGCGCTGCTGGGGGCGCGGCGCGGGGCGGGGCCGCCGGGGATGCGTGCGGCCGCTCCTCTGCCCACTGTGTGCAGAAGTGTCCCCCGCACAGGAGCTCGTGGGCAGAGCACGTAAGCAAATGGTGACACAGGATCGCGGCTTCCTCCCGACTCGGGTCCCCAGACCCGCGGGACCTTGAATTCCTCCCTCACGGGAGGCTGTGTCGCCTGCATGTGGCTCAAGCTGGACACAGGAGGGTCACAGGTGACCGCTCCCATCCTCATGTCCACACCTGACCCCTCAGCAGGGCCTGTCCCTTGGCCTCAAAACAAGTCTAGGATCCGCTCACTTTCCTCCACAGCCCCGCCCTGGTCCAGGCCCAGCCTCCCCGTCCCAGACCCTGTTGGAGCCCCTCGATAGCCTCCTGCCACCTCCACTCCTGCCCCTGACAGCTCCTGTTCCCCGTGTCAGATGTGGACATGGGTTTAGGGACATAGGCCAGGTCACACTCCTCCCCTGCTCCCACATCCTCCGGCTCTGGCTCCACATTGCTCCTACGGTAACACTGCTCTCCTCCCGGCAGCCCCCGAGGCCTGCATGCTCAGCCCTCCTGGCATCTTCCCCTCAGAGCTGCCTCAGGGCCTTTGCACAAGCTGTGCCTGGGACACTCCTCCATGGCTGGCTCCTTTTCCTTCTCAGCGTCTGGGCTGGCTGCAGTGTCACCTCCTCAGAGAGGCCTCCTGGCTGGCGTCATCCTCTGCCAGTGTTACCCTGTTCTTTTCCTTCCTTGATTTGAGTGTTTGAAATTAACTTGCTCATTTACTTGTTTTCTGTTTACTTTCTGCCTCCCCCACCAGACTGGGGGCCCCTGAGGGCAGAGATTATTGGTGACCTGTTCCCACTGGGTCCCCAGGGTTCAGCACAAGGGCAGGCACACAGTAGGTACTCAATCTGTGTCTACTGAGTGAATGAATGGCCAAATATGAGCACTTGGGCCCCAGTCTGGGGCACCTGGAGAGCATTCCTGGGGAGACATCAGGTGTCTGGGCCACAGGATGGGGCACCTGAGGGTGGCAGTGGGCGTGGAGGGGACAGGGTGGGGAGTCTGCAAGAGTCTCGAGAAGCAAAATGGGTGGAGGAGGGATGGGCAGGGCAGGGCTACACACTGGGTGGCAGCACCTGTTCGTGCCTCAGTCGCCTCTTCTCAGATTCGGGGTCTGGGCTCCAGCGTCAGTCCTGGGCCTGTTCCCGAAGTGTCGCGTGGCCTGTGAAGGGGCCGCTCTCAGGGCGACTCCGTCCCTGCCTTGCTGGAACTGTCGTGAGAAGGGGGAGCGTTCGTTCACTGCCGCCCGTGTGAGGCCGTCCTCCTCCGAGAGTGAGCACTGCCGCGCCGGCCCTGTCCCGGGCCCCGTCTGCCCCTCCGATTCTGCTCCGTTTGCACGAAGCGCCCCCTGTAGGTGGGGAAACAGGCCCGGCACTCAGCCTGGTGCTAACACTGTTAGCCAACTGTTGACAGGCACTGTTGGCAGCGCCGCCCCACATCTAACTCGGGTCGGCCCCGGTCTCCTCCCATTTTGCAGTGAGGAAGACTGAGGCTTGAGAAGTGAAATCAGGCGTCTGACTCCTGACTGCAGCCAGGGTGATGGCCTTTCCCGTCACACAGACAGGGGGCGCGTGTCAGATGCCCCGACTCAGAGCGCTAAACGCGCCCTCTGTGCCAGGCCAGTGCTAGGAGATGCTGGGACCCCGAGGAGCCCCAGTGTAGGGAAGACAGAGCCGGACACCGGAGAAACTTCCTGGAGGAGGCGACGCTGGACTTTGCGAGGCAGGAAGGGCATTCCAAGGAGCGGGTGCGGTGGCGTGAGCCGAGCCGGCCGCTGGATGGGTTTTGAGTGCCGCCCTCAGAAGGGGTCAGCGCCGTGGGAGAGAGAGGGGCGTAATCGGATTTACCTCGGGAGGGACGCGAGCCGACTTCCGCAGCCCAACTTCGCGGAGCTGCCGCCCCGCCCCGCCCCGCCCCGCCCCGCCCCCCGCCCGCGGCCCTGGCGACGCCCCGCCCCCCGCGGCCCTGGCGATGCCCCGCCCCCCGCCCGCGGCCCTGGCGACGCTCCGCCCCCCGCCCGCGGCCCTTGGAGACGCCCCGCCCGCGGCCCTGGCGACGCTCCGCCCCCCGCCCGCGGCCTTGGAGACGCCCCGCCCCCCGCCCGCGGCCCTTGGAGACGCCCCGCCCCCCGCCCGCGGCCTTGGAGACGCCCCGCCCCCCGCCCGCGCGGGTCGGCTGGCCTAGCTTCCGCGTCGCTCGCCAGGCCCCGCCCCCGCGCGCGCCTGGGCGGGGTTCCCGGCGGCGCCCCGGGCGCGCGTTTCCTCCTCGCTGCGACCCCGGCCCGGCGGCGCCCCCCCCGCCCCGCTCCGCCGGGCTCCCGGGCAGGTCCCGCTGTGGGGGTTCGCGCCCCGCCGCCGCCGGCTGCGCCCCCGCGCCTCCCGGGCCTCGGGCGGCGGCGGCGGCACAAAGGGAAGCAGGATGTCCGACCCCAGTTACTGGACGGCAGTGGCGGCGCCCGGCCACCGGAGCCGCCTGGCCAAGGGCGCGCTGCTGCAGCGCTCCAAGAGGTAGGGGCCCCGCGCGGGCAGAGGCGCGGCGGCCGGCCAGCAGACACGAGTTGCCAGAAGTGCGTCCCGGCGGCGTGGCGAGGGCCACTGTGCGCGGCGGGAGGGGAAGGGGGAGCGCGCTCTGGGGTCAACGGATCCCCTGGGGTCCCAGGCACTCTCCTTTTGCCTCTCGTTACCCGGACCGGGGTGTCTGTCTGTCGGAGTCGCAGTCGCGGTGGTGACAGAGGCAGCGGGGAATTGGGACTGAGTCAGGATTCGAACCTGGGTCTCTGGGGCTGGACAGACCTGGGGAGGAGCTTTGTGGAAAAACTGAGGCTGTTCTGTCCCCGGGGCCCAGTCAGCGGAAATGTTGGTTCAGAAGCAAATATTTGTTGCAGGAGGCTGACTGCACGTGGGTGTCAGGAGCACAAATCCCGGTGTTTAACCCAGAGCAAAGACTCTTGGAGTTTCAGTTTCCCCTTCTGAAAAGCAGAGAGGCTAAGCAAGGGCTGTGGGCTCTACCGGATCTGGGTTCAAATTCCAGCTCAGCCATGCCAGACTGTGTGACCTCAGGCAGTTTCTTAACCTTTCTGTGCTTGGGTGTCTCATCGGTGCTGGCCTGGAGCATTCCCAGAGGGGAGCACAGGCAAAGGCTGGGTGGTGGGACCAGCTGCTGAAGGGCCTTGAGTGCTCAGTCCAGGGCTTAGACTCTTCTCCCAGATCCTGGGGAGCAAAAAGGGCTCATGGACCCCTCAGGAATTGGGTGCCAGAAGCTGGTCTCTTGCTCCTCTTTCTTGTCAGGTTCTCATTTTCTGTTGACCACACCAGTGGTTACTGAATGGCCCTGCAGCTTCTCAGGGTCCTGGGCCTCCTCCAGGCAGGGCCCAGCGAATAGTCTTGGGAAGTGAACAGATCATGCCTGGTCCCCTTTGAGATCTCAGATTTCGTCGTTTTCAAGAAGGCCCCTCCTGAAAGCAAGAGAGATGGCCAAGTGTTTTTCCTAAATGCAGCTGGAAGTGGAAAATGATGCAGTGGGTGCAGCCTGGGGCCGAGGAGTCCGGTGCGGGCTGGGAGAGGATGTAGGGCTGGCGGGTGTGTGTAGGGGGTGGGCAGGAAGTTTTGCAGGAACCTGTGGGTTTCACTTTTGCTTCTGCACCTCAGACTAGAGGACAGTCCCTGTGGCTGTTGACATCTGTGGTCTCAGTTTCCCAGGCTGGGAAGTGGGTGCAGCTGGTCTGCCACCTCCGGGCTTGTTGGGATTGGCAAATGGCCGGGATGTCATTCACTGGGAGGCACTGCCTGCCCTCCCACCGTGCGTGCCAGGCTCTGTGAGCCTGGTTGGGAGAAAGATGACAACATCCGTACCGGGTGCCAGGCCTGAAGCTGAGCGCTGTGTATGGGTTTCGCCGAATCTTCCCAGCACTTCACAAGGGAATCAGGTAGAGAAACCGAGGCTCAGTGAGGCAGCCGCACATGGAGCCGTGGACAACCTCCTCCCTGCCGCCTTGTCGCCTGGGTCGTTAGCTGACCGTACCTCCCACGCCGTGGCCTGCACTGTGCTTTCTGCCTGGGACAGCCTTCCCGGCCCTGTGAGGCCCGCGGTTCTGGCTTCCCTCCCCTAGCTGGTCCCGGTCTCCCGCGGCTGAGCTGCGTTGGCGGCTGGGGCGTGTGGGCTGATGCACTTGTCGAGCAAGCGGAGCTGTTGCTGGGCGACGGCTCTGGGGGGTGGGAGGGGACAATGTGCTCCTAACTTCCCTCTGCCTGGGCCGGGGCCTGGGCCAGGGCGCAGGTGGGAGAAGCTGGGGAAGGGTGGGAGTGGCCTGGGCCAGGGGTCTGGCAGCCTGAAGAGAGCCGGGATCGAGGGAGGAACATGTGTGGGAGGAGTTTGGAACAGGAAGGACGGGACCCAGCTGTCAAGGATGTCGACTTCAGGGTTGTTAAGGGTCAGGCTGGCATTTTAGGGGGATCTTGGGGAGGGAGGTTGCCAAGAGATTGGGTCAGTGGCCCTGGGAAAGGGGCATGGAATGGAGTGGGGGCCTGCCCAAGCCCTATGTGGGCTCGGAAGTCCTCTCCATCCTCTGCGTTATTTGCCGGTGCCCCTGGTAGCAGCCCGCATGGGCACAGGTGTGGGGTTGAGAGGGAGAGCAGAACAGCCTGCAGCCGTGTCAGCGTCCAGCAGGGGGCTGGCAGCGCTTCGTGCCGCTGCTGATGGGAGCAGTAAGAGCAGTGGTCCTAATAACGGGCCTTGAAGACTGGGCCAGGGGCTGGGGACAAGTCCGGGGGAGCAGAGAGGGGGGTCGTGCCAGGTGCTTGGCCCACCCCACAGCCACATATGTGCTCCGGCCTGAGCACGCGGCCCTCTGAGCCCGGGGCCTGGGCCCTCCTGACCTTGTCACTGCCTCCCCCTACAGCTGCCGCAGCGGGAGCCGCAAGAGCCTGGTGGTAGGAACGCCCTCGCCGACCCTTTCCCGGCCCCTGTCGCCTCTGTCGGTCCCCACCGGTGAGCGCTGAAGCAGGCGGGTGGCGTGGCGCCCTGTCTCTGCTCCGCTGACTCAGTTTCCCCTCCACTTCCTCAGCAGGCAGCAGCCCGCTGGAGAGTCCTCGGAACTTCTCGGCTGTATCTGCTGTCAGCTTCCCCTTTGCCCGGAGGTGAGTGGTCGCGGCCTGCACGGTGGCCCGACCTGCCTCCTCACTCGCCTTCTCCCTCCCGGCCCCAGCCTGCGTGCTCTCTCCCTCTGGCGCCCACCCCCCGCGCGCCTTCTGTAGCCACATCCCCAGCGGACAGCCAGTCTGTACGTGTCCTTGGGGAGGAGGCGGGGGGCATGGCCTGGGTAAGAGTCACTGGTTCACTAAAAGTCATTAATTCACTTCACAAGAGCTGGTGGAGGATCTGTTATGTGCCGGGCATTTAAATGTCACTTATTCGTTCAACGACATTTATTGAGCACCTGCTGTGTGCCATGCCCTCTGCTGAGGGGTGAGGGGCAGGACGCTGGACTTTGGCCCTTGGGGAGTTCTCTGACTGCGGGGCAGCCAGCGTGTACCTCAGCAGCCGAGGCTCAGAGAGGTCACAACCTTGACGAGGGATGCGCTGGCAGCTGGAGTCAGGGAGGACTTCCTGGAGGAGGCATGGAAGGACGAGAAGGAAACGTGTGGTGGACTTGCTCACGCTGAATCCTTGTTCTTGGCCTTGGAGAAGGTCCTTCCTGTAGTGGGGCCAGAATCAGCCAGCCACAGGGTCCGCCCTTTGTCCCCACACCCTGCGGGCACCGTGCCTTCCTTCCAGCTCTTCTGGCTGTCCTCTCCAGGGCCGATGGCAGAAGATGGTCCCTCGCATCCCTCCCGTCTTCTGGCTATGGAACCAACACGCCCAGCTCCACTGTCTCGGTACCCACAGTCCCAAGTTGGTGGGCGGGCACGAGGTGGCAGGGGCGTGTGTTTGTTTTTTCCCAAAGTATCTGATAATTGTCTAGTCAGCACACATCTTGGCTTCTCCCTCTCTGCCCCATTCTGGGCAATGTGGAGGTCCCTGAGAGGACTTAGCCTCAGCCGCAAGGAGCCCTCAGCCTGGGATACACAGATATCTCCAGCCTGTGGGATCAGGACCTGGACAGAGCAGGTCTGCCAAGGGAGCAGGCAGGGAGGGCTTCCTGGAGGAAAGGGCATCAGAGCTGGGGTTTTGAGGAATGCATAGGAGCCAGGCAGGAGAGTGTTACTGTCTGATGACCTGCAGGCAGCCTGGGCATTGAGGGGTGATCCTGGAGTCCTGGCTGTGGCACTAACTGTGGCCCTGACACCCCTCCTGCTAGTCGAGCTCATCCTCCCGGGAGCGCCTCCACCAGCTTCCTTTCCAGCCGACAGCAGACGAACTGTGCTTCCTGTCCAAGCATTTCCGCAGCTCAGAGAGTATGGCTGATGAGGAGGGTGGCCACTGCTCACCCCGCCTGCGCCCCCGCTCCCGCAGCCTCAGGTGGGCCTCGACCTCTGGCCCCAGCCCTTCTGGGTTGCTTTGGGACCCATGCCGGGGCTCCTTCTCCACTCTGTCCCTGACCCTGCCCGAGCCTGTCCTCTGGCCCTTAGCCCTCAGCCCTGGCCCAGCCCTCCTCCCCTGTGCTGGGTTTTACGTCCCATGTCACAAGCCAACCATCCCCCTTTCAGCCCGGGACGCACGACGGGGACCTTCGACAACGAGATCGTCATGATGAATCATGTGTACCGGGAGAGGTTCCCCAAGGTGGGCCGCGCCAGCGCTGGGCTGGCCTTCCTCCCTCCACCTTGCTGTCCCTCTCTGTGGGACAGACGGGCATGCTCTCTCTTCTTGGCTGTGTCCCGCCTCCATCGTTCTGTCGGTTTCTGCCTTTCACTGCCTTTCTGTCTCAGACGCCCCCCCACCGTCTGCGCACGTGGCTCCCCGAGTCCTCCAACCTCCTCGGCCCAGCATCACATCCCGTCTCTCCCCAGCCGTCCCTCCCGCCCCACCTGGGCATGTTGCGCCCCCCGCCCGTCCAGTGACCGGGCTGCCTGTCCCCTCCCCCGCCCAGGCCACGGCGCAGATGGAGGGCCGGTTGCAGGACTTCCTCGCAGCCTTCTCACCTGGCGCCCGGCTGGCGCTGGCGGACGGCGTCCTGGGCTTCATCCATCACCAGATCACCGAGCTGGCCCGCGACTGCCTGGCCAAGTCGCGCGAGGCACTCGTCACCTCTCGCTACTTCCTGGAGATGCAGGAGAAGCTGGAGAGGCTGCTGCAGGACGTGCGTGGGGGTTCGGGGCTGGGGGCTCCGGGTAGGCGGGGTGGGGCCTGTGGGTGACGCCCCACCCGCCCGCCCCCAGGCCCACGAGCGCTCGGACAGTGAGGAGGTTGGCTTCATCGTCCAGCTGGTCCGGAAGCTGCTGATCATTATCTCGCGGCCGGCGAGGCTCCTCGAGTGCCTGGTGCGTCTCTTCACACATGGCTGGGTGCGGGGTCGTGGCAGAGCTGAGAGCAGGTCCTCAGTGATCCTGCTGGGATACAAGAGACAGTTCCCATCGTATAGCACTTTCAGAGGGACACAGGGTGCTGCCAGGCTGGGGCAGGCTTCTTGGAGGAGGGACTAGGAGCTGAGACCCAGGGGACAAGTTGGAGCTCCTGGTGAGGGTGCTCCAGGCAGAGGGAATGGCATGTGCAAAGGCCCTGAGGTGGCACCAAGGCCCGGCTGATGTGCCCCTCTGCACCCCCAGGAGTTTGATCCTGAGGAGTTTTACCACCTGCTGGAGGCTGCTGAGGGCCAGGCCCGCGAGGACCAGGGCATCAAGACAGACCTGCCACGGTACATCATCGGGCAGCTAGGCCTGGCGAAGGACCCCTGTGAGGGTGAGCTGGGGCAGGGTGGCGGAAAGAGGAGAACCAGGGAAGGCTGGGTCAGGGCGGCAGAGAGAGGGGACCGAGGGGAGGCCAGGGTGGGGTAAGATTCCAGCCCAGGCACATCCGACTCCAGAGCCGCCATGCTGTCCTCTGCACTCTGCGGCCTGGCCCTCAGCCACCTGCGGGCCACTGTGGGGATGGCCCCAGGATTCTGGGGTCAGCAGCTGGGCAGTCGGGTGCCCTGAGCTGCTAGAGTCTTGGAGCCTCAAACAGCAAGTCGAGATGGGCCAGGATGCCAGGGGACCACCATTAACAGTGGCTTCGCATGGTCCTGCACATTCACAGAGCGCTGTCCCCGTTTCACGTGACATGGCCCAGGAGGTGGACTCAGATGGGACAGGGCAGTGTGGGCGCGGCCGCACAGGTCGGCGCTCCCCCAGACAGCCGGAACAGGGCACCGAGATGCGGCTCTCGAGGAGATGGAGCTTGGGCCTGGCCCCGTCCGGGGGCAGTCGGGGAGGCTGGGAAGAGAGACCGTTCATGCTGGGGCTGGAGGAGCGAGAGGGTGACCAGCAGGAATAGCAAAGGCCCTGAGGGGAGCCTGTGCCCGGGGTGTCGGAGCAGCAAGCTGGGCTGTGGCTGGAGTGGCGGGAGGCAGAGGGGCAGCAGGGCCTGGCCACAGTGGCCAGTGTCCACCAAGTGCTGTGTTGACCCTGGGACTAGACTGCCATTGTCCCCATTTAAAGCTGGAGAGACTGAGGCTCCGGGCAGAGGAGCAGGGGTTCAGACCCAGGTGTGCTGAGGCCACACCACTGGTGGACTGGCCGTGTGGCCGCCACTGTCTTCCTGTCTATTCAGGGAAGATAACGCGGGTGGCACTGTGGGTGGCTCTGGGTGTCAGAGGAAGCAGGAAGGGTCCAGGCAGGTGGCAGCTGAGTCTGTGGGGGCAGATCATCTGTCTGGCACCCTGGGGGAGGCCCACTGAGGGTAGAGGGGCTGTATTCGAACCTGGGTCTCCTTCACTCCCGTTCCAGCCGTGCTCCGTGACCACGAGACACTGGCTTCACTGCCACCATCACGGTTCGCTGGCTGCTCTCTCGGGGCCGCCCCTCTGCAAAGCCCTGGGGCCGGAAAATGAGGGGGCTCCTGCCGGCCATGACCTGAGCTGAGGAGGATGTTAGGAGCCAAGACCCAGAGGGCGTGCGTCACAGCTCATGCCATATGCCTGAGGCTCGGAGCCAGGATGGCGGCTGAGCAATCTGGAGCCTGGGCTTCCCACCAGCCCTTCTAGAAGGTTCCTCAGGTATTGCTCAGTCCAGCCTGCTGGGTCTGGCGGAGACCTGGACACAGTAGGGAGTCAGTGACAGCATCACAAGAGCTGGTCAAGGGAGGCCCTGTGTCCCCAGCCCAGGATGGGCCCTGGAGGCCTCTGGAAATCTCTGGGTGATGGAAGGGCAGGGCGTGGAGGTCCCATTCAAGGCGCCTCCTGCATCTTGCAGAAATGGTGCCTCTGAGTCACCTCGAGGATGGAGGACAGCCACCTGCGCCCGAGTCCCCAGAGGTGAGTTACTGAGCTTTGGCGCCTCCACCTGTCTTGTTCTTTTCAAGGTAGACCAGGCGGCCATGGGAGTGGCCGGGTTTGCTGAGGGTTTGCACATAGTAGGTGCTTAATAGATGCCTGTGACTTTGGGGAGAAGGTGGAGGCAAGTCAGACTGCCCTGCTGTGGAGCTTGAGTGGGGCAGGGCTGGAGGGGGCACTGGAAAGAGGAGTTGTGTAGGATGTGCATGAGTTTTCTGGAAGGAAGATGGGGCTTGAGTAAAAGCTCAGAAACTTGGAAGCTGAGTTTGAGAAGTTTAGAGTGAGGAAGTAGCATCAGGCGCCAGGACCGATGGCTGGAACTCGGAGGCGGGAGGAGCCCAGCCCGCTGTGTGGGGCGCAGGATCCTGAGCCCCTCCCGCCCTGCAGAGCCGCGCCCTGGTCGGCCCTTCACGGAGGAAGCCTTGCGAGAGTGACTTCGAGACCATCAAACTCATTAGCAACGGGGCGTACGGGTGAGTCCTCGGGTCCCCCACAGACCCATTTCTCAGATGCCGAGGGGATGGCTGAGGCCCCGGCAGCCCCTGAGTGTGCGGACAGGGAACTGGAGGCCTGCAGAGGTCAGTGGAGACGCCCTCCCCGGCTCGCCCACCGCAGGCCCTTCCCTGCCCCGGCCCAGGGTGTCTGGGCTGAGGAAGACCACATGGTGGCGGTAGCGGGCAGCGAGCCGTCGTGGGTCTGCGTTGGGTAGGAGAGGGGTGGCCAAGGGGCTGCTGCGGCCCGGGGTGGCATGCCGCAGCAGGGCAGGCTCCGGGTCAGACAGTCTGTGGGGCAGCAGCGCCTGGGGTCTTTGGCCCGGGGTGCGTCTTGTCTGTGGCCGGGCGACGTTCAGTGCAGTATCACGGCCGCGCGGAGCCGGCGGGATCTAAGGGCTGAGCGCCGGTCTCTGGGGTCGCTGCCAGCGGCCTTTGAGCTGACGGGTCCCAATCTGCTGCAAAGAAACGAGCAGCCGAGGGGCCGGCTGTGCTCGTTGATGTGACACGAGGAAGGGCAGCTTCAACCCATGGGGCTGCTGCTGTGGGAGAGGGCGTCCCGGTGCAGGGCGTAGCACAGGCAAAGGCGGGCAGGGTGGGCGTGGGCCCGGGCTGGGGCTGGTGCCTGCGGGCCTCGTCTCGAGCCTCACCGAGTCCCCCAGGGCTGTCTACCTGGTGCGGCACCGGGACACGCGGCAGCGCTTCGCCATCAAGAAGATCAACAAGCAGAACCTGATGCTGCGCAACCAGATCCAGCAGGTCTTCGTAGAGCGCGACATCCTCACCTTCGCCGAGAACCCCTTTGTGGTCTGCATGTTCTGCTCCTTCGAGACCCGGCGCCACCTGTGCATGGTCATGGAGTACGTGGAAGGTGCGGCCACTGGGCTCGAGTGCCTCCAGCGGCAGGGAGCTCAGCCTCTACCCGGGCAAAAGCCCCTCCTTTGACGCAGCTGGGGTCTGCTCGGTCTTCCATGGGGTCTCAGTCTGCCCGGGGAGACCCACAGTCTGTGGCGGGGCACCCAGCCTTGGGAGGCAGGGGCTGGGGAAGCCCGAAGAGGAGTGTGAGGATGGGACCGTCTGGGACAGGGAAAGGAAGGACATCCTAGACAGGGGTGCTGGTAGGCGGAAGCCTGGAGCTAGAAGTGAGGTCGGAAGGGCCAGGATGGCTGGAGCCCCAGGATCGGGTTTGCAGTTAAGGAAGGAGCCCCACCTTCAGCGAAGGGCAGAGACCGAGGTGCTGCCGCGCGGGGAGAGGGAGCCTACACTGAGAAGGCACCAGCTGTGTCCAGGGAAAGGGCTGCGTTCGCAAAGCTGCCGCCCTGCCCCGCTCCCCACCTGATTCAGGACACACTGGGGACACTTTGCACCAGGCGAGGGAGGGTGCCTTGGCCCTGGGCGTGGCTGTAGAGCCGGCGGCCTCTGTGAGTGTCTGCCCCGCAGGTGGCGACTGTGCCACGCTCCTGAAGAACATGGGCCCGCTGCCCGTGGACATGGCCCGCATGTACTTCGCCGAGACGGTGCTGGCGCTCGAGTACCTGCACAACTACGGCATCGTCCACCGGGACCTCAAGCCTGACAAGTGAGCGGGCTTGTGGCCTCCGCGGGGCGGGGCCGGGGCCGCGGGGCGGGGTCCAGGGGTGGGGCGGAGCCCGGGAGGGCGGGGCCGGGGCCGCGGGGCGGGGTCCAGGGGTGGGCGGGGCCCTGGAGGCGGGGCCGGGCCGCGGGGCGGGGTCCAGGGGTGGGGCGGGGCCCTGGAGGGCGGGGCCGGGGCCGCGGGGCGGGGTCCAGGGGTGGGGCGGAGCCCGGGAGGGCGGGCGGGGCCGCGGGCGGGTCCAGGGTGGGGCGGGGCCCGGGAGGGCGGGGCCAGGGCCGCGGGGCGGGGTCCAGGGGTGGGGCGGAGCCCGGGAGGGCGGGGCCGGGGCCGCGGGGCGGGGCCCGGGGTGGGGCAGGGCTGGAGCCCCGCCCGTCTGGATGCCGCTGGCGTCATGGGGCACCGGCTGGCAGGACAGCAGGGAGCCTGTGCGTGTTGAGCATCTGGTGTGCACAGGGGAGAGCAGCTGCTTAATGGGCGTCTGCTGCGGCCGGGGAAGGTCTGCCAGGCAGAGAGAGAAGGTGCACTTAGGGTGCGCTAACTGCGCGGGGGAGGGACCGAGCGCTCACAGAGCTGCTGCCACCCAAGGGGAGAGAACACGCACTTGCAAGGCTGGGGTGTGAAGCAAGGACTGTGCATGTCTTGAGCACCTGCTGTGTGTTAGTGCGGGGAACAAAGGAAGAGAACGTGTTTATTGAGAGCTTTGGGATATTTATTTTGTTCTAGTGTCTAGTGAGCACCTACTGCATGCCAGGTCCTCTGTGGGTAACTGGGAGACACAAGTGTGACTGTGAACAATTTCTTATGCTTTGTAACCTATGTAATAGTCAGAGCACTGGCGCCTGCATTTATTGAGCACCTGCTGTGTACAGAGGCAAGGGCTGCCCGTATATTAAGTGCCCCCTGGATACAAGGCAAGAACCACACGTTTCTCAGGGACTTGCCATGCAGCGACGTAAACATGGGTGTTAAGAGCCCTGCATGTTTTGGGGGCATCTTGTAGTTTGTGAGTAGGTTAGAAAACAAAGCAGAGGCCAGCCCGGTGGTGTAGTGGTTAAAATCACACGCTCCGCTTTGGTCGCCTGGGTTCACGTGTTCAGATCCTGGGTGCAGACCTGCTCCACTCAAGCCATGCTGTGGCGGTGTCCCACACAGAAAATAGAGGAAGACTGGCACAGATGTCAGCTAGGGGTGAATCTTCCTCAGCAAAAGAAAAAAAAGCTAAAGCAAATATGTATTTGGCACTTGCTGTATATCTGGGCCTGTGGTGGACACTCTGAGGACACTCTGTGCTCATCAAGCCTCTGTGGATCATCCTGGAGTGGGGCGGGTCTTCCGAGGGTCTTGGGTCAAACCCCAGGGCAGAACCTGCCCCTCCCAAGCTCCAGGCCCTTGTGCGCAGATGGCACAGGAAGCTGTCTGGCCCTGAAGGGTTGAGGGAGGGATAGGCACACACAGTAGGTGCTCAAGAAACATATTTTTTCCTTTTCACTTTGGAAAATTTCAAATACACCAAAAGTCGAGAGCAGGCGTGTTAGTCCGGTAGGGCTCCGTGACAAGGTGTTGTGGACTGTGGGCTCACACAGCTCTGGAGGCCAGAGGCCCAAGGCCAAGGTGTCAGCAGGGCCACACTGCCCCCAAGGTGCCGGGGAAGGACGTCTCCAGGCCCCTCTCCCTGCTTGGGGTGCTTCCTCGGCTGTGGCAGCGTGGCCCTCGTCCTCACGTGGCCTTCTCCCTGCATGCACATCCACGTCCAGGCTGCCGCTTGGCGTGAGGACAGCAGTCCTATCGGATGAGGGCCCGCTGTCTCCAGTCTGACCTCAGCTAGTCCCCTCGGCAAGACCCTGTCTCCGCTCAGGTCGCATCCGCGGTTCCTGGTGTGGGAACCTGAACGTGTGAGTGTGGGCTGCTCAGGCCAGCCTGACAGAAGGGCACCGTGCCCCGTGCCACACTCAGACTCCACAGCTCCCAGCGCTCGGCCAGGCCGGCTTCCTCCCTGTCCCCGTTGTCCCTATAGCTGGAGGATTTGAAGTAAATCCCAGGTATTTCATTTGTAAGAAAGAAAAAAAGGTTTTTTTATGAGGAAGATTAGCCCTGAGCTAACATCTGCCAGTCCTCCTCTTTTTGCTGAGGAAGACTGGCCCTGAGCTAACATCCATGCCTATCTTCCTCTACTTTATACATGGGATGACTGCCACAGCATGATGTGCCAAGTGGAGCCATGTCCGCACCCGGGATCCGAACCGGAGGACTCTGGGCCACCAGATTGGAATGTGCACACTTAACCACTGCGCCACCAGGCCGGCCCCAGAAAAAAATTTTTGAATAGCAGATATAGTCAGCATTCAAGAAATGAATGTTTTCTTCAACTGCTGGTATATGCAGTGGTTGTTCAAGAAACATCCCTTATTTTTGCAAAATAGAGGGTGTGTATAATAGGTGTACAGAATTGTTTCTTTATTGAGTCGAGGTACACAGTAGGTACCAAATAAATGGCTCATCAGACAACTTGGATGTACGCAGTGAGCTCTCCAGAAACTTATTTTTCAGTGGCAGGTGTACCCATTAGTGCAAATATGGCTTTATACAGACGGTGCAGATGCTTCTATCGCTTAACAAGACGTGTGTCTGCTGAAGCTCATGGGGAACCGTGAGCGGCAGCGTCTGTGGTCGGCGGGCGAGTTTAAAAGATGCGTGCACCCGTGAGGTACACAGAAACATTTCTGTACATAGCAGGTGCTCCACACATTTTATTTTTCAACAACGGAAGTAAACAATAGGTGCTCTCAAAGTGTTTAATTTGTCAAAATAGTGGAGGCGTGTGCAAAAATATTCTGGAGACCCCCCAGCAGGTGTTCAGGAGATGTTAAACACACAGTGGGGAGATGCCGTGATGTCAGGAAATTTATTTTTACATGGTGGAGTATACAGTAGGTGCTTCCTAGCAACACCAGATGCACCCAGTAGGTGCACAAAGACATTTGCCAAATGTGCAGTGGTGCCCAAGCCCCTTTGGTTCTTTCTGTAATGGGCCGTGCACAGGAAGGGCTCTCTGCTACCCTGGGCGGGGCCTCCAGTGAGCAAGTTCCGGGGCAGCGGGAGGGGCCCAGCGCCTCAGGTCCCCCGCCCTGAGCGCACCCCCGCCTGCCCACAGCCTGCTCATCACCTCGCTCGGCCACATCAAGCTGACCGACTTCGGCCTGTCCAAGATCGGGCTCATGAGCATGGCCACCAACCTCTATGAGGGCCACATCGAGAAGGACACGAGGGAATTCGTGGACAAGCAGGTGTGTGGACGGGCGGGGCTTGGGGCCACCTCCCGCCATCTGGAGCCTGACCCCGGGCCTGGGGAGACTTTGCAGCAAAAACCGGAAACTAAACTGCCCCTCACAATTCTCACCCTGCCTTCCCTGGCTGGGAGGTGTCCTCAGTTTCCCTCTGCCTCTGCCCAGGTGTGCGGGACGCCTGAGTACATCGCCCCTGAGGTCATCTTCCGCCAGGGCTACGGGAAGCCGGTGGACTGGTGGGCCATGGGTGTCGTCCTCTATGAATTCCTGGTGGGCTGCGTGCCTTTCTTTGGAGATACCCCCGAGGAACTCTTTGGCCAGGTGGTCAGTGGTGCGTGCCCCCTCGTGGCCCCGGGCTCGAGTCTCGACCCCCCTGGGCTCTGGGCAGCCATCTCCCTCCCTGTGCTGGGGAGGGACAGCGCCACGTGTGGATCGGGCACCTGCCATGTGCCTGGCCCCAGCCAGCACTGAGGACGTGGCCAAGGGCAAGACGGCCAGTGAGGAAGATAAATAAGCAAATTAGAGAACAGTCAGAGGCCAAGATGCCCCGGAGGAAAAGGAGCAGGAAGAGGCAGGGGCCGGGCGACCAGACGCCTGAAGGAGCGAGAGGGAGCCGCAGAGGTAGAAGTGGGGAGGCGCTCTGGGCGGAGGGCACAGCCAGAGTCAAGGCTGTGAGGGAGGACGGGGCCTGGTGTGCTGAAGGAGCAGAGGTGGCTGATGGCTTGGAGCACAGGTGTGAGGGGAGGTAGCGGGAGGTGCTGTCCCTGCCCCCTCACTCCTTCCCCTTGTTTTAGATGAGATCATGTGGCCAGAGGGGGATGAGGCCCTTCCAGCTGATGCCCAGGACCTTATCACCAGGCTGCTCCGCCAGAGCCCACTGGACCGACTGGGCACTGGTATGTAGGTGTAGGTGTGGGTGGGGCCCAGGTGGGTGGGATGGGGGCTGAGCTAAACAAAAGTCCTACTTGGGAGGCTGCATGGAAGAGGGGGACTTAGAGTTGGGGTTTTGAAGGATGCATAGGAGTTCGCCAGGAATTAGCACAAGACCTTGAAGGAATAGCAAGTAGCTGAGTCTGGTACAGACAGGGGCCACTGAGGCTGAGCAAGTATATGAGCCTGCAAGGATACTAGGGACTATGTCCTAAGGTCCTCAAAGGCCCAGCGTAGTGGATCCTACTGTCCCAGTTTTCCTAGCTACCTAGAGAATGATTAAGGGACAGTTTGAGACTCCTGCAGCCACCCCTTATGCAGCTACTGTGGGTCCCGTTCATAATGAAGCTTGGCCAGGGGAGGGGACTAGGTGGGCTGAGCCTGGGGAGCAGGACACTCTCACGCCATTGCCATTGGCGCCGCTCCCTGGAGTAGAGGCGTGTGGGGAGGCCAGGAGGGACGCCCTCTGAGGCTCGGGCTTTCCCGAGCTGGAGGGGCCTCCAGATCCAGGGGGGTGGAGCGGGCCCGGGCCAGCCCCTGCGTGGCTCCTCCCCGGCCCTGCGCGGTGCGAGTTTCCCGGCCAGTCCACGGGTCTCAGTGGGCATGTCCGCAGGTGGTGCCCATGAGGTGAAGCTGCACCCCTTCTTCCGGGCGCTCGACTGGGCGGGCCTGCTGCGACACAAGGCTGAGTTTGTGCCGCAGCTGGAAGCCGAGGATGACACCAGCTACTTCGACAGTGAGCGGGCTCTGGCGGGCGGGCTCTGCGGCGGGAGGGGCCTGCCTGGGAGCCTCCGACTCACAGGGTGTCTGCCCACGGCCCCCGGCGGCATTTCCTGGGCATCTGGGTTTGTTAGGCCACACCCTCCGGTTGCCTGAGGGGAAACCAAGGCACTGAGTGTGGCAGACCCTTCCCTGGGGCCCGCAGCGGGCTCAGTCTTCTGAGTGTCCGGCCCTGAGCAGGCACGGAGCCCTGTCTGTCACACAGGAGGGTGGGCTCAGACACGTCTCCTTCTCCCCTTTTGGGGCTCTGGTCAAACAGAATAAATGCCTTCGGTTTCCAGCGCCACCTCCAAAATTTGCTGTGATCTTGGGCATGTCAGAGGTCCGCTCTGAGCATCTGTTTCCTCTTTGGTAGAATGAGAAACATACTTTACATCTGAGGTGCACAGTTTGACCTCATTCTGCGTGCCCTATCTCAAGGGTAGGGAGACTGAGGCTCAGAGATGAGCGTTCCCACCCACGGTCCCACAGCTTTCGGAACACAGCTTGGATTTATCCCCAGATACTCACTCGGCTACCCAAGCCTCCCGTGGTCTCTGAACAGCCCAGGCACGGCCCCACCCCAGTGCCCGTTCCCTCATGGTGGCTCCCCGCCTGGCATCCCTCCCCACGTCAGCCCGTGGCCCCGCGCCGCCTGCGGGCATCGGGTGGGTGGCACATGCCTCTCCCTCCCGCAGCGCGCTCGGAGCGGTACCGCCACCTGGGCTCCGAGGACGACGAGACCAACGACGAGGAGTCCTCCGCCGAGATCCCTCAGTTCTCCTCCTGCTCCCACCGCTTCAGCAAGGTGGGCGGGCCGCGCTCGGCAGCATCCAGGCTGTCTGGGTTCTAAACTGTATAGTTCAGTGGCATTTAGCACTTTGACAATGTTGTGAAGTCACCACCTCTATCCAGTTCCAGAACATTCCATCGCCCCAAAAGGAGACCCCGTCCCCATGAGCAGTCCCTCCCCACCCCCGTCCCCAGCCCCTGGCCACCACCAATCTATTTTCTGTCTCTGTGGCTTGGCCTGTTCTGGACGTTTCCTGTAAATGGGATCACACGCGCGTGGCCTGTGTGTCGGCCTCTCCCCTCCGTGGGAGGTTTCGAGGTCCCTCTGTGCTGCCGTGGGTGTCAGGCTTTGTCCCTTTCTGCACCTGAGCAGCGGGCCCTGTGTGGCTGACGCGGTGTGTGGAGCCCTCGGGCAGCAGGCGTTCGGCGCGTCTCTGCTGGTGGGCGAGTGTGGCGACTGCTGCTCTGCTGGGTGTCATTTGATAGCCTCACGAGCTTGATTCAAGTTCCTTCGTTTATAATTCGATTAAAAAGCGTCGGCAGTGCTTGTGGGCCTGGGCCCGGGGCAGGATGTCCTGGTCGGTAGCAGAAACTGTGGTGTAGCCCTCTTGGCAACCGGGTCCCTGTGAGCCTCAGTTTCTTCGTCTGTCCAGTGGGCTAACCCTCGGCTGTCTTTACGGCTGTGGTGGGTGAGGATGTAAGGAAGTGACTCCCAGGGAAGCATCGAGCACGGAGGAGTCGCTCGGTTAAGCTGGCCCTTCCCCATGGGCGCGGCTGCCTGCCTCTATTGTTGTTACTGTTACCTTTTATTGCTTCCCAGGTCTACAGCAGCTCTGAGTTCCTAGCTGCCCAACCCACCCCAACCTTCGCAGAGCGGAGCTTCAGTGAGGATCGGGAGGAAGGCTGGGAGCGCAGCAGCGAGGGGGAGCACGGCCGCCGGCTGAGCATTGATGTCCGGTGGGTGGCTGGGAGTATAAGCAGATCCAGCTTCCAAGCCTGCTGGGAGATGGAACCACAAACTCTAACATTGGAAGGAGCTTCCCAATGGCCCAGTAGAAAAGGGTCCAACATATTGGCTAGCCTGGCAGACCCCTGCCAACCTAGCCCCTCTGCTCACTCCCTTTGGCTCCACACTCCTCACCATGCTAGAGCTAAAGCAGCTGTGCGCCACCTCACTGCTGGGCTTTTGCATGCACTGTTCCTTCTGCCCAGAATACTCTTTGCTTACAAACTCCTGTTTATCCTTCAAAGCCTGGACCCAATAGAAATAATCAATGTCTGCAAGAGGATGGGCATTGGAAGCTGCGTTTTAACACGTGAACAGTTCTCCAGGCAGACACAGGACAGAGCAGGCAGGGGGACTCACCCTCTATTTACAAATTGCCTCTGGCTGTAGGCTGAGAGTGAGGACATGGCCACTGGAGTGCCCAGGGTTCCTGGGGTGAGGGCGCCTGGAAGGCTGACTCGGGCTCTTTCCTGCTGCAGGCTGAGGTCCTGGACATCCTCTGGATCCTCCTGCCACTCATCCGTGTCCCAGCATGAGCGGGGCCCCAGCCCATCTCTCCTGAACACCATCAGCCTGGACACCATGCCCAAGTTTGCCTTCTCGTCAGAGGATGAAGGGCCTGGTCCAGCCCCTGTGGGCCCTAAGAAGCCCGTCTTCATTCTAGGGGAGCCTGACCCACCCCCGGCAGCCACCCCAGTGATGGCCAAGCCCTCAAGCCTTTGTGGTAGGTGGGGTCCAGGGTGGGAGGGGTAGTGTTATTGAAAGTTTCCCAGAGGAGGGACTATTTGAGATGGGTTGTGAAGAATGAGTAGGAGTTTTCCAAAGAGAGCATCTACTTGTCTAACTCAGGCTTGAAGATAGGAGAGGCCAGGCTCAGCTGAGCCTCAGCTTGGCCCCCAAGGAGCCCTCAGTCTAGGGGCGATACCCCCAGCTTCATCGGGTCAGGATGGGACTGAAGAGAAGGATGGGGCTGGGGAGCTCCAGGAGAGGGAGCCAGGGGTCTGAGTGGGTTCAGGGGAAGGTTTCCTGGAGGAGGGGACTTGAAGAGTGGAGCTTTCCAGGGAAAGCAACCAGGAAGGGTGTGCAGGAAGAGGGAACTGGCTGAGCAAAGGCCAGGGAGCTGGACTGCGGGCCTGCTGGTTGGGAGGGAGGGGCTCTGCCCCCGAGGCAGGGGGCCAGCGGTGCGAGGGGCAGGCTGACCGTACCCTGTGGACTCCCCAGCTGACACAGCCGTCCTCAGCCACGCGCGCCTGCGGAGCAACAGCACCGGCGCACGCCACTCCACACCGCGGGCCCTGGATGCCGGCCGGGGCCGCCCCCCAGGGGGCTCGAGAGACCCGGCCCCGGAGAAGTCCAGGGCCGGCCCCAGTGGGGGCCGTGTGCCCAAGTCGGCCTCGGTGTCCGCCCTGTCGCTCATCATCACGGCAGGTGACGCCCAGGGCCCTGCGGGTTGCTGCTGTCTCCCGTCCGCCCGCCCTCAGCGCGGCAGCTTTGGCGGGGGGTGGGGGCTGGGGGATCCTGCAGGGCGGGGTCAGGCTCAGGCCAGAGACAGGGAGGAGCTGGGCGCAGCCGGGGTGGGCCTGGCGCCCGGGCAGAGGGCGCTGTGTGTGCAGAGGCCAGGCAGGCCGCGTGCTGTGCAGGGGAGGCGCCCTGACCCGCCCTCACCCTTGCCCTCGCCCCTGCAGATGATGGCAGCGGCGGCCCCCTGGTGAGCCCCCTGTCCCCACGCTCGCTGTCCTCAAACCCGTCGTCCCGCGACTCCTCGCCAAGCCGAGACCCGTCCCCGGTGTGTGACAGCCTGCGGCCCCCCATCGTTATCCACAGAGCAGGCAAGAAGTATGGCTTCAGCCTGCGGGCGATCCGCGTCTACATGGGCGACAGTGACGTCTACACCGTGCACCACGTTGTCTGGGTGCGTTGGCCTCAGGGTGGGTGGGATGCCACACCTGGGCTGAGTCTGGTGCGGCCCTGGCAAGGTGCTTGCTTCTTTTGGGGCCAAGGTTCCTGGTCTTGGGAAGCGAGTATGTGCGCCTTACCTATGAGGTTTTGGGGCCCCCATGCCCCTGGTCTTTGCATATCTGTCAGTGATGGGAGGGGTTGAGCAAGAGGCACAGGAGTGGACAGAGGGACAGGGACACTGGCCGGCGCACAGTGGGTGTGTTGTCCTCCCTCTCCCCAGCCCAGGGCCCGCCCCGTCCCCAGTGGTCACTCCCTGAGGTCAAGGAGACTGAGGTGGCGTGGGAGGCAGCCGCTGGCTGGGGGCCCATGGGTGACCCCGCCATACCCCTCCAGAGCGTGGAGGAGGGCAGCCCCGCCCAGGAGGCCGGCCTGCGAGCCGGGGACCTCATCACCCACATCAACGGGGAGTCGGTCCTGGGGCTGGTGCACATGGACGTCGTTGAGCTGCTGCTGAAGGTCAGACCCCCACAGCCCCCTCCCCGGACTCCAGGACCCCACCCCGGTCCAGCCTCAGGGCCCCGCGTCTGCCGCGCCGCCCAGCCTGGGGGCTGCTCCCGTGACCCTACCCCCACTCAGCCTCGGCCCTGATTGTCCATGGTCCCCCGCCACCCCACCCCTGCTCAGTCCCAGCTCCAGGCCTCTGCGCAGGGCGCGCCTCCTTGCTTAGTCCTACATCACCCCTCAGAGCCCCTCCTCCCACTGGGCACCCCCCGGGCCCCCCTGACCCTGCGGGGCTAAGGGCATCTGTGCCATCTGTGCCTCCTTCAGACCCGGGGTCCTTGAGGGCCGAGGCCTGGGGGGGGGAGGCAGGCACAGGCCAGGAGGAGGCCCTGGTCGGACAGCTCCCAGGACCGGTGGATGGGTGGGTGGGTAGAGGGCTCACTGGTGGACAGACAGATGGTGGACATGTGTCTCTGCCCCAGTGAGTGCAGGTGGCTAGGTGAAAAGTGGGTGGGTGGCTCCGTGGCAGGGAGGCCCACAGGCGGCCGTCGCCTCCCTCCCACAGAGCAGCGACAAGATCTCCCTCCGAGCCACGGCCCTGGAGAACACCTCCATCAGGGTGGGCCCCGCCCGGAAGGACGCAGCCAAGGGCCGCATGGCACGCAGGAGCAAGCGGAGCCGCCGGCGGGAGGCCCAGGACCGGTGAGCAGCGGGTGGTGGGGTGAAGGGGCGCGCCGGCCCTGCGCCCTGTGCCCTGCAGGAGGGGTCTGCAGCATGCGGGTTTCTGGCCCCCAGGCGGAAGTCGCTCTTCAAGAAGATTTCAAAACAGTCGTCTGTGCTGCACACCAGCCGCAGCTTCTCCTCCGGCCTCCACCACTCCCTGTCGTCCAGCGAGAGCCTGCCTGGCTCGCCCACCCACAGCCTCTCCCCCAGCCCCAGCACGCCCAGCCGCAGCCCAGCACCCGAGGCGCCGGCAGGTGGGTGCCCCCTAGGGCCACCCTGGGGGGAAAGGCCCTCAGGGATGTGGTCGTCCTGTGAGGGAGCGAGCAGGGTTTGGAGGATGGAATGACATGATATAGGAAACCTGGAGTCTAAGTGGCAGCCTGGGGGTGACAGGTGTCAGGGAAGGGTGTGCCCAGAGAGAGAACAGCCTGAGCAAAGGGGTCTAGACAGGAGGGATGTGAAAGCCTCAGGAGGCTGTGGAGGGGGGATCGGGGGATGAATCAGGCTGAAGAGCTAGGCTTAAATTGGGGGGCACGGGGCCTGCCCCATGGCCGAGTGGTTGGGTTCACGTGCTCTGTTTTGGTGGCCCAGGGTTTCACTGGTTCGGGTCCTGAGTACAGACATGGCACCGCTCCTCAGGCCACGTTGAGGTGGTGTCCCACATGCCACAAGTGGAGGGACCCATAACTAAAAATATACAATTATCTACTGGGGGGATTTGGGGAGAAAAAGCGAAAAAAAAAAAAAAAAAGATTGGCAAGTTGTTAGCTCAGGTGCCAATCTTAAAAAAAAAAAAATTGGGGGGCAATAGGGAGCCATGGAGGGTGTGTGAGCTGGAGAGGGCATGGAAAGATCATTCTGGGGCAGGAAAGGATGGTGACTTGACCCAACTCTGAGGGCCTCCAGTCCGAGAGACAGGCAGACACAGACACCCCCAGGCTTACTGGGTTAGCATCAGGCTAGAGGGAGGGACAGGCTGGGGCAACCCGAAGAGACCTGGAAGGCCTCCTGGAGGAGGGCCACAGAGCCTACAAGATGCCCTCCCTGCCCCAGTGGGGACCCCAACTGCTATCCCTCCCTCTGGCCCACTCTGAACTCATGGGGCTGAGGGTATCTGTGCCACCCCTGCCTTCCTCAGACCAGGTGTCCTCTGGGGCTGAGGCTCGGGGAGTAGGTGGGCACAGTTGAGAAGGCAGGGCCCTTATTGGACAGCTCCTGGGACCAGTGGGTGGACTGCTCATTGGATGGACAGACTGTGGATGGGTATCTTTGGCCCAGTGAGTGGTGAGCCATTAGGTGAGAAGTGGGTGAATGGAAGCTAGGGCTTTGGTGGATGAGTAGGAGTTCACAAGATCTAAGCCAAGGGAATATCCTGTGCAAACAACGGGAGGCAGGAAAACCAGACATGATGAGTGGCCACAGGGAGCAATGTGGGCTTTGGCAGGTGCGCCAAGTCCCAGTGCCCACTTCCAGCCTGGGGACAGAGGCTGGTGGCCCTGACCCTCCCCTGTCACCCACAGACACCGCATCCCCTCCCAGTGCATCCCCGAGCTCCAGCAGCCCTGCCTCTCCAGCCGCCGCTGGCAACACCCGCCCCAGCTCCCTGCACGGCCTGGCCGCCAAGCTTGGGCCACCCCGCCCCAAGACTGGCCGCCGCAAGTCCACCAGCAGCATCCCGCCCTCCCCGCTGGCCTGCCCCCCCGTCCCTGCGCCCCCACCCCGCTCACCCTCGCCCCTGCCAGGGCACCCGTCTGCGCCCACCCGGTCTCCACGGTTGCGCCGGGGCCAGTCAGCCGACAAGCTGGGTGCCGGTGAGCGGCTGGAAGGGGAGGCGGGGCGTCGCAGCCGCGGGCCGGACTCAGAGCTGGTGGTCATGCGGCGGCTGCACCTGTCCGAGCGCCGGGACTCCTTCAAGAAGCAGGAGGCCGTGCAGGAGGTGAGCTTTGACGAGCCGCCCGAGGAGGCCAGCGGGCCACCCGCCTCGGTGCCGCAGATCGCTGTGGAGGGCACCGAGGCCCTGCCGGGAGCCCTCGGACCCGCCAGGAAGGACTAAGCCCTCCCTGGCCTGGAAGGCGCATGTGTTCTGTGCAGTGTTTTTTCTGTAAAGTGACACCTGGGTGAAGACTGAGCCACCAGCCTGACACCTGGCAAGCGAGAAGCCATCTCAGTCCCTCCTGGAAGGTGGAGACAGCACCTCCCTCTGTTCTGGTGCCGGTCGGGCTGTAGCGGCAGGAATGGGGGATGAGGGTGTCCTTGTAAATAGCAGCAAAACCTGCAACTAATTTATTACCTTTTATGAGTGACAGCCAGATGGAGCCGCCACTACAAAGGCAGCTGCCCGGGTCCTGCCCTTGCATCTGGGACCCCGTTTGCAGACCCTGCCCCCTGGGCTGAGAAGGAAGTACTTTGCACAAGTCACATGTATTTGTGCTTTCTGGTTTTTCTGTACCTTTTATGTTATTTTGTGAACTTGATCCCATCGCTGACCCGAGACCCAGTGATTTGCAGCCCAGTTCCCGGGTCTTGGCTCAGTTTGGATATGACTTGGAATGTCTGTAACAATTCCCCTCCACCGTAAAACAAAGTAATCCGATGACAGGCTGGCTGCTGAAGGCTGCTTCCCACCATCACAGCCTCCACTCCTAGGCCAGCCTTGCTAGAGTCGGCCTCCAGTCCTGCAGGCTTCAGCCTGGAGGAGGGGTTGTGGGGGAACTGGGGCTTTGATGGATGAGTAGGAGTTCAGTAGCTAGGCAGAGGGGTCACCCACTCCACAAGAGGACACTGATGTTCTGGGAGGCACAGGCCTTGAAGAACGCTACCAGGCCTGGAGAAAAATGTGCACCCTGGACGTGATTTCACCTGTTTGATGCCCACCGCTGCGACCCCCTGAGCATGATGTGTCTGAAACACCCCCCCCAGGGGTTCCCTCATTTTGGAGCCTCCCTGAGATGAAGTTTGATTGAGTAAACCCAACTGGGGGCAGTGGGGGCCCGTCTGAATCTTGGCTTCACCGTGTGGCTCTGGGAAAATGGCGTCCCCACTTTGTGCCTCAGTTTCCTTGTGTTTACAGAACTGACCGCAGTGAGCACGTGGGGCCCCAGTGCTGTGTGCCAGCGCTTCCGCTCGCTCCGCCGCGCGCGCGGGGTGCTGAGGCCGGGGGGCAGACGCGCCCGCGCCCCCCTGGCGAGAGTCGGGTCGCCAGCCCCGCTCTCCCGGCCGCCCCCACTGGGCGCGGGCTGGCGGGGTCGCCGCGCCCCGCTGTCCGGGCCCTGCAGTCCGCTCTGCCTGCTCCCGTGCCCGCGCCCCGGTGCTGGAGTAGACCAGGCTGTGCATGACTCGCTCCCTCCGTCCATCCTGGAGCTCACAGTGAATAAAAGCCCATGTCTGCAAAGAGGAGGCCCATGTCTGGATTTGTGAGGGACTAAGGCAGGGGTACGGGAAGTGTGGTGGGGGCGGGGTGAGAACAGACCCTTGGCTCAGTCATTTGAAGTGGGTTTTGAAGGCTGCACAGGAGTTCACCATGACGATTCTCCCTGATGCCTTCTCTGGTCCTGGCCTCGTCCTGCCCTCTCCCTGTGAGTACCCATCGTGGACTCTGCCCTGAAAGCCGGATCCGGACACCCGCCTGGAGCCTGAGCTGCGTTAATAAAATAACTAATCCGTCTTCGTGTGCTTTCTATACCGATCTTTCCTCGGGCTGCGCCCTGAGACGCCCTCCGCCCTCCCGCGCAACGCCCGGACCCGCCACCCCACGCGCGTCGGTCACTGCCGAGGCTCTCGGCCGGGTGGGAAGCCTCAGGCCACGCCCCCTAGTTTCCGAGTGCCTTCGGCTATTTCCGGAAACAATCATCTGCAGCTGGGCTCGTGTTAGTAGTGTGTTCGTTCAGCTGCTTCCGGACGCTCTAGGCTGCGTGGAAACGCTCTCAACCACAAGCTCATCCTCAGACTTCAGCTTATTCGGCTGTTCCTGAAAAGCTCAGCTATCTGTGGCGAGCACTCTCCCCACTCCGCTGCCCCCTGTTCCCTAAGCTCGGGGTAGCCTCACCCCCCCTCTGGAGCCGTCCATGCTTCGGCAATTTCTGGAAGCTGGGGGTCGCCTCTGGGTCTAAATTCCTAGGGCCTCATTTGGGACCGAGAACACTTGGTTCTTTCCAGAAGCCCTTCGCGGTCTCAGGACTCAGCCTCTGTTGGCCGAGTCTTGCTGGAGCACGCTCGGCCATTTCCGGAATCGCTCGGGCGCCTCCAAGCCCCGCCGAGCCCAGCCTCGGATCGCTCTTCTGACCCGAGTGCGCTCGGCTATTTCCGGAAATCATCGGTTGTCTCGGACCACTCTTTACCCTCCACTCCCGCGGGAGTACGTTCGGCTCTTTCCGGAATCAGTCGGGCGTCCCCTGGCTCCGCCTCCTCCTCTCTTCGCCCCTCCGTCCCGAATACTTTCGGCCATTTCCGCCGGGGGCGGGCCCGGCCGTTCGGAACCGCGGCGGCGGCGGAGGCGGGGATCCCGCGGCAGCGGCGACGGCGGCCGCGGTGGAGCCACGGGTCGTGCTCCGCTCGGCGTGACGGCGGCCGCGGCGGCGGCGGCGGCCGCGACCAGGCGAGTCCGGGCCGGCGGCGTGGCAGGCGGGGTTTGGGTGCGCTCCGATGCGGGGCGCCCGGGCAGAGCGTGGGGCCCCGGTGGAAGCCAGGACGCGAGCGCGGGGCGGCAGCGGGCCCGAGGGAACTGGGGCCGCAGGGAGCGGGAAGGCCTCTGGCTCGACCTGCAGCGGTGCCGCCGGCCCCGGACGGGGGGCGCCGATCGGGGGTCCCCAGGCAGAGATGAGGGCCTGGAGCCGCGGCCCCGAGCGGAGGGAGGCCCTGCCGGGAGCGGGGTGTCGAGCACTAACGAGGGCGCCCAGGCATTGTGTGGAGCAGAGTGGGGTGCAAGAGGGTCGGGGTTCGACTCCACTTCGGGGCCCTGGGCTGGGCTGCGAGGTCCACGCAGGCCTGCGTGCGCGTCTCAACACGCGTGAGCGCGCAGGCCCTGCGTCCCCGTGCCGAGCCCCCTGCCAGGCCCGGCCCCTGCGCCCGCCTCTTGGATTCAGGGAGCGCTGGGGCCCCGGCGCGCACACCCGGGCGTGTGCAGACGTGTGCACGCCAGGGCGCGGAGGCGGGCGGCCAAGCGGATCCAGGCGTTTTCCTGGACGTCCCCTCTCTAGGCCTCAGTTTCCCCACCTGTAGAATGGGGTACAGGGGCCAGGGAGCGGGTAAGTTGGGGCGCCCCGGAGTGTGGAGCCTCTCCTCCCTGCTCGGACACCTCCTGGCTCCCCGTGGCCCAGGAATAGCCCCGACCCTCTGCCTGGCACTCGGGGCGCGGCGTGGCCGGCGGCTTTCCTGCAGCCACCCGAACTCCGGGCGAGCAGCTTTCCGCTGTCAACCTTGGCGAGCGCTGTTGCCTCCGGCCGGTGCGCGCTCGCGTCCCCCGTGCGGCCCCGCCCTCTGGGAAAGCAGCCGCCGCCCCCCGACCTCTGGCAGAGCTGAGCCTGCAGGGCCGAGGCTGGGAACGTCGGAGCCGGGCTGTCTCCCTACCGGGGGCTCCCTGGGAGTGGTCGTCGCCCTGCATCCAGCAGCCTCCCCTTGGCCGCGCAGTGCTTTTCCCGTCCACCCTGTCTTGGCTCCTTGTCTACCCCGGGGCTAAGGCCCCCTCAGGTTTTGGGTACCTACTGTGGGCCCCACACGGAGCCCGGCCCGACCCGCTGTCCACTCCTCCCCTGCAGAGATCAGAGACCTACTTGCTTGGGCTGGCCTCTAGGCCTTTGCCTGTGCTGGGGTCTCTGCCTGGACCCCCTCTGTGCCTCTGCTGCCTCGCCATGTGCTCAGCGGCGTGCCCTCCTCAGGGCTCCCACAGCAGCCCCAGCATCCCACCGCCCCTGCCCGCCCTGGCCATGTGGCCTCTGCCTCTTCTCATCCATCCTGGCCCTGGCGTTGGACGGATCACGGCTTTTGAGTCCTGGCTTCCTGGTCCACTGAGTGGTCTGATAAAGACCTCTCTGCTCGGAGCCTCAGTTTCCCCATCTCTAACAAACAATGAACAGCTTTGCTCCCAAGAACCCTGAGGGAGGGCTCTTCTTACAGCTGGGGAAAGAGGCCCAGAGACGGGCAGGGACTGGCCCGGGGTTACCCACTGAGTCAGGGGAGTCCCCCCTAGGGTTGGGGCCCATCTCTGCGTTGGAGGTGTCAACCCAGCTGACCCTGTCCTGCCATTGCCCCTAGGTCGGCGTCCCCGGCAGAGCATGGTGACAGCCTGTGTTCTCGGCCCCCTCATCTGGCGCAGCTGGAAGAGGCGCCAGCCTTGGGAGCCGATGGCTGCCCACGTGAGGGAGTGAGTGGCCTCGCCCGGCCCTACAGATTGAGGGGGGACGCAGCAGCTGAGTGACCTGGGACGGCGCTGCTGACCCCCTCCCACCAGTTGACGAATGGTGGGCGGAGCGACGAGTGACCTTTGTCAGGGTCATGGAGTAATAGTGGGAAGCAAGGCGTGAGCGTCCCCTGTGGTCATCTGTTAACTTCTTGGTGGAAACAGAGGTTTGAGCGCCCCAAGCTGACCCCGCGGACCCTCCCAGCCCCCGCCCAGCTGATGGGGCCACTGGGGCCCTGAGCAGCCACCTGACCATCCAGACCCCACCCTGCCCGGCCATGGCTGGTGCTGAAGGCTTCCAATACCGGGCGCTTTACCGGTTCCGCCGGGAGCGGCCCGAGGACCTAGAGCTGCTGCCGGGCGACGTGCTGGTGGTGAGCCGGGCAGCCTTGCAGGCGCTGGGCGTGGCGGAGGGCAGTGAGCGCTGCCCGCAGAGTGTGGGCTGGATGCCTGGCTTCAACGAGCGCACGCGGCAGCGTGGCGACTTCCCCGGCACCTACGTTGAGTTCCTGGGGCCCGTGGCCCTGGCCCGGCCTGGCCCTCGCCCCCGAGGCCCCCGCCCACTGCCTGCCAGGCCCCGAGATGGACCCCCGGAGCCAGGTGAGCAGCAGGCAGGGGACTGGGTGGGGGTAGTGGTGGAGGGGTCCCCTCAGACCCTCGGTTTCCTCTTCTTTGCAGTGAGGCAGTGGTACCTCTTCCAGGGGAGGAGGAATAAGGACATTTGATCAGTTGCCTAGTGTTGATGCACTGCCGTCATGGGCTGGGCATAGTCCAAGGCACTGGGAACACAGCAGCCGACTCTAGCCTGGCCCTGCCTTCATGGGGCTTCTGGTTCGAGAAGTGACAAGAATGTGCCCTTTTTTTTTTGAGGAAGATTAGCTCTGAGCTAACTATTGCCAATCCTTCTCTTTTTGCTGAGGAAGACTGGCCCTGAGCTAACATCGTGCCCATCTTAACTCTACTTTTATACGTGGGACGCCTACCAAGGCATGGTTTTTGCCAAGCGGTGCCATGTCTGCACCTGGGATCAGAAGCAGCAAACCCCGGGCCACTGAAAAGCAGAACATGTGCACTTAACCGCTGCGCCACCGGGCCGGCCCCAGAATGTGCTTGAATGACGACACATTTGGGAAGAAGGAGCCTCTCATGGGGAGAGCTGGGAGTGAAGGGCACCAGGGTGGGGGCACAGCAAGGGCCCAGGCCATGAGGTGGGAATGTCATGGCAGGTTCAGGGAGCAGCTAGTAGGCAGAGCGAGGGAGAAGGGGCCGAGCCTCGGCGACTTCCTGGGAGTCGTTTTGAGGACAATGGGGAGTGTTCAGTAGGGTTCAGAGGCTTAATTTAGCTTCATCTTGGGGTTTGCAGACAGGGTCCCCTGAGGAACCACCTTTGTGACCCGATTTTACCCAGTTTCCAAAAGGAAGGCAGCCACAAAGCCTAAAGAGGGTGGGAGGCTCCGTCAAGGCCACACAGCACAGCAGGGTGTGGGAACCCTACATTCCTCCCCAGAGACACTCGGCCAGCCCTACTTCCAGGGGCTGTGCTGGGAGTGGAGAATCGAGGACACTGAGCGCACGCTGAAATGGCTGGGCAGGGGCCACAAGTTCCAGCCAGGGAAACTGAGGCTGAGGTGTTGGGGAGGGGGTGCTCTGACCCCCCAGCAGCCCCGTGAGGCCCTGTGTACAGACAGGGAGGCTGAGGGGCAGGGGTCCACCACTTGCACAGGTCGCTCGCCCATGAAGGCCAAGGCCCTGGACGCCCCGCGGCCCCGACCGATGGCCTGCCTGGCTTTGTGCTCACGGGACACTGATGCCCAGAGGATCAGGCCAGAGGCCCACGGCACGGGGTGCAAAGGGGTGTGGAGGCCATGTGGCACGGGCTTGGGCCTTCCCGGCAGCATCTGGTGTCTCCGGGGCCAGCCTGCGTCCTGCCTCGGCCCAGAGGAGCAGGCGGCAGCCCCATCCGGGCTCCCAGCCAGAATCTGCCTCTCCCCCTCGTAACAGCCACCTCCCTCCCCTGCCTGGCCTGCGTCCAGGCACCACACACATCCCCACTCAGGGTGGCCGCCCGGCCAGGCCCTGCCCTCCAAATCTGCGAGGGCTCTGTGCCATCAGCTGGGGCCGGCCCTCGCCAGGCCTCAGTTTCCCCATCTGGAACATCTGGAAACAGGACGGGTCCTCTTGTGCCTTCAGGCCCTGCCGCTCCGGGCCCCTGAGACCAGCAGACGCGCTGCGGCTGCCTCTGCCACCTCCGTTCAGCCCCACGCAGGGAGCTGGGTCCAGACCCAGTGTCGCCTGGGCCTCTGCCTGGCTGTGCACCCAGGCGGAGGTCACCCCTCTCTGAGCCTCAGTTCCTTGTCTGTAAAATGGGGCCGCCTGGTCAGACGCAACCGCCCTCCCCATTTTGCAGACTGGTCACAGGCAAGTTTCAGAGTTGAGTTTCAGAACCGCGGCCCCCCACCAGCCAGAGCCTCGCCCACCTCCTCTCTCGTTGTTCTTTCACTTTTTTTGGCGTTTTCAACGCAGCTGGGCCTTTCTCCAGCTTACAGCGCCACCTGGCCCATCACTCAGGGAGGCCCGCAGGCCCCGGCTTGCCCCTGCCGTGTGCCAGGGCGTCCCTGCCGGGGGCCAGAGCGCATCCGAGGTGGCGTGGTGAGGCCGCAGAGCGCCTCAACACAAAGAGCCCGTGCGGGGAGACACAGGGCTGGGGGGCTGGGCCTGGGGGGCCCCTGGCGCCGCTGGGGGGGCTTCAACTTTTTAAAAAGGGGGAAATAATTTTTTAAACGCAAAATGACATAGAAAATGGAGAAAGGACCTTGGAGTAAGGTGTTCTGAGCCAGAGCAGCGCTATTTTCCATTTGTTCTTTTCAACCACTTTGTTGTTCCCACTAAGGGAGCGATGACGCCATCGGTCATTTTCTCAGTTGAGGAAACTGAGGCGTGGAGAGGGCGCGTCCTGTGCCTGAGGCTGCACAGCGAGCACTGGCAGTGCCTCAGCCTGCTGTGTGCTGTCCCTGGGCTGCTGTGAGGAGCTCCCAACAACAGCAGTTTCTCCTCTCACGGCCTGGGGGCCAAGAGCCCCAAGTCCAGGTGTCTCAGGGCTGCCCTCTCTCTGGAGGCTCAAGGGGAGGGGCCTGCCTTGCTTCTGGGCCCCAGGCGTCCTGGGCTTGTGGCCACGTCACCCTAGTCCCTGCCTCTGTCTTCACGTGGCCTTCTCTTCCTAGAAAGACACCAGTTGTTGGAGTTAGAGCCCTAAATCCACGATGTCGTCTCGAAATCCTTACCTTGAGAATATCTGCGAAGACCCTATTTCTAAATAAGGTCCCTTTCACAGGTGCCAGGGACTAGGATGTGCACATCCATTTGGTGGGACACTAATCAACCCGCTCTACCTGGTCTCTGAAGTTGTGTGAAGTGGTATCTTAACCCAGAAAATTGTTTCCCACCAACTTGGCCCTCCCTGCCTCACCAGTAGGACCTCTGGCCTCCCCAGGTGGTGGTCCACGTGCCAGGCACTTGCCTGAGCCGGGCCCTGCCTGGAGCTGTGCAAGCTGAGATGCAGCAGGCGAAGAGAGCGGCTGGGGTCCTTCCAGGAACCCTGCCAATGTGCTGTCCCCTCCTGCCAGGCCTCACACTCCCCGACCTGCCTGAGCAGTTCTCCCCACCTGATGCGGCTCCTCCCATCCTGGTGAAGCTCGTGGAAGCCATTGAGCAGACAGGTGAGCCTCGGCCTGGCTGCAACCCCTAGGTTCTGCTTGCTTACCTCCAGTGACGGGCAACTCATCCCCACGAAGCGCTGCTAGGCTCACTCTGCATGGGAGGAGGCCGAACCTGGATGCCCTGGGCTTCCATGTTGAATTGCAGAAGGAGTGACTCCCGGGGGTATGGGAATGTGGACACTGACCCCTTGCTTGTGCCCTCCCCTCCTTCTGCTCTCCTCTCTGGGAGGTTGAGTAACCACCCCAGGCCCCCATGGGGTCGGGGCAGCATTTGAGAGCGGGTCTTGCCGCCCTTCCCCTTCCCCCCAGGGCTAGACGGTGACTCCCTCTACAGGCCGGAGCCGCCCGCCCCGCGCACAGGTGAGGGGAGCTTCCCCAGGCGGGTGGGGGACGAGGCGGCCGGCCAGCTCACCCGCGTGTCCCCTGCACCGCAGACTGGTCCCTGAGCGACGTGGAGCAGTGGGACGCGGCCGCTCTGTCAGACGGCGTCAAGGGTTTCCTGCTGGCGCTGCCCGCGCCCCTCGTGACGCCCGAGGCGGCGGCCGAGGCGCACCGGGCCCTGAGGGGTGAGCCGGGGTCGGGCGGGCCGGCGGGCGGGGCGGGGCGGGGCGGCGGGCGCCGGCTCACCCGCCCCGGCCGTGTGTCCGCAGAGGCCGCGGGGCCCGTGGGACCGGCGCTGGAGCCGCCGACGCTGCCGCTGCACCGCGCGCTCACGCTGCGCTTCCTGCTCCAGCACCTGGGCCGCCTGGCGCGGCGCGCCCCCGCCCCGGGCCCCGCCGTGCGCGCGCTGGGCGCGGCCTTCGGGCCGCTGCTGCTGCGCGCGCCGCCGCCCTCGCCGCCGCCAGGGGGCGCGCCCGACGGGTGAGCCGGCGCGCCGGGGCGGGGCCGAGCCGCGAGGGGCGGGGCGGGGCGGGGCGGGGCGGGGCGGGGCGGGGCCGAGGAGGGCTGCGGGCGCTCCGGCAGGAATGTGGACCGGCCCGGCCCGGGGCTGTTGTGCTGGCGGAGGACAGGAAAGATAATGAGGGCTGGGAGCTGGGCTCTGGGAAGACCTCCACAGGGCTTGGGACGCAGGCTGAGCAGGCCCAGACCACAGTGGAGGCACGCGGGTGGTGTCTGCACTTTCCCTTCTGTTCTCCTCGTCCCGGGTGCTGGACTCCTATTCGGTCGTGGTATGAGACTTTGTTGAGCACTTACTGCATATACGTAAACAAGATTTGGTTCCCTGCACCTGCCTGCGACATCTCCCCTTCTTCCGTGCACTTGCTTTCACCGCTCCCTGCCCCTAGGCGTGCCAGCACCTGACCCAGTGCTCACGCACTGCTCTTCCCCTAGCACTGAGCCCGGCCCAGACTTCCCAGGGCTGCTGGTGGAGAAGTTGCTTCAGGAGCATCTGGAGGAGCAGGAGGTGGCACCCCCAGGTGACCCCCCTTGTGTTATTTCTTATTGTTGGGGACCCTGAATGGCGGTATCAGCAGACGCCGTTGGAGTGGGAGCTGGCCACAGTATACAGTAAGTGCTCAATGTGCGTTTGTTTTCCTGTCCCCCAGCACTACCACCTAAACCCCCCAAGGCAAAGCCGGCCCCCACAGGTGTGGCCAATGGGGGGAGCCTGCCCTCCCTGCAGGATGCTGAGTGGTACTGGGGCGACATCTCCAGGTAGGGCTGTGGCACGAGGCTGCGTGGTGGGCAGGGCCTGAAGGACAGGGTCTCCAGGTGGGTGGCCCCAATCGTCGGTGTCCCCACAGGGAGGAGGTGAATGAGAAACTCCGGGACACGCCTGATGGCACCTTTCTGGTCCGAGATGCCTCCAGCAAGATCCAGGGGGAGTACACGCTGACCCTCAGGTGGGCCTTGTCCCTCCAGGGCTGAGGGGGCGAGGCAGGAGGGAGGGCCCCTAAGTAGGCAGGACGTGTGTGATGTCCAGCTGGGCCTAGGGGTCAAGGCTAGGGGTCCCTCCAGCCCGACACCCCTCTCCCCACCCCCAGGAAAGGCGGGAACAACAAGCTGATTAAAGTTTTCCACCGTGACGGGCACTATGGCTTCTCGGAGCCGCTGACCTTCGGCTCCGTGGTGGATCTCATCACCCACTACCGCCATGAGTCGTTGGCCCAGTACAACGCCAAACTGGACACGCGGCTCCTCTACCCCGTGTCCAAGTACCAGCAGGTCCGGGGCCGGGGCGGGAGCTGGGGGGGGCAGCATCTGGCCGGCCCGGGCCTCAGAGTCCCAGGGAACTGCCCTGATGGCACTGGTGTGTCCCCAGGACCAGATCGTCAAGGAGGACAGCGTGGAGGCGGTGGGTGCTCAGCTCAGGGTCTACCACCAGCAGTACCAGGACAAGAGCCGCGAGTACGACCAGCTGTACGAGGAGTACACGCGCACCTCCCAGGTACCAGGGAGACGTGGCCGCCCTGGCACAGGGCAGGCTCCTGGCACCGGGACTGCCCCAGAGCACAGCAAGGAGCGCATGCGGCTACAGACCCGGCCGAACAGATGAGGAGGCCCCACGGCCTCCCGGGGCGGCGTGTCAGTTGAGCCTCTGGGTCTCTCTGGGCCTCCGTTTCCCCACCTGTAAACCGGAACCCTGGGTCTTAGTCCCCTGTTCACCCCCTTCAACCTGGACGGTATGCGAAGGGGTGATGATGACATGCTGGAGGCGTGACCGCGGCTGAGGGGCATGAGGGCCCGGGGAGGGCAGCGTGCCGGAGACGGGGGGGAGAGCGGGTGGCTCCCGAGGATGGTGCTGATAAACCTCTTCTGCAAGTTGATGTGCACCTCGTTCCGGTCGGATGTCCTGCCTCGGGCGGAGAGTTCCTGTCTCCCCCTCTTACTGACGGGTCAGCCAGTGCTCTGAATGAACAAGACGCCTGTCTGGGATCAGTTAAGGAACATTGTGGCCTTGGAATGACTTAGGTCCCTGAGCTTCTTTTCCCCATTAATAGTTCTGACTTGGTGGGAGGCTGTTGGCAGGTTCTGTGAGGTGATGCATGGAAAGTGCTCAGTGGAGCGTCTGCCCTGAGAAGGAGACCCATGAACTGTAGCAACTAGAGTCATCATTGATTCTCAACAGTACTAGCATGCTCAGGTGTTTGTAAGGTGCCCCAAGGATCTAAAGCAAGAGTGGATTTGGGGAGTAGGGTTTTGACAGCTGAATAAGAGTTCCTTTGGTGCAGTAGGAGCTTGAGGAATGATGAGCCTGTTGGAGTGACCAGCTTGAGGGAAGTGTCCATATCAGAGTTGGGATTTACTTTCTCCCCTCATGAGGGACTAGTGAGGAGTCCCAGGAGGTGCTAAGATTCACCCCCTTCTCCAGGAACTGCAGATGAAGCGCACAGCAATTGAAGCTTTCAATGAGACGATTAAGATCTTTGAAGAGCAGGGCCAGACACAAGAGAAGTGCAGCAAGGAATATCTGGAGCGCTTCCGGCGTGAGGGCAATGAGAAGGAGATGCAAAGGTGAGCCTGGCTCCTCTGTCCTGCCCTACTCTACCCTGATCTGGCACAGTATAAGTGGGGAAAGAAAGGAAATAGAGGGGGCAGCCTGAGTTCCAGGGGGAGGGAGGGTCAGTTGAAATGGGTTTTGAAGGCTGAATAGGAGTTTGCCAGAAAGAAGTAAGGGAAACAGCATGTGCAAGGGTTTGGAGGCTGACAGCCATCTGAAGCCTCTGAGCCACACCTCTCACAGGATCCTGCTGAACTCAGAGCGGCTCAAGTCTCGCATCGCTGAGATCCACGAGAGCCGCACAAAGCTGGAGCAGGAGCTGCGTGCACAGGCCTCAGACAACCGGGAGATTGACAAGCGCATGAACAGCCTCAAGCCAGACCTCATGCAGCTGCGCAAGATCCGAGACCAGTACCTCGTGTGAGTGCCCGGCGGCGCGCCCGCGGGCCCTTGGTGCGGGGCTCCTGCTCAGGTGGGCTCCGCAGGGGTCTCCCTCTCCCTATGTCCACCAGGGGGCCCCGCCCAGCCCCCCAGACCCTCGTCTGCCCTGGAGCTCCCCCCTCTCCGTCAGGCCCCAGTCCCGTGGGGCCGGGTCCCCTCCCCGACTGTGGGACCGGCGCTGGGGGCCGCCCGGTAGCTCTGCGCCCTCCTGCCCTCCGCAAGTCCTCGGGTCTCCGCTTACAGGGGGCTCGTTCGGCCTCGGTCAGTGTTGGCCGTGAACCGGGCGTGTGGCAGAGCCTGACCCCTTGTGGCAGCCGGGCGTATCGCATCAGAACCTGCGCTCCTAGGTCCGTCCTGGCCTGGCGCCCGGCTGGCTGCCTGCTGTGGGCTCGCCCTGCCGTGCTGCAGCCTGCCGTCCCCTACTGGCGCAGCGCTCAAGCCGCCTTTCCTCTCCCGCAGGTGGCTTACCCAGAAAGGCGCCCGGCAGAAGAAAATCAACGAGTGGTTGGGGATCAAAAACGAGACTGAGGAGTGAGTGACCACCTGGAGGGACCCAGGGAGGGTTTCCCAGAGGAGAGGTCGTTTTTGGTGGGCTTTGCAGAATGAGTAGGAGTTCACCAGGGAAGGAGCGTGGTCCAGGCGGCAGGGGGCGCCTCGGAGGCTGGCGCATCCGTGACCAAGGCCCCTCCCTGCCTCCCCCACAGCCAATATGCGCTGATGGAGGATGAGGAGGACCTCCCCCACCATGAGGAGCGCACGTGGTATGTGGGCAAGATCAACCGCACGCAGGCCGAAGAAATGCTGAGTGGCAAGCGGGATGGCACCTTCCTCATCCGCGAGAGCAGCCAGCGGGGCTGCTATGCCTGCTCGGTGGTGTGAGTTCCTGGGGGCGCGGTGCACTGAAGGGGTGAGGGATGGCGCATTCCCGGAGACCTACTCTGCCTGGCTTGGATAGAAATCCCCCATGGCTGCCACAGGGCCAAGGGACCGTTGGGGCCGCGGAGGGAGCTGGGACAGTGTCCGGGCAGGAGGCGGCGGGTCTGGACCAGGTCGGAATCCAGGAAATGGGGAAATGCGAGTCTGGGGGGAGAGTCCCGCGGCCCGCTAACTGGCCCCGGCCCGCCCCGCAGGGTGGACGGCGACACCAAGCACTGCGTCATCTACCGCACGGCCACGGGCTTCGGCTTCGCGGAGCCCTACAACCTGTACGGCTCGCTGCGGGAGCTGGTGCTGCACTACCAGCACACGTCGCTGCTGCAGCACAACGACGCGCTCGCCGTCACGCTCGCCCACCCGGTGCGCGCGCCCGCGCCCGCGCCCGCGCGCTGAGCCGCCGCCCGCCCTCCGCGCCCTCGTCCCGGCTGCCTGTGTCCCCCTCTCTCGGTCTATTCCGTCCCCACCTCTCCGTCCTCCTTCCTGTCTCTCTGTCTTTCTTGCTCTCTCTCCTAAGCCTCTGTGTTGGGGTTCCTGCCTCCCCGACCTCGGACTGCCCTCCCCCACGGACACTGCCCTGCCCACGGCTCTGGCACTCCGAGCCGGGGCCCCCGGGGTCCCCGAAGCCCCACCTGGCTGCACCTGCCATGTTTACAGAAGCCCCTGGGCTGCGCGGCCCCAGCCTGGGCACCCCGATTTTTAAGCCATAGACGTGGGGTCAGGGCAGGAAGGAACTTCGCTTGGCCACTTCCAAGAACCTCGGCTGTGACATTTGGGGCTGGGCGGGACCCGCCCCACAGCCCCCAACTTCCCCTCCAAACCCTGAAGTGAAACCTGCCACTGGGTTATCCCCACAATGGGGCTGCTGCCGAGAAATACCCCCGAAAAAAAAAGATAATTAAAAATAAGATTGGGAGCCGGCCCCATGGGGCCCGTGGCCTGCGGGGCGCTGCCACCGGCGCTGTAGGGGCTGCCTCCCCGCGCCCGCGCCCCTGCTGCGCGCCCAGTTGGGGCCTCCGATCATGCTGGGTTCTGATTTTATTTCTCCTTGACTGTAAAGCCCCCTTTCCTCTCCTCTTTTGGGATGAGAGCCCTGGTTTTCTACACCACCCGCGGACCCTCCCGCCTGCTCGGCTCGCCCGGCGGGTTTTGTATGGGACGTTGATACTGATATGGATATAAAACATTGAACACGATGGCGCTTCTCTCGTCGGCGACGGGGCTTCCCCGCAGCCACTGTGTGCCGGGGCCCTGGCCTCCTGGGGTGACAACACACCCTGTGCCTACCAGGGCTGACGCCAGCCACCCCAGTTTAGCCACTCCTGTCCAGGGCAGTTGAGAGCTGCCCCAGGTCACACAGCCGAGAGGCTCAGCCCTGAGCTCTGCCCACACTGTGGCCTGCTCAGGAGACCCCCGGCCTGGGCTCAGCTCCTCACTGCCTCCAGGCTGGCCTCCCCAGGTTTGAGTCCCAGCACTGGGCCACAGCGGTGCCCTGGGGAAAGTCACCTCCCCTCTGATATGCAGCTTTCTCATTGCCATGTGGGGTCAATAGTCACAACCCCTCCCATGCCACCTAGAGGGGTCTCCCGTGTCCTTGATGTCCTCAGCGCCAGTGCCTCCCTGCTGACACTCTCTCTCCACACCTGCCCCTGACACTCAGACCACTAGGTCCCAGGGGACACTGAGCTGGGTCCTCACGGAATCTTTGACCTGGATTCCCCCTCACCTCCCCCCACGAAGGTCCCTGTCCTTTGGCCCTCCCCCAGGGCTGGGAGCCTTCTGTCCTCCCCTCCCCCTGCAGCACCTGTCAGGGCCCAGCATGCCTGGGGCAGCCCGGGTGAATGACCAAGCAAAGCGGCACTCTGACCCATTTCTCCTGCTGGACTCTCAGGGGGACGGGAGCTGCCTCCCTTGGCCTCAGAGCCCCCAGGACTTCCTAAGCATGGTCCCCACTGGGTGCCCAGTCAGGGGGCACCCCATAAATAACCACAGCCCAGATGTGCCTCCCCTGTGGTCTTCACTCATTGCGTGGGTGGTCACAGGATGAAGGACACCTTGGTCGCAGGGCCCCAGCTGGGCTGAGACTGGTGGCAGAAGATAACAGTCTACACAGCGTCTGGCCAGTGCCCGCACCAACCGCCAGCTGTGTTTCCTAGAGAAAGTCGCCTCGCCTCTCTGATGCTCAGTTTCCTCTTACCAAGTGGGCTCAGTCACCCAACTGGATGTCCTTGAGGGTTCCATGACCAACTGGGTGAGGTTACACTTAGGAACATGTCCAACAGGGCTGGTGCTGAGAAACCACCAGAGAAATTGTAGCAATTATATTTATTGGTGTTTCTTCCAACCTGCCCATCACAGGGCAAGCACACACACTCCCCAAAGTTATGCTGCTTGGTCTTACGGGGGCTTCATGAAGGAAATGGGTTTTGCAAAGGGTCCAAAGGGACAAGATGGGGGAATCGTCCTGCCAAGGGGACTTAGGGAAACCCCGGCTCCCGAACCTGCTGCCGTCAACGTGGACACGCAGCACTGGAGGGGACGTGGCTGCGGAGCTGCGGACTCACTGCGTTCCAGCGCAGGTCTGGGCGTTTCCTCCTGTGGGATCATCCTGCAGCGCGTGGCATCTGAGGCCCTGCAAACATGGCGGCGGGTTATTCCCCTAGCCTTCATGGGGACTCTCCTCTGCCGGGGCCTGCGCTGCTGGCCCTGTCAACACCCTCCCAGGCTCCCAGGCCCACCTGTGCCCCCGACCCCCAGCCTGGGCAGCTCTCCTGCCTCTGAGCCCTCCATAGTGGCTTTATTCCCCAAACCTGACTCTTCCTATCTTCCAGAAGGGGAAGCTGAGGCTCCATCCCTCAGGGGGCCCCCACGGTGCTGGGCCAGCCAGGGTCTGGCTGACTCCCCCGGGGTTTGGTTCCTACCTGGCCACCCTCCTCCGGGTACATAATATGGCTTCAGGACATTACTGCTCCACCTGCGGCTTCTCTCCCCCGATGGAGCTCACGGAGGGCCGGGATGCCCCCCCAAAGGTCTGGACAGTGGGAACAAGGAAGGCCAGCTCTCCTTGCCCCTGAAGCCAGGGTGGGGGAGCCCTGAGAAGTGAGGCGCCCCTCCCCGCACTGGCTTCTGCTTTCTGGCCCAGCTGTGGCCAAGCCTGAGTCAGCCCGGCAGCCTTTGTGGGTCTGCAGCGTCGCGGCTGGGGGCCTGAGGTGGGGAGGAGGCCATGGCACGTCGAGTGAGTTCAGAGTGAGGGCGCCCTGGACCAGGCTAGGGGGAGGGGGCCAGGCTGCCCAGCCCCTGTCCTGCTCCCAGGTAGGGGATGGCCCCCCATTAGAGCGCAGGGTGGGGATACGGGGTCCCCGGGCTAGGGACCGGGCTGGATCACCCTGCCCGCCGACAGAGGCGTCCGTGGGCGCCTGGAGACCCTCCTGTCGCTCCAGGCTCCGTGTCTCTCTCTGTCAAGCCGCCACCCCACCTTGGCTCAAGGTGCTCTCGCCCCAGCCTCACGTGCCCGGCCGAGGCTGTCTGCGCAGCGGGTGGGGCGCCTCATGATTGGGGCCCAGCACCTGGCAGGGCACCGTGGTGGTCGGGGTGGGAAGGGCGACCGGAGAGAGTAGAGACACCTAGAGATGCCAGCCCGGGCCCGAGGGGCGTGGACGGGGGCGGGTCCGGCCTGGGGGCTGGGCCACCGCCCGGTTAAAGGCGGCTCCTTCCCGGGCTGCTGCTCTCGCCGCTGAACACTTGTCCCCGCCGTGATGGCCTGGTCGCCACTCCTGCCGTTCCTGCCGCTGCTGCTGCTGCTGCTGCTGGAAGTCCCCGCGGCGGCCCGGGCGTCCCCGCTGGAAACGCTCCCCGAGGGGGCGGCCGCCTGCAAGGTAGGGACGGCGACGCGGCGGGCGGGCCGGCGGGGACCGGGGGCAGGCGGCGCCCCCTCCCCAAGCTTAGCCGGGCCAGACCGGGCTCCGCAGGGGACGCCGCCCCGGCCGGTGCCGAAACCCCGTGTCCCGCGCGCAGCCCTGCGGCCACACTCTGAGTTGTTTCGCTTCCCCATCTCGCGTCTGAGACGCTCAGCTGCTCTCCCCACCCCAGCCCGTCCTGCCCGGGGGTGCATTGAGCACCTACTGTGTACCTCTGGGGCGGGAATGGGGGCTCCTCTTGCGGGCCCGGGGGAGCCCAGATCAGCCTGCCGGGCCCCGGCGTTCGTTAGGCGCCGCCTGCTAGGTGCGTCCCGGCCGGGGCAAGGCTCGCGGGTGTCTGGTGCGGATCGCGCGGATGCCCGGAGGCCGAGAGACTCGCTCAGGCCCCACAGCCCCGGGCCGCCCGCCCCGCCGCAGCTGGAGCAGGAAGTCAGCACGTATTAGGCACCGCCTCTGCAGTAGGCTTGGGCCCGTGGAGAGGAAGAATAAACAAGGCGGCAGCGCGGATATAGGGCTTTGCTCAGCTCAGGGCCAAGGCTCTGGGGATGAAGTGGCCACCATTGAGCATGCATTAGTCTCCTGTGGTATGCACTCCTGAGAAGGCAGGATTGAGGGCAACGCCCAGGAATGTACATGCCTTGAGTCCTTACTGCATGCAGTCCCCCCAGGCGAGGCATTTCACCTTACCTGGAGGAAAGTAAGAGCTGTGCATACATTAAGTGCCTACTGTTTGCAAATCTTTGTCACGTCCATTTTGCAAACAAACTGAGATTTAGGAAGATTTAGGGGCACAGTAAAGGCTTAGGGTCTGGATTCCACCTAGCAAGGTCTGGAAGGAATTCGAGATGGAGCACCTGTTTGCAGCTCCCTTTTCACAAGAGCCCCGGGCAGGGCTGACTTCCTTCACACCCTTCCTGCTGTGCAGGCTGGTGACCTGTGCCTGCAGACGCTGCTCAGGAAGTCGGACCCCCCGCCCGTCAACGTGAGCCTCTACTATGAGGCGCTGTGCCCCGGCTGCCGGTCCTTCCTGGTCCGAGAGCTCTTCCCGACATGGCTGATGGTCCTGGAGATTCTCAATGTCACGCTGGTGCCCTATGGAAATGCCCAGGTGCGTGGGCATGGAGGAAACCAAGACCCAGGGCCAGGGGAGGAGGCATGAGGCGGGCCAGCCAGCACTCACCCCGCTGCCTTGCAGGAACGAAACGTCAGTGGCAAGTGGGAGTTCACGTGCCAGCACGGCGAGGAGGAGTGCAAGCTTAATAAGGTGGAGGTGAGTGGCCCCCCACTCCTGAGGGGCCCCAGAGCAGGAGACGCCCGAGAGGAAGGCTCAGAGGGCACTGGAGCCGGCTCCGTCCTGCGCCTCTGCCTCCATTCAGCCACGCTTCATTCACTGCTTCATTAGTGGACACCTATGGTTTTCCCCAGAATGGTCTTGGGGTGCTGTGAGCCCCCCTCACGTCCTTGCCTCCCCACCCCTGACCCCTACCCCCAGGCCTGCCTGTGGGACCTGCTGGAAAAGAACTTGGCCTTCCTGACCATTGTCTGCGTGGAGGAAATGGATGACATGGAGAAAAACCTGGCGCCGGTGAGCAATACACCTCATGAGCCCTGGGTTGCGGGACCCTGGCCTTCCCTGCACCCAGACAAACCCAGGTTCAAGTTCTGGCCTGACTGCCACGCTCTGTGCAGCCCTGAATTGGGATCTCATGGGGGCGTGGGTGGATCAGAGAGGGCTTCCTGGGTGAGGCACCCCTGAGCTGGGCTTGGACAAACAGGAATGTGCAGGGACACAGATAATGCGCCTCCTCTGGGGTGTGGGGACGACAGGACTGGCCTGCCTACTTCCCTGGACGATTATGAAAAGGAACTTCGAAGGCCTGATTCATCTGCCCCGATCGTTTCTTCATTTGTCAAACATCTGGGCCACCCAAGAGACCTGAGCCACCCTGAGCCGCCCCCAACCCGCAGAGTCATAGAGGTGCTGGAGGCGCGCAGAGGAGGAGACATTCAGGAGATGCTGGGGAGAAGGAGGAAGGGTTTGTCTGGCGGAGGGAACAGCGTGTGCAGAGGGGCTGAGGAAAGTGAGCCACTGTGTGGGTCAGGGGCTGCGGGTGTGGTCTTACAGAGGAGGAGCTGCCTGGGCCGCGCTTCCGGGGCCTCTGCTCAGGCGTGCATTGAGTTAAGCACCGCTGTGTGCCAGCATCGCTGCATTGCCATGGACCCAAATGTCCCCTGTTGCCGCTGAGGAAACAGAAGCTTGACGTGGGAGTCAGTGGGGGGACCGTTGGGAAGATAACAGGGAGGAAGCTGAGGCAACAGCCAGCTCACCACCCCCCTCCTCTAGTGCCTGCAGCTCTACGCCCCGAAGGTGTCCCCGGGTGCCATCATGGAGTGTGCAACAGGGGACCGTGGCGCGCAGCTCTTACACATCAATGCGCAGCTCACGGACGCTCTGCAGCCGCCTCATGAGTACGTGCCCTGGGTCGTCGTCAACGGGGTAAGCACTCCCGCGGCCCTGGCTCGCCCCGGGCAGGGACCAGCTGATGGACAGCCCACCTGTCTGTCAGGGAGGTGGGAGGCAGGGGCCAGACTGGGGGCTCTCTGCAGCCCCTTCTGGGCTGGGCACATGTGCGAGGGGCAGGTGGGACTGTGTGACCTCCCGTCTCGCTTTGCGCAGAAACCCTTGAAGGATCAGAGCCAGCTCCTGTACCTCGTCTGCCAGTTGTACCAGGTGAGCAGCGGGACGGAACAGAGGGGCTGGGCTGGGGCAGGGAACGTCTCCTTCCGGGGCCCCAGCTCACTGCCATCTCCTCCAGGGCGAGAAGCCAGACGTCTGCCAGCTCATGGCCAGCTCCCACAGGGAAGTCTGCTTCAAGTGATGGCCTTGCCCCAGGAGGGAGCGGAGGGGGAAGAGCCAGACCCCCTACCCTCGCCTTTCTGATCCCTGACTCTCAGCAACTACTGCTCGGCATCCGGATAACTTCGACACATTCCATGAAGTCCAGACTCAAATTCTGCCCCAAGATCAAGAGTCTTGCCCCACTGGGAATGGTGCTACATTGAAACTAGTTTAATAAACACTTCTGGATGTCTTGATTCATTTGATAAGTCAGCAAATTTCCCTCTTCTGCACCTGCGCAAATGCTAGGACCCCTGAGGAGGCCCCCGTTCAGGGATGCAGAGCCAGACAGACATCTCGAGTCCTATGGTACTGGGGATGGGCCGAGGGAGAGACCAGGGCTGGAGGAGCCCAGAGTGGGAGTGAAGGCTCTGCATAGGGAAGAGGGGCATTGGGGCTGGGGTTTTGAAGGGTGACTTGGAGTTCATTAGGCATAAAATATATTCATTAATTCAACAGACATCCCCTGCCTTGCCACCCCCTTTTGCTGACCTGACACTGGGTGATACAGGTTGAGCCAGAGAATGTGAACTGGGGCCAGGCAAGGCCAGAGAATGCGGCAGAGGCTTTGTCTGGGGAGTTTTGAAGAATGTGTTCACTGGGAAAAATCATCATGTTCCAGGAGAGGGCAACAGAGTGCAAAGGGCTGGCCAGCAGCACAAACTGGAGCTGGGAGGCCGGGCTGAGGCATCTGAGAACAACAGGGCGTGTTGTAGGATAACTTTCACAGAAAGGAAAATTCATGGTTCTCATGCTGATGTAAAACGAACGCGAGTTAAAGATTTTGTTTAATTCGTGATTAGTGAGGGAAACTGGTCAGCTGTTCTGAGGAGGACCCGAGAACAGGCAGATTTATAGATCAGGAATATTGAAACGATGGTGCAAAGAGAGGCAAAACTGACTTTTTCACGAGAGGCAGAGGAGTGGTTCCTTTTTTTACCCCTGGCTTTTTTTTTTTTTAAGTTTAATAATAGATTTTATGTAACCTGATATGTATCTGATACATTATCATTTCAACATATAATCGATATGAGAAATCTCAGTGCGATCATTTCTGTTCTTTTTGATGCAAAGTCTTAACCGGTGTGTGGTTCATATCCACAGCGCATCTCAACTCCGACCGACCTCGGCCCAGGCGCTCGCGGTCACAGAGTTGCTGATCACAGCTGCAGGGGAGGAAGTCACTTTCCCTCCACCCTTCTCGGTTCTGTGGCTGAGACCCCGTGATAAATAAATGACAAGCAATAGGAGATATTGGAGGACGTGAGGAAACCATTTGGTGTAAACCTGATTTGGCCTGACTTTGTTTTCCAAAGGCCTGAGGTGGCCGGCTGCGCGTGCACTGTGCACCTGCTTTAACATTCACAGGGTCCCAAAGCCAAGAATGACGCCCCTAAAGATAGGGATGTAACTTCTCCCACATCGGCATTTCTTTAAAGATAGCATCTCTTCTTGGGAACTAAGGATTAATTACTGACCTGCTGTGCTCACCTCGTGACCCCTGACCTGCTGACCTCCGACCTGCTGTGCCAGCTCAGCATCTCGTGACAGCAGTAAAAGGGACGTTCTTGTCATATGTGATGTATGCTCTCTGTTCCAAGACAGTATATAACCACTGTGCACCCCCACGTCTGTGGTGCCCTCCCCGCCTTCGGGAAGCAGGCCCCGGGCCACAGTCCTCAGACCTGGCTCAGAATAAGCTCGCCCCACTTTTGATCTATAGATTGCTTATGGATTATTTGCACCGACACCCATGTAATACAAGCCAGATCAATAAGAGAAAACCAGAGTTTAACAACATGTGCCCTCCTCTGTCTGTGTGAGAGACCCAGGAAAACTGAGTAAAACTCCCCAAAATGGCCTAAGTCACCGCCTTAAACACCATCTTCAGCTAAAGACAAAAGAAAGACGTTGGGGGCCTGCCAGCTTCACCAAGGTACAACTGACGGACTGACTATATTGAAAGTGTACAATGTGATGACTTGAGATAGGTACACGTGACACAGTTCAGCGAGTTAACACCTCCATCCCCTCACGTGCTCACCTGTGTGTGTGCTGAGAAGCCGCTCGCTTAGCCGCTGTGCCTTTACCATAAGCACAGCTCACGCGAGTCACCATGCCGTGCGCAGAGCCTCAGAGTGGACTCCTCGTGAGGCGCCAGTCTGCGCCCTTTGAGCTGGGCCTCCCCCCATCTCAGTTCCAGGCAAGCACGGTCTTCCGCTTTTATGAGTTGGCCTATTTTAGACTCCACACACGAGTGAGAGCGGCCAGTGTTTGTCTTTATCTGGTCTGTTTCACTGAGCACAATGCCCTTCAGCTTCCTCCGCGTTGTCACAGACAGCAGGACTTCCTCCTTTCTTATGGCTTGCATACTCGAGTTACCCCTTTTGTCAAAAATCTTCTCAAAGAAAGACCCTCCTTGGCAGGTCTCACTGGATTTGCCCTAATTATTTACACAGTGCTGCAGGTGCTCAGTTTGCTTTGCTCGAAATTTCCGTGAGGAATCTCAGGTTGGACTTTTGAAAGCCTCTAGCATTTGCTAACCCCACCGGGAGGAATCCTACCGGGCTGCACCTGCAGATTCTATGCCTTTTGGTAAATTCCTCTCTTCTTCATGTCCCCAAAGGATCACAGGATCTTGGTCGGCCAGGACGGACCTGTCAGACTGACCCTGCGAGCCAGGCACAGGCTGGTTTTCCTGTGAGGACTTCCTAAGCCTCGGCTCCCAAAAGTCAAACTTCGTTTCTTGAAACTGGTTGGTCCAATGCACGCACAGATGGTCTCTCTCCCGGGAGGCAGAGCTTAATCCCACCCCACCTTGAGGGTGGACTGGATTTTGTAACTTGATTCCAAAGAGAAGGAAAGAAAGTGAAATTGTCACTTGACAGTGGAGCAGAGACACCTGGCACATCATGGGAACCACGTGACCCAGGTGCACAAAACTGGAAGTCACGTGCACACCACCCGCCCCTGCCAGAATGCCCAGAGGACCCTCCACGCCTGCGGCCTTCCTCTCGGAGACCCAGAACCCCAGCTGCACCGTGAGAAAGCGTCCCGGTCCCCAACAGAGGGACAGCCTCAAAATACCTGACCAGTGCTGTTCAGCCTGTCAAGGTCAAGGCAAAACCCAGCAAGTGTCAGGGACCAGAGGAGACCAAGGCGAGCTGATGACTAAACGCAACATGGTGGGATCCTGGTCCAGTTACCATTTTACTGAATGACTGGAATTACGACTGAGAACGTGGTACCATTGTTGCCTGACAGCAGCCAATGCACCTTGAGGAAACTGACGGAGACACTGTGGCACAGACACTGCGAGCATTGACCAGTCTCCCTTTTGATGAAGTCATGCGGGTCATCATGGCTACAAGATCCCTCCTGAAGCATGATGTAACATCACGGTCGCCGTCTGTCACATTCACAGGCGCCCCCTCGCTCCAGGCCGTGTGCCCCTGAGCGGCCATCTCGGGCCCTCCCAGAACCCTGCCCGTCACTCCCCCTGACAAGAAACTTGACAGCCTCACTCACAGCGGAAGCAGGGTGGCTCTGAGTGACAGGCAGATGCGCCTGAGGCAGCGTCCCCGTCTCCGATTCTGAGCGTCCGCCGCAGGCGGAGAGGAGGCACGGGGAGGGCAGGGGAAACGCAGAATTTGATTTGGGGAAGTTTGTCAAAAAATGTCAATGGTTTGAACTCTTGAGTAAATAGGATCACAGATTACTATGAAACCATACTTATTACCTATTTCACAAAGGGACAATCAAGGATTTTAAAGGCAAATGCAGTAAATTACATAGTTGGGGGAAAAAAAACCCTTAGCTCTTTTAATATTGAGAAGACTCAGTTTTCCTGTTTAAAAACCTGATAGAGACAGCATTTTGATGAAACACAGAGTCTTTTGTTTTCCATGTGAATTATTTAGTAGGTAAAGAAAACTTTTACAATAATTCAAGAAAATTTTGTCCTTTTATCAGAGAAAGAAAATCAAATTCTAGTTTTGCACAAGCACATTATGGATATTAAAGCTCATTTTTCAAACTCTTATAATAAATCCATTTAAGTTTTGTCAGTTTGACCACATAAGATAAGACTTTCTCTCTCTCCTCCCTCTCCAACTTTCTGTACCCACTTAGGTTGTTGTCTTGTTTTCTCTTTCTTATTTTGAAACAATCTTTAAATACCCTTAAACTAGGACAAAATTACTCTCCTTTTCCCTTCACAAGAATGCATTCTTCATATCTCATATTCTTCCTACCAAAAACACATCTTATTTTCCTTGCATACTTCGCATAGAGTTTTTTCCGTACCCTTATTATTCATAATAGTTTAACTTACTTACGTTGATTATAATTTCATAACCCTAATTTCCAGTGAAAACTAGGAAGCAAGCAATTGCAAACTGTAGACATACTAACATTTATGCCAAGTACACCGCAAGCTTCTGCAGGAGAGTCTCGCGTTTAGGAAGACACTATTTCCCGCTTTCTAGAAGCACACACTTCCTTACAGTACAGTTTTTTAATGTGGCAAAGGATATGTTTACTAACTAACCCAAATATCTTTAGTCTCTCTGTAAAACTTAAGAAGCCAAGGAAATAAACTTAAACTTATGTTTAATAATTCCTATTTTAGTATTTTATCTTATTTGTGAATGACCTAGATGTCCAATGACTAGCCATCATTTAACTTAACTTAGTATAACTTTAAGGCTCCCAGCATCCAAAAAGCATTTAAAACTATTTTTAAGCAGACATATTATAAAATATAATCAGTTTTGAAAAGTTTACTCATAAATTTTTATCCCACTTAAGTTTACTTAACTTACTTTTTTTTAACAATCACGCTGAGATTACTCATGAAAATTTCACGAGTCATTAAATAGCATCATCTTAAGTTATTTTTCTCGTTGACAAATCAGGCCAGTATCAAAAATCACAGAAGCACAGAACCGAAAAAAGTCAACGTATGACGCGCTCCCTTTTTTTGCTTTTTCTTTACTGTCATGCTTGATATACATCAAGCAATTCACTTTCATCGTCTGTTTGGTTCTTAGGTTGAATGCATAGTTTTATAAGCTTAAACATTTAGTAGAGATAACAAGATAACAAGTTTGTTTGACTGATCTTAATTTATGTAAACACTTTTTTTAAAAAGCCAATTAAAAAGAGTTCTTTCACAAGCTAGTTTTTAGTAATACTTCTTGGAGGTAGAAAAATATTACATACATATAACATACATATATAGACACACAGAAACATAGAGACAGATGCCAACAGAGATCTTATGGCTTTTATTTTTAAATTTTAGCCATGATACAGGTATGGAAATACAAAATCCATTAGTTAAGAAAAACAGAGGGGCTGGCCCTGTGGCCGAGCGGTTAAGTTCGCGTGCTTCGCTTCTGAGGCCCAGGGTTTTGCTGGTTCGAATCCTGGGCGCGGACATGGCACTGCTGGTCAGGCCATGCTGACGCAGGGTCCAACATGCCACAGCTAGAAGGATCCAGAACTAAGAATATACAACTATGCACCGGGGGGCTTTGGGGAGAAAAAGGAAATAAATAAAAATATTTAAAAAAAAAAAACAAAAGAAAACAAAACTAATCAGCCTTTTATGACTTAACCATGGACGCAAGATGTGTCCTCAAAGACAGTGAAAAGATGCAGCCCTCCCAAGACCCAGAGCCACTCTCAACAAGAGTCAAAAGAAAGAAAGACTTAGACAATTCCCCTGAGAGCTGGCAACAGCGGTCGGCAGGACCCTAGCCATAAATAGGGTGCAACCCACATTTCCGTCTGGCAGTCTACATATCCTTGGGGCTCCTAACCTGAACAGTTGGTCACCTGCACATGGAGGCCCACCACCCTGTGGGCAGAAGGCCCAGCCTCACTCTCAGCACACAGAAGGAGACATACAGGAAAGCAGTAGCAGCCCCTGGGAGGGAAGGATCAACAAGGGGGCCCTAAAACCAACTGAACAGGAGCCACAATCCAGAGAGCTAATCCTTACAAATGCTTTTCTCTTGCCAATCTGAACCCGGAAAGAAAAGGACAAGGAGAAGTTTTTACCACCCTCTCTCGACTGGGCACTACAGACAGACATCCCGGAGACGGACGAGCTAGGAACTCTTACCTTCTGCAGGATTACTCAGGTCCCAAGATCTCTCAGCTGCAGACCCCGGAGCCAACAGCGTCTCAGCCAAGGCTCTGCCATCCTCAGACCAGAAACTGGAGGGGAGGTGAAGGTTTCCTCCGTCTTCCTACGGTCTCCAGACAAGATCGACACCAGACAGGTTGACAGGAGAAAAGCACACAAATGCTATTTACACGTACAGGACGGCTCTTACACGAAAAATGAAGACCCAAATTAGTGATTAGGCCTAAGTGCTGATTTACTAGGCTGAACAGAGAGTGGTAAGTGTGGAAAAGTAACCAAAATATATGGAGAGATTAAAGGAAGAGTTGTTTTAACAAGGTCTGTTTGTACAGATTTCTCTCGGGCTTGACGCATGTCTCTGGTGGTAAGAGTGTTTCTTTCTCCTGGTACACCGAGGGCGTCTTTCCCATGTGAATTTTATCTCCCACTTTCAGGAAGAAAAACGAAGGTCAGAGCACAATTTGGCATCTTGCTGTTTTTCAAATAGCTTTAACTCAAAATCAATCTGCCAGAGCTGCGTCAACTTAAAAGCAAATTTGCCTATTATTTTATCTCAAAATAAGTTTATTCAGGAATCCTCAAAAGAAATGCAACACACGATCTGCACGCTATGGCAAAGCATAGGCAAATCCAGAAAACAAAGGAGGGGAGCTGCTTTTATAGAGACAGAGGGGGATAGGGGGCGGCTGTTCTAAAGGAAAGTCCCCTGGGGGAAAGTGGGCGTTCAGGGCGGCAATGGCTTCTCACTGGCTGGGCTGTGGCGTTTCTCATTGGCTGGGCTGTGGCATTTCTCATTGGCTGGGGTGTGGCGTTTCTCACTGGCTGGGCTGTGGGGTTTCTCACTGGCTGGGCTGTGGCATTTCTCATTGGCTGGGCTGTGGCGTTTCTCATTGGCTGGGCTGTGGCATTTCTCATTGGCTGGGCTGTGGCATTTCTCATTGGCTGGGCTGTGGGGTTTCTCACTGGCTGGGCTGTGGGGTTTCTCATTGGCTGGGCTGTGGGGTTTCTCATTGGCTGGGCTGTGGCATTTCTCATTGGCTGGGCTGTGGGGTTTCTCATTGGCTGGGCCATGGGGTTTCTCATTGGCTGGGCTGTGGTGTTTCTCATTGGCTGGGCCGTGGTGTTTCTCATTGGCTGGGCTGTGGGGTTTCTCATTGGCTGGGCTGTGGGGTTTCTCATTGGCTGGGCTGTGGGGTTTCTCACTGGCTGGGCTGTGGGGTTTCTCACTGGCTGGGCTGTGGGGTTTCTCATTGGCTGGGCTGTGGGGTTTCTCATTGGCTGGGGTGTGGCGTTTCTCATTGGCTGGGCTGTGGGGTTTCTCATTGGCTGGGGTGTGGCATTTCTCATTGCCTGGGCTGTGGGGTTTCTCATTGGCTGGGCTGTTGCCGGGTGGGGAGAGAAGTCTTCCTTCAGTAGTAAAGTAGTTGTACTTCCTATCTGAGGGTAAGTCCCTCTCTTCCTCTTTGATGTAATTGACGGTGTGTGATGGGGGTGAGAGCGCCCCCTGCAGGCCTTCCCGGCTCTAGTTTAGTTAAGGTTCTTTTATTAATTTTCACAGCAAGCATATTTTGGGGTTGCATGTCCTAAACTCCTTCAACAGAAATGCACAAAATCACAGGTCCAGATATCAAAAGCTATTCTTCCTGGCGGGCACTAAATTATTTTTTTGTGGGTTAGGAATATTGTCCCTGAGCTAACATCTGTGCCAATCTTCCTCTATTTTTTGTATGTGGGATGCCGCCACAGCGTGGCTTGATCAGCAGTGTGAGGTCTGTCCCTGGGGTTCAGAACCCACAAACTCCAGGCCACCAAAGTGGAGTACACGAACTTAAGCACTATGCCATGGGGCCAGCCCACCCTTTTTTTTTCTTATTGAAGTATAGTTGACATATAATATTATATTAATTTCAAGTGTACAACATAATGACATTATGATATTATGGGACCCAGGAACTGGCAAGCCGGCCCCACCCCCCCCACCCCCATGCCCAGTGAGTCACTGCTGCACCCAGATGCCTGCCCCATTCAGTGCTGGCCAATGGCCCACTCTCTTCTTTGAGATCTGCATTATTTACATTACGAAATGATCATCATGGCAAGTCTAGTTACCATCTGTCACTATGCAAAGTTATTACAATATTACTGACTATATTCCCTAGGCTGTACATTACATCCCTGTGACATTTATTTTACAACTGGAAGTTTGTACCTCTTAATCCCCTACACTTACTTCACCCATTCCTCTACCCTCGGCACTAAATTCTTAATTGATCCTCCATTGTCTCTGAACCAGCAACTAGGAACCCCTCAATAGAGACTGCCCAGTGTTCAGACCATAAAGCCGAATGCCCAATCCTTGATTCCACCAGTACTGGTGACATTATCCATCAGAAAAGCATCAAAACAAGGCACAAATTTATAGCGAGAAAGCAAAAATGAGACAGAGAACCAGTAAAATTCTCTTACCCCTTTGGAGTCACCAGGGCTTCAGTCACCGTGAAATGCACTTGTCTGTCTACAAAGTTTATCTGACTCTGTCCCGTGAATCATAATTTGACTCCCCCCCCCCCGCCTTTAACCATTTTGAAGCTTTTACACCAAGATACAGTAAAATCTGGAACCTGGAATACTAGGCTGAGGTATCTGACAGCAATAGGAAGTGCCAGAGGATAATTTTCCAAAAAAAGGTAAAATGATAACTCTCATACAGTTGTAAAAATGAGCCGGTATTAGAGATTATTAACTTGTTGTTAACGAGAACTGGCCAGGTGTTAAAACCATTTCAAAGGAGACCCAAACAACAGATAAATCAGGAATGTTAAAACGAATGTGTAAATTAAGGCAAAAATAATTGAGGGGGAGTGTCTCTGGCAGAATTCATTTGCATGTCTATAGGCAAAATTTTTTTGATCAATTATGACTACAGAATTTATAAAATATCTCCCATGGAATTAGAATCAGAAAACCCTAAGGGGTGTCCTGTAACACAGGGCAATTTTTTTTTTTTGTAAAGGGCCATATAGTAAATAGTTTAGTTTTTGCAGGTCATACAGTCTTTGTCGCGACTACTCATCGCAACCAGGGAATAGACAATACCGAAACAAGTGGGCATGGCTGTGTTCCAGTAAAGCTTTATTTATGCATACTATTTGAATTTCATACAATTTTCACGTCATAGAATATTATTTTGATCCCCCCAACCTTTTAAAAAAATGTAAGAAATATGCTTAGCTCGTGGGAGTCACAAAAACAGGCAGTGACAGGACTTGGCCCACGGGCCACAGTTGGTGATACCCTGCTCCTGTAGGTAAAGCACAGGTTCCGCTGAAATTCACATTTTCCCCTGGAGGAACACAGGAGGTAAAATGAGGATATAATTGTTCCTGCAGCAGCACAAAGTTGTTGTAAAATGACTTAATGCACGTAATCTGCCCAGAACAGAGCCCAAGGTTTCAATTATTACTATTATTCTGGAACTGAGGTCACACGGCCCGCTGAAGTCAGCACCAAGGTCAAGGTCGAAACCAGGCTCCCACTGCGCTGCGCGCCGCAGATCTGTAGCCCCGCCCCCACGCTCGCAGATCTTGGCGGGAGTGGACTTCCGCCCGCCCGCTGTCAGGGCTACAGGCTGGACCCCTTCTCAGGAATTCCGGGAGAGTCTGGAAATCTGGAGGCTAGCTAGACGAGAGAGCACGGTGAAGACTGTCGTCAAGATTGGCCATTTCGGCACGGGAGGCGGGGCGACAGGGATGTGCCCCCGAAACGCTGGCCTGCGATTGGTCGGTGCTCTGCCCGGCTTGGTGAATAGGAGCGCGGCGACGGCGACGCAGAGGCCGGCGCAGAAAGGCGGGGAAACAGGGCGGAACGTCATCAAGAGTCCTGCGTGCTGTGGCGCGAGGCTTATTTGCGATTGGTCCGGAAGGCGCGGGGTGCGGCCTCGTTCAGCGATTGGCCCGGGATGGGATACCGGTCTTTTATTGGCTAATACCGCTCGGGGCGGGCAAAGGTGAACGCCCGGCCGTCAGCGATTGGTCAGCGCGGCTGGGGGCGGGCCTGCAGATCGCGAAGACAGCGTGCGGTTGGCCAGCACGGCGCGGGGCGGGCACCCCGGGTGCGGCGGTGACTCGCGATTGGCCGGCACGAGCGGGTCGGCCCGGTTCGCCGGTTCCTGGGTCCCGGCGGGCAATGGCGTCCGGCGGCTGGCGCTGGCTGCGCGGCCTCTGGGCTGCGGGGCAGCCCCTGTTCCAAGGCCGTGCGCTGCTCGTCACCAACACGCTGGGCTGCGGCGCTCTCATGGCGGCCGGGGACGGTGTGCGCCAGTCCTGGGAGATCCGCTCCCGGCCCAGCCAGAAGTTCGATCCTCGGCGCTCAGGTGAGGAGACCCGTGCTGCTGGCCTTTGACCCTAGAGGACCTTTGACCCCGACCCCGGATTCGGAGACCTCTGAACCGGGCCCGCGGGCCGTGACCCCTGACCCATGCCCTCAGTTCCTGGCAGGACCCTTGACCTCCACGTGCACCCTAGACCCTGACAGTCCCTCCCAGGTCTCGATCCCCTCCCATCCTACCCTTCCCCGGGCCTCTGTCCTTCCCAGTCTGGGGCCTCAGGCCCCCCCATACCTGGGGTTCTGTCCCAGCCCACCCCGTCTTGTGCTTCCCTGGCTCCGGCACTGAGCACGGGAGGCAGCACCCGGTTGTCAAGGGCGCAGCCTCTGGACGGGCCAGCTGGGGGTGGCGCGCTGGCCTCACACTTCCCCACCTGCTGTGCTCGGTTTCCTCCTCTGGGAAGGGGGCGATGGTAGAACCCTCCCGCGGGGTGGTGAGGGAAGGAGGTGAGAAGATCTGGGAGGAGCCCCGGGAATGGTGCCTGGCGGTGGGGCTTGTCATGGAGAACATCCGTGTGGGCTGTGGGCGGTCGGGCTTACCCAGGTCTGAGCCGGAGAGGGAGTGGATTCGGGGTCTGCAGGCCTGACTGGGACTCTTGGCGTGCCCTCAGCGAGCATGTTTGCAGTGGGCTGCAGCATGGGCCCCTTCCTGCACTACTGGTATCTCTGGCTGGACCACCTGCTCCCTGCATCCGGCCTCCGCGGCCTCCCAAATGTCCTCAGGAAGGTCCTCGTTGACCAGCTGGTGGCCTCTCCCATGCTGGGCGTCTGGTACTTCTTGGGTAAGGACCTGTGCGCTTGGGCTTGGCCCCTGTAGGTCGTGAGGGGCAGAGTCAGCTTTGTGTTAAGAAGGTGTGAGCTGCACTTCTGATGCATCTCCTGTGTGGGTGGCCCTGGAACGGGGGCCAGGTCACAGTGGTGACAGGACAGATCCGGTGGGAGTGGGTGTGAATGGCAGAATCACAGACAATGGTGCAAAGTGTGGAAGGGACGAGGACAGGGTCTCATGGGGCTGCCTTGGGCAGTGGTTGGGAGGGCTTCTGAAAGGAGAGGACACTCAGCTGAGACTTGAAGAAGGAGCCAGCAGGCAGGAGGAACAGCCCATGCAAAGGCCCTGAGACTGAAGGAAGAGTTGCTGGGGCTGGGACGATGACTGGGGTTGATGGGGCGCAGTCATCCCAGCCTTTGGCTCGGGGAGGGAGCGTCACTCGCTCCGCACCCCCAGGCTCAGTTCCGCATCGGGTAGTGAAACAGCCTCAGCCTCAGGAAAGGGGTGTCCCTTTCCTTTGGGGAACCTGTTTAGAACCTCTCTTTCTCACTGGGACCCACTTGTTCTGTGTTGTGTCCCCACACTGGCCGCCCTGCTGGACCACTCTTCCCACAGCAAGGCTTCTAAGCATCCTGGTTCCTCGGCCGGGGACGCTCCGTCCTTCAGGGGTCCTGCCCCACTCTCCACCATCGGGACTCCCCAGCCTCTGACACTCGTTGCTTGGTTTCCTCCCCAGGCCTTGGCTGCCTGGAGGGCCAGACCTTGGATGAGAGCTGCCAGGAGCTACGGGACAAGTTCTGGGAATTCTACAAGGTGGGCGTGCCCTCAGGCCGCGTCCACCCGCATTCCCCGCCTCCTCCCCCTCACTACCTCCGGGCCCCGCCCAGGTCCCTCCCGGCCCCGCCCTCACCGCCCTCCGCCCCTCCCCGCAGGCCGACTGGTGCGTGTGGCCGGCTGCGCAGCTGGTGAACTTCCTCTTCGTGCCCCCCCAGTTCCGAGTCACCTACATCAATGGCCTGACGCTGGGCTGGGACACGTACCTCTCCTACCTGAAGTACCGGGTGAGCGCGGTGGGCGGACCAGGCACCCAAGGGACTCCTCAGGGGCCACATATGTGAGCCCCAGATGGCAGTACAGCGACCCTCCAGGGAGAGGGCCTCCTGTGCACAGGACAAGCCGCACCCCACGGTGGGCGGGCGCGGAGCTGATCGCCAACAGGGTGAAGACCGAGCGCATCTCTGCTGCCTGATGTGACCTCGGCTGAGTTCCTGCCGCTTCTGCCCAGAGAGGTCGACCCCAGCCCGGGACCGGTAGTGGAGGAGGGCTGAGCGAGGAGGAGCCCAACGGGATGAACGGGGTGTTTGACCATGCCCTCTTGTGCGGACAGACCCCGGGCCCCCTGACAGCCCCAGGCTGGGGGGCCTCACGCACCGTGCTGGGACCAGATGCCAGACAGGGCAAGACTGAGCCCCAGCCGAGCACTCGTCTGGGCAGGAAGGGGCATGGGCCCCCACGGGCAGGCCAGGCCACGGTCCTGGGCTGAGTCCCAGCCCTACCCTAGCCCCTGGGCATCTGGCTGGGCTGCCCATTACCCAGCCTCAGTTTCCCCATCTGGAGCACAACCGTGAAGATGGACAGTCATTGCCCAGCCCTTCTCACCAGGAGCCTTAGTGCCCAGTGACCGAAATGTCCCGTCCTCGGCACTGGGCCCCAGCCAGTCCCAAGCCACAACCCCTCAACACTGCTGTGGCCTGGCTCTGGACTCCCTGGGACCAAGGTGGGGACATGACCCCTCCCCTCAGAGCAGGGCCTGCCTGGAGTCTGCTCCCTGGCTCCCAGCCTTAGGCAGGGCCAGGCAGCCTCCAGTCTCATCCTCTAGTCATGGACTGTGGAGATTCCATTAAACTCTCGCTGTAATTGAAGTGCTCCTGGGTGACGGAAGCCAGCACTGGGGTGCAGCGCTGTCCATTCGCTTTATTGGGTGTGTGTAGTGTTGTCATGACATCTCCTGGGGGACTGGGGGTCACGTTTCACACTCATGACATCAGAACAGGTCTGGGGGGGGGGGGTCCCAGGGTGGTGAGTACCCACAGCAGCGCCCCCGTCCAAAAAAAGGGTAAAACTGTGGGGACCAGGAGCCAGGAGGGCCATTGCCCAGCTCTGACCCACCCCATGGTCCATGCTGAGAGCCACAGTGGCCTCCGCCTATCTGTCACCGCCAAGGGGCTGGCAGGCCTGGTCACCTCCCATCGCCCAATCAGCCCAATCAGCCTGCCCTGGGGTGTCATCTGAACCCCCCCTTCAAAACCGGTAACTGTTGATGGGGGTGAATTAAAAAAAAGGTGGGGTGTCGAGAGGAGGGTGAGCAGTGAGTTCACGGGGCCACGACACGCCACGGCAGAGTGGGGACAGGGCTGTATGTACAGGGCGGGGCGTGGGTGGGTGGGGCGCCGAGCCCCTGGGGGACATCTCCAATAAATAAATAAATAGCTACGATAATAAATAAGGTGACGGGCTAGTCGGGGTAGGGGTCTCGCGCCCGCTGTCGGTGGGGGCGGGGTCAGGCCAGAGGGAGGGGCAGCTCTCAGCAGGCGCAGTCCTGGTGCGGGGGCGCCTGCTGGTCCGTGAGCTGGGGGCCCTGCTTGGCGCCCGTGACTGCGGGGTCAGCCGTGTCCAACGACTCGGACATCTTCTCACAGATGACGTCCACCAGGCGCTCAAAGGTCTGCTTGACATTAATGTTGTCCTTAGCACTTGCCTCAAAGAACTCGAACCCTATGGTCGTCAGAGAAGAGAAGGGTGAGGACCCTGGTCCCCCACTGGCAGAGAGCTTCTCTGAGGCCCGGGAACACCTGGAGATTACCAGTGCTGACCACACAGTCAAGGCACTGACAAGTCCCCCGTGGAAACAACATTGGACTGGGTCAGCCCTGTATTTCCTGCACTCCTTTCTATACCCTGAGACTGTCCCCTTTTCATTGTCTCCAGGGCCTGGCAAGACCCGCTTCCCTGCTCCCACACTTCAACCTAGCCCCACACATTGGCCCTCGCAGCATCTGACGCCCAGATCCAGCCGTGCCCTCCCCTGCTCACACACCCTCCATGGCTCCCTCTTGCCCTCAGCATGTGGTTCAGGCCCTGGACAATCAGCCACATTTCCTCCAAGTGATCCCTCAGGTTCTAGCCGTGTAAAATTATTTGCCAAAACACGCACTTCTGGCCTTTCCCACCTCTGGCCTTTGCCTAAGCTGTTTCCTCCGCCTGAAAGACCACCTTTTCTTCAAGTACCAGATCCAGTCCCTGCCCCCGTCCCGGAAGTCATATCTACACCAGGCAGAGCCTGGCTCCCCCTATGGACTCCCCCAGCCCAAGTCCCTCCCTCTACGCCACAAAACTGGAGGCGTCTCAGGGGTCCAGCAACACCCAGCACAAGGCTGGGCTGTGAGGGCATCACAATGAATCAGTAACTTCCTGCATAGTGAACTCCTATGCATCCATCAAGATCCACCGCAGATGGCTCCTGGACCAAGGCCAGTTTGCAGGAAGTGAATTGTCTAGATTCAAATCCAGGCCCTGTCCTGGCTTTGCTGTGAGCCCTTGGGTGTGTCCCCTCCCTTTTCAGGGCCTGTGTCCCTTTTCTAGCCTGTAGATGTCCAGCCCTGCTGGGGACTCACCCAGGTGGTCAGCCAGCTGCCGGCCACGTTCTGATGATACCACCCGCTCGTCCTCCATGTCGCACTTGTTCCCCACCAGCAGCACCTGGGCATTGTCCCACGAGTAGGTCTTGATCTGGGTTGACCTGGCAGAGGTGGTGACCGGTGGGTTAGGGCTTGGAGGCGCTGAGCTCCACCCTCCTCTGCTGTCTCCCCTCGCGCACCCCTCCAGCCCTCCACCTCCCCATCATCCCTTGACCATGGCGGGCTCCATGCCTCCTCCCAGCCTTTGTCCGACCAGGAACACCCCCCCTCTCCTGGCATCTGCTCCAGTGCGCCCCTGATTTTGGAAATCCCTCTTGTAAGCAGCCTCTCCCACCCTTCCCAGATCCCCCCCACCCAGAGAGAGGAATTTCTCCCTCCTCAGCAAATTTGCAAATTTTCTTAAAATGTACTGTTACTTCCGGGCAGCAAATATAAATGTGTATATCCTCTGGCTTATGCCAACGTATATTTCCTGTCCCCCCCAGATTTTTTCCCTATATGTTTACAGTTTCATTTTCTACCTGAAATCCTTTCTTCCCATTATTTTGAGCCAGTGTCACTGTGTTTTAATGATTATAGACTGGCAGCAGGTCTGGGACCCCAATATTGTCATTTACATTTCTGCCAGGGGGGCTGGGGCTCCCTCCTCTTGGCCTGTGCCCCAGGCTTTGCACTAAGCCTGGCAGAGGGGATGGGGGTGTGCTCACCAGTCCTGCACGGCGTTAAAGGACTCCTCGTTGGTGATGTCGTACATGAGGATGAAGCCCATGGCTCCCCGGTAGTAGGCTGTGGTGATGGTCCGGTACCGCTCTTGCCCTGCTGTGTCCTGGGGAAGAAGAGCAGGGGGTCAGAGAGGACCCACCTGTAAGCTCCTCAGAGTAGAAATGAGCTCTGACATCATCCAGTCCAGCCCCTTGAGGGCCAGAGAGGAGCAGGGGCTCTCCCAGAGGCACAGTGGGTCAGGGAGAGTGAGAGGCCACTTGTGCCAGGAATGTGGTGCTCCCTCAACCTACAGTCTGGTACCTGCAGAACCGTCCCCGCGTTCATTCAATGCACATGTACTGGGCCCTGACCCGTGCCATACCCTGCACTGAGCACTGAGGACACAGCTGATAACAAACGGACAAAACTCACTGCCTTTGTGGGACCGATAGCCCAGTGCAGGGACGAGGACAGGTGCAGAGGAAGAGAATGGATCCTGTGTTGAGGGTGGTGAGGCCTGCAGAGGAAGATGCAGCTGGACAGGGCTGGGCAGGGGGGCTGGGGTAGGCTGCAATGCTGGGGAAGTGAGGGAGGGGCCGTGTGGGGCTCAGTGGCTTTCCAGGCAGAGGGCACAGCCTGGCCGCAGGTCAAAGGGGACTGGGCGGTGCATTGGAGGGACAGTGAGGAGGCTGAGGAGGAGGGGGAGGGAGACAGATGTGGCAGATGTGGCGGGGGGGGGAGCAGCAGCAGGGATGGACAGGCAGGCTCTCCTGGGCCAGGGGAGGGGTGTGGGTTTCCCCCTGAGTGAGGTAGGGGCCGGGGAGGCTGTGACCAGAGCAGGATGGTTCTGACTTGGGATAGAACAGCCTCCTCAGGCCTCGGTGGCTGAGGGAGGCGCGGAGACCCTGTGGGAGGAGCCTTCTCTGTCCCAGGGAATGAGGCTGGGAGCCAAGCTGCAGTAAAACCTCATACAGACTCACATGGAGGAAGTTGAAGATGGGGAAACTGAGGCACCAAGCCAAGGGATGTTCAGATGATGGTTAGGAAAGGACACAGCATTTGCTCCTGCCCCACTCCTGGAGAGCCCTGATTAGGCACCCATGGGAGAACAGCGGCACTCTCTTCTGCGCCCCTAGCCCATGGTACACAGTAAGTACCTAATAAATGCCCAGTGTGTGAGTGAATAAATCCAGACAGGAAAGAGATAGGCAAAGCTGGAGCTGCTTTTCCAGGGACCCAGAATGATGGAGCTGGGAGCCCCCCAGGTGGACCCACCCAGATCTGCAGCTTGATCCTCTTGTCGTTGCGGTAGATGGTCTTGACCTTGAAGTCGATGCCCACAGTGCTGACGAAGGCGGGGGTGAAGGAGTCGTCTGCGTAGCGGAAGAGGAAGGACGTCTTGCCCACGCTGCTGTTGCCGATGATGAGGATTTTGAACATGTAGTCGAAGTTCTGGTCCGAGGACTCCTTCTGCCCATAGCGCGAGTCTGTGGCAGACGCCATCTGGGGGTGCGGGGCCGTAGGCGGGCGTGAGGGGTCTCCCTCCCTCCCCAACCGCCCAAGCCCAGGCACAGGATGGAGGGAACTCCAGAGCTCCAGAGAGGGACTAGTGTGCAGAGCTTACCCTGATCCCGTCAGGAGCCCCAGGACTGACGGTGGGGCCCACTGCACAAGGCGGCCGTGCAGTGACCTTGAAAGGCCTTGAAAGGCCGGAGGTTTCAGGGGAGGAGCTCAGAACGACCGGGACGGGGACACCCGTGCAGCCCCCTCCAGCAGGCCTGAGCCCAGGTCCGGCTGTAACCCTAAACCCGCCGGCGCAGGGAGGGGTGACTGCGGCCGGCCCCGCCCCCGTCAATCATTCATGTTCCTTAGAACACAGCCACGCGGGCGCACGTGCACACTCATGTACAGTCCCGCGGGGACGCGCGTCCGCAGCGCCCCCTCCCCCAGACTCCCAGGCTGGGAAAGCTCCGGCTGAAGCAGCTGCATCACATGATAGGGGAGGGATGTGCACACGCTCACGTGCACACGGCAGGGCACACACTCACCTGTACACGCGCGTGCACATATGAGGGTCGAGCACGGTGCACAGGACAGAGACGCAAACATATGTCTGTACAGCTACATGCATATACAAATGTGCAAACCCACCCGTATGCACGGCGCCCTCCATCCATACAGGCGTGTACAGCTCACCCACACGGGCACGCACCTCCGTGCACGTATGCAAACGGCCATGCACGCACACGCACAGTCCACGCATCTCCCTCCACACGCGTGCAGCATGCACACACTTGTGTAGGACCCCCACGGGGTCACACGAGCATACTCTGGCACACAAACAAGAGTGAACACAGACCCGCCGGCAGAGGAGGACACGCACACGCGTGTGCACACCACGCGCACGCGCACGCACAGAACCTCCCGCGCGCACAGCTTCCCGCAAGGCATTCGCCTCCCCTCCCCCTCCGCCGCAGAGCCGGGGCGGGGGCGGGGGGGGGAAGGTGAGGATCTAGCAGGTAGGGGAAGCCGGGGCCCTACCCCTCCCCAGGCCCGCGACCGCCGCATTCTTCCCCTCCTTTTAGCCCTCGCCAATCTCTTCCCCCACCCCCGCCAGCCTATCAGTCAAATGAAGGTTACGCAGGTGCTCGAAGCGGGAGCGAACCGAGTCTCCCGGGAACTCACCTTGCCCTGTAGCGATGAGGTGGCGACTTTTTGGCAGCAGCGGTGACGGGGCCCGGGGCGCCGATGTAGGGCTGCGCGGCGGCGGCAGCGGCTGAGGCCCCTGCAGTCAGCGGTGACGTCCTGCAAAGAGCGGGGCGGGGCCTCACATGCAGATATTGCCGTGACGCCATCCTGGGGCGGAGCCGCGCGTAGAGATATGGCCCACTGACGCACTCAGAGCCGCTGGGGGGCGGGGCTTCTGCGCAGATTGACATGTAAATGGGGCGGGACCCAGCGTGCGCAACCAGTAGCGGGCGGGGGCGGTGCAGAAGGGGAGGGGTCGCTTGCCGGCTCCTCCTCTCTGTCTCGTTAAGGGAGGCGTGGCTGCGAAGCGCCCTCTCACTGGCTTAAGTGTTTGAGCGACGGGCTTAATAGCCAATAGAAGACCGTCACTCCCTTCTCCTGTCCAATGGTGGCTCCCGAGAGGTTGAAGGGCCGAGAGGTCAAGGCCTTGGTCGAGCCTGGGTTTTCAGGAGGCGTTCCCCTTCCCCGCCCCCGCCCGCCCCGGTCGCGGACTGCAGCGGCCCCCACAAGGACTTAGGTGCCGTGGCCTCTCGTTAAACGTCCCCTACTCCCAATCTCAGAAGAGAGGAACAGAGGTCCGAGAGATGCTCCCTGCCCCCTATTTATGGGGTTCGAGATAAGTACGAAAGAAGAAAAAGGGTAAATAGGAGTCAAGAGAGACCCATCCAATTTCTGAGATGTAAGTCCCCCAAAGAGGGCCGAGCTGGTAGCTGCTCCACCCTGTTTCTGAAGCGAAAAAGGAGAAAAAGGAGGTATCAAGAGAGACACCCCTCCCCACCAATTCCTAGACAAGAAAGAAGGGGCTGGCAGGCGGTCCGGGAACCCCTCCCCTCCCTGCGCCCCATTTTCCAGAGAAAAATGCAAAGAAGAAAGCGGAAGTGGGGCAGAGAAAGGGTCTGTCCCCCAAAGTCGCAAAGCCTGCGGTAACAGGGAGGGTCCGAACGAGGGTCAACGACCCAACGATAAAGATGCGAGGTGGGACCTGCTTTACCCACCCCCCGCCCGCCCCCCGGGTCCTGAGTGGAAAGGCAGGGACAGAAAGACCCGTCCTCCACCCTGGGGAAACCAGGCTCAGAGATGGAGACTTGGGGGGCTGAGATGCTCCATCGTTTATTCCCCCAAGTCTTAAGGGGAAAACGTCGGAATTGCGGGGGGCGCAGGAAAGCGAGACCCCGGCCTCATGCCCCCATTCTAGGTCCCTGCCCCCAACTTCGGTCCCCAGACCCGGCCGGGGTCGTGTGGTCCCCGGAGAATCCTGACCCCCTGACTCCTTCCCGGGAGGCAGGGATGGACGGGGGCTCGTCCTGTTTATATAAAGCTCACCAGCTGCGGAGGCGCCGAGAGACCAGAATAACTTCTCGCCTCGAGGCCGCCCCCCGCCCCCAGCGCCCCGGAAGCGCAGGGACGTCCCTCCCGCCCCGCTTGCATTTGGGAAATCTATTTTTTCTAAGAGTAGCGTTGTCCCTCTCCCCCACTTGGACTATAAAATTATCACGGACCCACTGCAAAGAATTGGGAAAATTCAGAAAGACATAAAAAATAAATAAAAGTAAATCCACCCCCAGTCTCCCCCCACGCGGAGACGCGCGGCGGAGTCCCGCTCCGGGTGGGGCCCCCAGGCGCCGGCGGTCCAGGCCCCGGGCCGCGGCCCTGTTGGGGGTGAGGACGAGCGGGTCGCTCAGGTCCCTGACCTCCTGAAGGCGCGTTTTGGTCTTTGCCCGTGGGTGGCACTCGGAAATACCTACTTTTTTTTCCCATGGGGAGAAAGCCCACAACAACGTACGCCAGCTTCTGCACAGAGGAATTTGTATTTTAAAATAAAAATAATGAAAGGCCTTGATTGTTAAGAATCAGCAATCGGCTCTGGAATTAGGACTATTTGAATTGCCGGGGGCGGGGGGGGGGGGGGGGGGGGGGGGGGGGGGTGTAACGGGGGTGGGGGCAGCACCACTGTGCATTGGTGATGGTGTCTCTTGTGTGGCAGGGGAAACAAAGCCTGGTGGGAGAAGGGCCTCAAACTCTCCCAAGTCCCACCCCACTGGGAGTAAACTCCAGACTCCTCCCCGAAACCCAGGTCCTGCCAGCTACCTCCCCATCTCATCTTCCTCCTCCAGTCAGACACTCCCTCCTCTAGCTCTAGGTGTGATCCTGCCTCAGGGCCTTTGCACTTGCTGTTCCCTCTGCCTAGAGCAGTGTTCCCTCAACCCTCCTTGTGCCTGGCTCTCTCACCCCCTTGAGGTCTCTGATCAACACCCACCTCCTTCCGGAGGTTCCAGTTTTGCCCTGTCACCTCCTAGCATACCACCATATTTCTCCTTCCTGACACACCCCCATCAGAAATGATCAGGTTGACTTACTTATCCATTAGGCATCTGAGCTCTGAGAGGCAGGGATGGTGTCCCCGACACCTAGACCTGTGGACACAGTAGATGCTCCGTCATGGCATGACATGAATGAATGAATGATTGGAAGGAGAGTGACTTTGGCCAGAGAGATTAGGGAGGACCTCTTTGAAGAAGTGATATTTAAGCAGAAACCTGAAGGAGGAGGAGAAGGAGCTGGCCGCAGGGAGAGGTGGGCAGCAAGTGCAAAGGTCCTGAGACTGGGATTCACTGAACAAGCTTGAGGGACATCCCCTCTCCAGCCCAGGGAGGGAGGTGGGCAGGCAACATTTCTCCTTGAATAGAGGGCAAACTGAGCCCTGAGAATCACCCTAGGAGTTCATGAGGGCTGAAAGTTCTGGGGCCTGAAGACCTTCTCCCACCCTCCTGTTTGGGTCTAGGATGGGCCACAAAGGCAAGGACTGCACCCCTCGGGAAGGGCCCCAAGCAGGAGAAAATTGGGGACCCAGAGCATGTGAGTGATTTCACTCAGCCCTCTAAGGACCTCAATTTCCCCATCTGTGAAATGGGAGAAGAAAGAGGCGGAGTTGCCTTTGAGCACGTAGCTCAGCACCTGGCACAGGACACACTCTCCTTGAGCGTTACCTTCCACAATAATGTGATCCTCATCAAGAGTCCATCTCCCCTGGGAAAGGACAAAGGCTTGGGGAGGGTAAGCAACTTGCTGAAGTTGTCAAAGTCCACCTCTGGGGGACACTGAGGATGGCAGGGTGGACCTGGCCCAGGCCTCTGGGGATCCTCGTCTGGAGAGGATGGTGGAGGGGTCAGGGAGGGCTTCCTGAAGGAAGGGACACTGAGCTGAGACCCAAAGGATGAGGATGAGGGGGAGGAGAACTATTCCAGGTGGCAGGCCCAGCGTGTGCAAAGGCCCTGAGGTGGGGCCGTGCTTGGGGTGTGGAAAGCCAGCGTGGGTGGAGGGTGGTCAGTAAGCGGGAGAGGAAGGGATGCCTGTGACCCATGTTCAAGGGGAACATATGCATGTTCTTATGAAGGGGTGGAGAAAGAACCAGAGGGAAATCAGGTGAAATACTGAAGGCAGATGACACACAGTTGAGGTTATAACAGAATTTTATTTTCTTCTTTATGTGTTTCCATTATTTGCAAATTCTCTACAGTGAAGATGTATTACTTGTAAGTAAAGAGGGAAGGAGAACAAATTATAAATACAAATCCCTAAATCCCTGCGGCTTAAAATCTGGGAGGAAATGCACCCAGGCCCAGGCGGGCTGACCTTTTTTGTTTTTAAGATTGACCCCTGAGCTAACAACTGTTGCCAATCTTTTTTTTTTTTCTGCTTTATCTCCCCAAATCGCCCCCCGTGCACAGTTGTACATCTTAGTTGCAGGTCCTTCTAGTTGTGGCATGTGGGACGCCGCCTCAACGAGGCCTGACGAGCAGTGCCATGTCGGCGCCCAGGATCGGAACAGCCGAAACCCTGGGCCGCCGCAGCGGAGCGCGTGAACTTAACCACTCGGCCACGGGCCGGCCCCCCGCGCTGACCTTTACGTCGCCCTCTGTGGCATCTGGTCCCTGGCGGTGAGGAGGGCGAAGTCTCGGTGGAGGTCTAGGAAGGCAGCCAGGAGCTGCGGCAGGCCCCGCGGCAGCGGCACGGCTCCAGGCACGCGGGCAGGGAGGCGCGGGGCCTGCGGAGGCCGGGACGGCTCCCGGGAGGCCCACCCCAGGCCCATCTCGACCCCACCGGGCGGCCGCCGGCGAGGCCCGGTTCCCCGCCCCCGCGCCCCCGCCAGGACGCCCGGCTGCCAGCCTCGAGCAGCCCAGGGGACCTCTGTGCCTGTTTCCCCATCCGCGAAATGGGCACGCTGCTAAATTTGGGTGATAAGATTTATTTAGCCCCAGAAAATGTTCAATGCCCCCAATTTCTAAGCTATTTCGGGGAGGTCAGAGACACCACCCCTCAACCATAGTTTACCCAAGCACTAGACTAGGCCACAGACGGGAAACTGAGGCCCAGAAGGGTCTGTGACTGGCAAGAAAGGGTCAGAGGCCTCCTTTCCCCTGGGGGGGGGGGGGTCAGACTCAGGAGGCGCAGAGACCTGCGGGGGGCGGGGGTTGCGGATTCTGTGCTTTTGTTGCTGTTCTATAAGTGGAGAACGGGGGCACCGAGCAGGGGGCTCTGAGGTCAGAGAGAACAGGGGCGTGTGCACCGGAAACCGACCAAAGGCGGAAACTGCGGCCGGTGCGCAAGCGCGACCCCCGAATCAGCCTGCGGGGCGCCCCTCCAGCCCCGGAGCACCGGGCCGACGGCAGCTCTGCCGCGCACTCCCCGACTCAAGGTCCGCTCTCCCGCAGCGAGCTGCCTGGCGGAAGGGGGGCGCTGTGGGGGCATCTCCTTGAGGCTGAGCCCCACCGCTCGAGCAGGGCCACACCGAGGCACAGCAGGCACAGGCCTGGCACATATCAGGCCCAATAAATATCTGACAGAGAATGAAAGAATAGTGATGGGTGTGGCTCATGAGTGAGCACCGGAGGAGGCCGGCAGGGGACCTGGCAGACGCCCCCTTTCCACGCCAAGGGTGGAAGTCCAGGAAGGAGATCCCAAGGGCTCTGGAAGAGGCTAACCCTAGCCCAGCCCCTCGGAGAGCTCTCTCAGCAGAGCCTGGAGTCAGAGTGGACCCCAGCCAGGGGCCTCCAGTTCCACCCTGAGACCTGCCTGTAACTAAACGCTTGGTTGTCTCTCTCAGGGGGTGGGGAAGGCAAGGCAGGGGCCCCCTGGGACCTCTTCCTGGAAAGTCCACCCACCCGCCAGGGGCCATTAGTTGCCAAAGGGCTCAGCCATCACGCCACCCTCATGGTTCTTGCAGGGCTTGCCCGCGGTCCTCTGGTTGTCCAGGAGGAGCCCCCCAGGGTCCAGGCTGGCCTCAGGGGACAGGAGCTCAGTGTCAGGTGACTCTGAGGCCTCCCCATCCAACGCTCCCTCCTCCTCTGCCTCCTTCTCTTCTTCCGCCTCATCCAGAGTCAGCTCAAACTGGAATCTGTCAGGGCTACCCTGCTCAGGGCTGGTGGGATCCATGGGGCTTCGGGGGACCTTGCTCTGGTACCACTCGCGGTTGTCCTCTAGTGTGTCCAGCAGGTCCTGTGCATCTGGGTGTACCAGGTCGGCCCACGTCTCCCACAGTGGGTGGGCAATGTAGTCAATGAAGCCCACCTGTGGGGCAGTACGGGGTTGTGGGGGGAGGAGGCTGTGCCTGGAGTCACCAGGGAACCTAGACCCCGCCCAGCCCCCTGGCCTTTGCCCAGCTTGTTCCCTCTGCCTGGAATGCGGTTTCCCAACTCCTACTCATCCTTCAAAACCCTCTTCAAACAACGTTTCCTCCAGGAAGCCTCCCCTGACTCTTCAGGACTCCCTCAACCCCTAAGTCTCTCCCTCCACCCCAGTCCTCACTCCTCGGGGCTGGATGGATGTGTCCCCCAGACTGGGATCCCCTGGGTGACAAGGGTCCCCCACATCACCCAGGACAGACATTTCCAAACCCCGAGAGTGCAGATCCCTCTCTCTGCAGCCCAGAGACTGCGTCCCAGGCCTGCCTGGTGCAGCCCAGCATACAGTGCACCCTCAGGCCACACCCCTCACTGGCCAGCGCCCGCCAGCTCAGCCCTGTCTCCCTCAGACCTGGGACTTCTCCACCGAGGCCGTGTGCTTGTCGCACATGGGGCTGACGTCCAGGCCCGACTCGCGCTCGCGGTCGCCCTGCTGGAAGAACTCGGCCATGATGCGGTCCGTCCACTGGCGGTACAGGGGCAGCGGTTTGGTGGGGTTGCTCAGGTCGGCGCAGTGCACCAGGTTCTGCAAGACCTGGGGAGACGGAGGCCGGGAGAGCTCAGGCCAGGGCCCGAGGCCTGCGACGCCCCCGTCCGAGGCTGGCACGGCAGACACACCCATCTTACGGGTGGGGACCTGAGGCCCAGGAGGAGAGGGAACGGCTGCTCCATTTCTTCAAGTTTGGCATACAGTCGTTGCCTCATAAATGCAGATAAACGAGAGCCACGGAAGCCGAGGCCAGGCCGCCGGGCCACACACCTGGATGCGGTCGGAGTAGTTGTCGAGCAGCAGGACTCCGAGGCTCGCCACCTTCTTGGTCTCCACCATGGTCTTCAGGTCTGCCAGGAGGCTCATGTGTTTGGACATGTCGGTGGCCAGCACCTGGGGGCAGGCGACGGCGGATAACAGGTATGAGGGTGGCGCCTGCCCCACCCCTCACTCCTGGCCTCTCAGATGCCATGCCCCGGTGACCCTCAGCCCGCCTCTGAGCCTCGCTGTCCTCCTCTGTGAAATGGGGGGATGCAACGAGGCTGGCTGCAAACCCAGCTCCCAAGAGGGGCTGAAACAACAGTTCCTTCTCCCACGTCCCTACACAGGGGGCAGGGGGAGACAGGGTGTGGGGAGGGAGCTGAAGCCTGGGGGCTGAGGTGAGATGTGCCTGAGGGCAGCAGTGAGGCCCAGCAGAGGATGTGGCCTGTGCAAAGGCCCTGGGGCTGGAGGAGCTGTGGAACACAGAGGGGGTGCTTGTGGCTGGGACAACTGAACGCAGAGGCGACGGAAGGTGATGAGAGTTGGGGCGCCTCCAGGAGGTGTGGGGGGGTTATCCAGAGGGCCACGGGAGCCACGGGTGGCTCCGAAGCCAGGAGGGACCTGACTTGCTGTTCCCCAAACCTCCCTGTGGCTGCCGTGTGGCTGGAAGGACTATTGTCAGCCGTCTGGAGGGAAGGTCGGCCTGAGCTCAGCTGTTTAAACATCAACTTAGCCGGATCTACGTGGTCCCAGACCAGGGATGACGCACACGCGGCCCACAGGCTTCTCTGAGAATCAAAGTCTCAAATCTTCTCCCCAGACCACCCAACTGCCCCAAACCATGCTCTCACTGGCGGTGCGCACTGCCCAGGGCCCCACTCCGCCTCACCGAACTTTTAGCACCTCTTGACTAGGAGGCTTGGTTTGCTCTGAGCACCCCCCACATGCTGTTCCCTCTGCTGGGAACAATCCTCCCCACCCCTGGCCCTCCTCACTCTGTGGGCCGCGGCTTCAGTGTCCCCTCCTGGGGAAGCCCTCCTGACCTCGCGTGCCCCCCCACAGCTCCCACCCATGTGTCCCTCTCCCCGCAGACCATGAGTCTCGTGAAGGCCGGGAGGGCAAGCACACAACAGGTGCTCAATAAATGAACGAATGAGGCATGAGACCCCAAAATTTCCTCGGGTCTCCCGATCTGAAAAATATCAAACGGACAGACTGATGGCTCAGAAAAAGCTGCACCTGAAACCCCAGACACTCACTGTTGCCACTGCTGGCCTGGGACGGCCGGCAGACCTGAGCAGCCTGGCCGCGGGCCGGGCACCCCCCGGCCCAGTTCACAGACCAGGAAGTTCAGGCGCAGAGCGGGGACATGCCTGGCTTGGACTGAAGCCCCCGCCAGGCTGAGCGGCCCCCTGCCTCCATCGTCGTGGCCTCACCATGTCGATGACCATCCTGCGCAGACTCAGCCGCTGCTTGGCGCTGAGGTTCTGGAAGATGTCACAGTTCTCTGCTTGCAGCAGCTTGAAGCCCACGGCCAGGTGGTGGTTCTCCAGCACGGAGGCATCGTTGTACATAAGCGCGAGCTCCGAGTCTGTGCGGGAGGGGGAGAGCCTCAAGACCTGCCCGCCCAATGCACCACACACAAAGGCAGGTTTTGCGGACTCCTGGCAAACTCATACTCAGGCATTGAAGCCCCAGCGCTAATGCCCCCTCTGCCAGGAAACCCTCTAGGACCCGTCTCCCTCCCTGGCCCTGCCCTGACTCGGCAGGGCTCGGAGCATCTGTGCTCAGCTCTGCCTCCTCGGGACTGGGGCCTCCTCGGGGACTGGGCATGGCAGGAGACAGTGCCTACTGAAGGCTGGCCGAGTGAACGACTGAGTCTGTGTCTTACTAGACTCCGGGATCCTCGAATGAGAGGGCTCCACTCTCATCCCCAGCTCTCCAGGGATGGCGGACGACGTGCCCAGGAACTGCCTGTTGACTGAGTTTCTTAGATTCCTCAAAAGACCCTGAACTTTAAAATCTCGGTGGGCCTGGGTCAGCTGTGCCGCCTGTATTACTCTCTCATTTTCTGAGCACCTGAGCACCCTGTCGCAGCCATTTCAGAGACAGGGCAGCTGGGCCGGGGCAGGGGCGGCCCGAGCACATGAAGGACCGCGGGCAGGGCCCGCCCCCACTCACTGGTGTTAATGAGAAACTGGTTGGAGACGCCCGGATGGTCCACATCGTGGATGGCGCTTGCGAAGATGGCAGCCAGGACTTCCAGGTCTGTGAAAACGGCCTGAGCGGCGCAGGGCGCGGGAGTGAGGGGCTCTGCGCGCCCCGCAGCCCCGGCTGCCCGCCGGCCCGGGCGGTACCTGGAGGGCGGGCGTCGCCAGCAGCACGTGTGTGGACTGGGCCACGTCGGCAGCGTGGAGGCTGTTGTGGTAGGCCACGTCGGCGCGGTAGTGACCCTCCAGCGTGAGCAGGTAGGTGACTAGGGTGTCTGCCGGGATCTGAAATGTCTTGAGCAGGTCCCGTTCCTGGTCCATCACAGGCGCAGTCAGGGCCTTGGGCTCCCCGCAGCAGCACACACCGTTCCTACACCTTCTCTCCTTCTGAACTCCTATCCAATCTCAAATGCCCCCTTTTCCAGGATGCCCTCCCTGCTCTCCCTCTGAACTCCCTTGGTCTCTATCCTTCCCCTCTGGTCCATCCCTCACCCCACAGAGCAGAAGGTGTCTTTGTCCAGCTGTGTCCTCCAAGACTGGGTCTCTTCAGGGCTGGGCCCAGGGCTGAGGCTTGTTGAAAATGAACTTTTCAACCTAGTGAACTCCTATTCATCCTTCAGTACCTTGCTCAAATTATCCCATTCAGGGGTGTCAGGGAGGATTTGAAGAATGAGTGTCTCCTAAGGTCTTGGGGTAGGAAGACATGAAGGAAACCCCAGGGGTATTGGAAGCCCAGGCCCGGGCACGTACCTGAAAGATGCTGAATATAATGGCTGTGAGGGGCCGGTTCCCACTTAGCTCTGCCACCTTGAACACGTCAAGCCCCCACTTGTTGGTGTCTTCCAGTTCCTAAAACGTGAAGAACTGGAGCTTAACTCCAGTCCAACTGCCTGAGACTCTGGACCCTCGACGCCCCCTGCAGTATACAGGTGAGCAAACTGAGGCCCAAGTTGGACATCCAAACAGAGCCAGGAGTCAAACCCGGGTCTCAGGAATCCAGCTGGGGACCCACCTTGGCCAGTTGCCCCTCCTGGTCAGTCTGGACGCCAAAGCGTGGGAAGGTGGCTGCAGAGAGGCTGGCACTGTGGGGGAGCCCACGCAGGCCACTGATCTGGGATATGGGCTTCGGGGGCTCTGTAGGGGTCACCCTGGGCAGCTCCACCTCAGTCTGCTGGTCTGTAGGTGGGGCAGAGTGCGGCTCAGAGATGCTGATTCACTTTCTGGGGTCATCCTGCCTGGCCTCAGGGCCCGGCCCTTGCCAGGCATCAGGATCAATCCATGCATTTCCTTTTTATCTGGATCAAAGTAAGCTCTGGAGTAAAGTCCCCGTCTGGCCTGTAGCTACCCCTCTCCTCTGTTCATGGCTGGTCTCAGTGACCCCTTCTGCTGGACATGGCCCCTGGGCACCTGGGTCTCACTGTTTTTCCCCAAACAGCCAAATGTCTTTTCCGTCTCCCAAGCTGGAGACCCAGCTGTCTGGCTCCCTCCATCTCATCCTTGGCAAACTTCTACTCATACTTCAAAACCCTAGCTTTAATGTCTCCCTCCTCCTGAAAGTTCCTCCTGTTCCTCCCTCTGGTCTAGCCCCAGCCCATAGGGCTGGGAGTGTCCCTGTCTGGTTCTGTCCTCCTCAGACTGAGGTCTGGAATAGAAGTCTTTCTTTCTCTTCCTTCTTCCTACCTCTATAATGTGGCCCAAGCAGTAACTCGCCACAGCTCACCCAGGAAGGTTCGGGATATGTACTCAGACACCTGGTTCCCAGAGCGGCTGGTTTCGGACAGGTGAGTCAACTCTCGGTTCAGCATCCGCTTGAACTGCAGGGGAAGGCGGGGACAGGGATGATGGGCACTGTGGGCAGAGGCACGTGCTCTCGGCTATCCGGCCCTCCTCACCTTGTTGGATGCCATCTCCCCCACCGAGTGCCGCGTCTGCAGAGTCTCCAGCTGATCCAGACACCAGTCCAGCTCGTCCAGGGTTTCCAAAGCCAGCTTCTGCCCAGGGTCCTCTGGGGGCCGAGCTGGTCAGGGGCCTGCCCCACCCCCACTCAGGGATTCTGCATTCCTCATGCCTCCATCTCTGCATCGGGACCCTGTAGCCCTTCCCAAAAGGGCCACTAGGGACCCCAGGATCTGAGTTGATCTGTCCCCAAGTGGCTGTGTGACCATGGGCAGGTCTCTGCCCCTCTCTGGGCCTGGGCCTCCCCATGTGTAATATGGGCGTGGCAAACTCCATCCCCTAGGGTGTTTTGGGGGGGTTACAATTAGCACAGCCTAAGGACTCCTGGGCTAGAGAGGTCACCATGGAGAAGAAGTTCACAGCTGTCCTGCAGGGGTTTGGGGTTAGGAGCAGGTGCATTACCTGTAGATGGAGGGGCCTGACTGCCAGAAGGCGGCTTCCCGACCGGTGCCTGCCTGCAGGAGAGTCGCCTCAGGACTGGCCTGCCTGGCCCATATGGCCCCGCCCCAAGGCCTCCAGGCGCCGCCCCCATCCTGGCCGCCCCATCCAGCTGCTCCCTTTCCGGCCGGACCCCGCCCCGGCCCCACCCACCCTACTTACCCTCCTCACGCCCTCCGCTCGGCCCCGCCCTTCTCTTCCACAGACTCCGCCTCTCTCCACCGGGCCCCGCCCACCGAGTTCATCGGCCCCGCCCTTCTCTCCCACAGGCCCCGCCTCTCTCTGCAGGGCCCCGCCCACCGAGCTCACCGGCCCCGCCCTTCTCTCCCACAGGCCCCGCCTCTCTCCACCAGGCTCCGCCCACCGAGTTCATCGGCCACGCCCTTCTCTCCCACAGGCCCCGCCCACTGCGTTCACCAGCCCCGCCTTTCTCTCCCACAGGCCCCGCCTCTCTCTGCCGGGCCCGCCCCATCCTCTGCTTACTTGGTAGCCCCGCGGCCTTGCAGGTGGGCAAGGGCCGCAACGTTGCTCCGAACCGTCCGCAGACTGGCAAGGACCTATCGGGAAGGGGGTGGTCAGCGTTGGAAAGGAACGGTCGGCTCGGCCTCCTTGGCTCACGGGAGGAGAGGGGCGGTGGGCACCTACCTGGGCAAAGGGCGTCACAATCATGTCTTCTCCCTGTCTGCGGGGAGACGGGACATCAGGAAGGGTGGCCAGGAGGAGCCCTCCCGCACGTTCCCATCTTCCAGCTTTCACCCTCACCATGCGCTCATCTCAGCTCCTCCTCCCCTCATGACTCCTCCTTTGGGTGTCCTTCTGGTCTCTGGGCTCCCTCACTCAACTCTCCTTTGAAAGTTTCCACAGCCCCTCTCACCACTCACTCACTATATCCCATCTCACAAATGGAGAACCTGAATCTCAGGGCAGCAGTAGTAAAGGCAGGACAAAAGTTATTGTATTCCCCTTTTTATTCTGGCTACCAGAAAGCTCAAATGAAGGTGTTTGTTCAGTTGATACTAACTGGTCTTAATGTTTCTGGATTGCCACCCAACCCCAGCCTGAAGTCAAGCACAGAGGATCCCCAAATAGCATTCTTGGCATGCTCGACTGAATATGTGAGCTGTCTAGCAAACTCCTGGTTAAACTTCAAAGCCCAGCTTAAATGGCCACTTGAAGATGTGTGCTAAACGGAGGAATAAAGGAAGGAGGAGGGGACGAGATGTCACCCCACCAGCCTCAGACTCACAGGTCGCTGGCCACGGAGGAATTCCAGGACGTGGCCTTGGGCAAGAGTTGGAAGTCACTGTCTGAGCGGTACAGGAAAGACTCCCGCCTCTGGCTATGCTGGGCGGCGACCTGGACGATCCGGCCAAGGCTAGGCCCGGCCTGAGGATCCAGGGGGCTTCTTCCGCTGGAGAGCCCATTTTCCAGGTCAAAGCTGAAGGCGGAGGAGGCGTGGTCAGAGCTGAGGGTGGTGGCCAGCACCCGTCTGTCATGTCCTCCCTGGGGCTGCGTGATGGGCTGAGTAGGAGTAGCGTACCGTTTGTCCACCTGCCCCACCGTCACACCCCTACTCAGAGGCCCTGCGCCCCTCACGTCTCTGTCTCAGCGTCTGGGACTCATCTGGACTCCAGGACGCGAGTTTCAGATCTGTCCCCAAGTGGCTGTGTGACCATGGGCAGGTCGCAGCCTTCCTCGGGACATCAACCACGCCGTCTCTAACATGGGCGTGGCACATTCCTTCCCTGAGGGCGCTTTTAGGTATCACAACTCAGCACCTGAGGACGCCGACGGGGCTCCCATATTACAAGAGTGGAAACTGGGGTGCAGGTGGCATGGCAAGATCACGGGGACTGGGAGCGACTTCCCGGGCTCTCCTCTGTGGAGGGGTCCTGCGCCCTGCCGAGGTCGAGCATGCGCCAAGGCTCCTCACACCCGGGGAGGCCCCGCCCCCAGCCAGCTTTGGCCACGCCCAGGACATCTGGTCCCACCCTCAGCTCATAGGGCTCCGCCCCAATCTCGTTGACCACGCCCCCAGCCCGCCTTCGGACCCCCGCTCCCTTGCTTCGCTGTCAGCCTGAACGCTCTGCCTGTTCTCTTCGGCCTGCGAGCCTTTGCACAGGCTGTGCCCTCTGCCCGGCGCACCGTCCTCCTCACAACGCCCGCTGTCCGGGCAAGCCCCGATCCCCGCTTCCTGCGCTCAGCCCTCTCCCTCCCTCCGGCCACACCCTGACTGGGAGAGCAGAATCAACGCCCCTCCCCTTGGGGTCAGAGGTCAGAGAAAGAGTGGGAGGGGGCGTGGAGCAAGAACAGAGGGTGGCGAGGGGAAGTTAGCAACCGCGGAGAGGGGCTGCTTGTGGGTCACGGGCTTTTGAGAAGGGGGCAGGCAGGAGAGGCGGAAACAGGGAGACACCCAAGACTGGGGGCACCCAAGACTGGCGCCAAGCGCCGGTGTCCACCTGGTCCCCCGCCAGGTCACCCCATCCCAGTCCACGGGCCGGGATCGGGCCTGCCGGAGGACGCCGAGCACGGGATTCGGCCCAGACCGGGGTGAGGGTGGGGGATTCGGCAGGCTTCGGTTGTATGGCCGGGTTTGACTAAGTTCGGTCTGATCACACAGGGTTGGGCCTGGTCCAGAAGAATTCGTTCGGGTGAGTTCGGTTGGATTCGGCTACGTCCGATCGCGCTCGGGCAGGCTCGGATTCTTCGGGCCTGTTCGGCTACGTCCGGCCGCGCTAGGTTTTCAAGCAAGTCCGGCTGGCGCTCGTGCCGCGTCGGCCATATTCGGCTTACTCCGGCTTCGTTCGGGTGAACTCGGGCATGTTCGGCTATGTCCGGCTGCTCTCCGCCTGTTCGGGTTTGGCGGCTCCAGGTGAAGCCCCCAGCGGCGGGTGCGTCCCCCCTCCCGCTTCATGTCGTCACCCGGAGAGGCGGGGCTCCTTAACCCTTGCCTGCCCCGGCGTGGGCGCGGTGGCCGGCAGGGAGAAGCTGGTAGGGGCGCGCCAGCGGCGGCGGATACCCCGAACCTGCCCTCCTAGAGGGAGGCCCGGGGGTGACGACCCCCAGCCCTCCCACGCCTCTCCCCAGAGGTTCTAGGTAGCGCACCTGTGGATAACTAGGGAAACTGAGGCCGGGAGAGGCCCCAGAGTGCTGGGTTCGAATCCAAGGAGCGGGTGCGGAGGGAGGAGGGCCGCGCCGGGGTTTTCTCGCCGCGGAGAGGCTGTTTTCCTTCTGCTCTGACCTTAGCTGGGAGCGGCGGGGTCAGGCCGCGGTTCCATGACGCGGGGGCGCGGAGCGAGGTCGCCCGGACTGCGGGACCGCGCGTCCGCCCAAGGGTTGGACAGGTAAACTGAGGCGCGCGGGCCTCGGAGGGACCCGCCCTCCTCCTGGGCTCCATCAGGGACCACGGTCACCACTGCCCCCTCGACCCCCGCCGCCGGCTGTCACTGGCCCTGTGACCTTGAGGAAGGGACCTCCAGTCTATGCGCTGCCAGGTGCCAGATCATCGAGTGGGTGCGAATGCGGCGCGAACCAAGCGCGCGAGGTGCCAGACGGTCCGCGCGGCGAGCCGCGTCCGAGCCTAGCCTCGCCCCGCGCGGCGCCAGGTCGTCGCTTGGAAGGGCCGGGATTCGATCCCACGGCGCTGGACTGAGTCCCGGGAGGACGCGACCGCGCGGGGCCGCGCTCAGCCTGGGGCCCGCCGCTCGCCCTGTACACCGCGAACACCCCCCGAAGGCCCGCATCAGCCCGGGTCTCCCTCCGTGGACACCGAGGGCTGGGCGTGAGGCCCCGCGCCCGCTCGTCGCTGGCGCCCGGACAGATGGAGGGGAGTGACCACGGGGAGGAGTGACCCTCCCGCCTCCCCTCTCGCCGGGACGCTCAGCCCGCCTGCCCCGGCCGCCGGGGTCAGGAGGAGACGTGAGCCTCAGCCCGTCCTGGACAGGGACAGACCGCATGTGTCCAGGCGGCGGGTGGAGGCAGACAGTCGCAGCTCCGAGAGGCACAGACGGGCCGGGGAGCGAGGTCCCGAGGAAGCAGGCGGACGCAGAGCGCGCGGGCCCTGCCCCCGACCCGGCCGCCCCTGGCCCTGCCCCTGCCGCCCCAGCCCCGGGTCCCGGCGACCCCCGCCAGGCCCCCGCCTCGCTCACCACAGCGGATGGGCCACGGTGAAGCGCCGCTGCAGGCGGATGCTCTGGGTCACCAGGAGCTTCCTGAAGAGCCCGGGGGAGCCGCGCGGGGAGCCCCGGGGGGAGCCGGGCCCGGGGGCCGCGGCGGGCGCGGGGCAGCCCTGCATCGCCGAGACGGCCTGGAGGCTGGACCGCGCGGGCTGCGCGGGACCTTTTCTGGCCGGCCTCGGGGGCGGGGCCGGGGCCGGCCGGGAGGGGGCAGAGGGCGCGCCCGCCCCGCCCCGCCGCCTGAACGCTCTGGGACCTGCCCACCCAGGCGCATGGGGAAACTGAGGCACGGAGCCGTGTGCGTCTCTGCTCCCTCTCTTTGGGGGCGGCCACGTGGGAGCCAGAACTCATATCTTACGCCACTTCCCTCTGCCCACAGGCTCTGCGTGAGGGCAGCTTGCCTGGCCGGTGATTTGGCTGAAAAGAGTGAGATGAGGAAGTGGAAAAGGGAAGTGCCCTCCACGGTGAGAGGTCACCGCGCCGGAGTTTGCCCAGATCCCACACAGTGTTTCAGTCTCCCTCTGTCCATTTTCTAGATGGGGAAACTGAGGCCTGGAGCCACCAAGGGGCTGCCCAGAAACTACAAACCCTTCATCCTTTGCCAGGTGAGGAAACTGAGGCTTGGGGGCAGGCGGTGACAGGACAAGGCTTCACTCCAGGGCAGCGGGGCTGGGACCCAGCTCCCCTCCCCCGGTTCCTACAAGGCCCCGCCTGGCCCCCACACTCTCTGACATTGCCCAGGCCCTGTCTCTGGGTCCCCTCCCCTCTCCTGCTGTCTGTCTCCATCGGACAAACATCCGCACTCCACTCCCGCAGGCCTTCCGTTCTGTGGCGCCTCTGTGCCTCCCCCGCCCAGGAAGGACCCCACAGGGCCTGGAAAGGGAGGCCAGGCCTCTGGTGGCTGCGGCGCTTCGGGGGTCTGTACCAAGTGCTCTACCCTTGGGACGGGGTGGCCCGCGCCGTTCTACAGAAGAGGAAGCCAAGTCTCAAAGGGTGTCACACTCGGAGGCAGGACCCAGAGCACCCAGTCACGGGCAGAGGCAACGAGGCCCAGAGAGGCTGGGCCTCCCAGCTGAGGCCCCACAGCAGCTTGTGCCCTGGCTGTGAGATGACATCCCCATGCCCTGGGCCTTGCCTCAGGGGACTACATCAGTTTTGGGGTCTCCAGACAAATGACGCTCACATCTCTGGCACTCCTGGGAGAACATACAGTTCCAGACAGTCAGGCCTTCAATAAGGGAGCGTGAGGCGCCCCAGGGAGGAGAGCCTGCCTCTCCCCCGCCCACACTATTGTCCCCATTGTACAGACGAGAAAACAGGGCTCAGAGAAGGGGCCCAGGAGGACAGAGAGTCTCAGGGGTCTGGTTGGGAACTCCCTCCTGCCCGCACGGCTCTGCAACCGGACACCTGGTGGGAACCAGACTCGCTGTCCCTGAGACAAAAATACCATCTGTAGCTGCTGCGGCTGGGCCTAATTATAGCCAGTCCCCAGGGCATAGAGGCCACAGGCGCAGGCCTGGGGACACGGGCCAGGGTCCCAGGAGCCTGGACACCACCACAGTCCCATGGGGGGGGGGCTTGTAATGGTCTCACGTCCCCAAGGAGAAACTGAGGCACAGAGATTCAGTCCTTCCCCTGCAGGCACAGACACGAACTGGAAAGTTAAGACTGAAAACATCGATACAGACCGAGCCCGTTCTACTCGCCTGGCACTGAGCCAGCGTTGTACATGTAAAAGTTATCTGATTTTCAGAGCAACTTTATAAAGCGAGGACTCTTACACTCATTTTGTGGATGGGGAAACTGAGGCACAGAGAGATGTGTTCTCTTGCCCAAGGTCACACAGCTGTGACTGGTAGGGCCAGGGTCACTCAAGCCTAGGCTGGTGGGCTCCCCAGACTGTGCCCTCCCACCTAATGCTTAACTGGCGCCCTCGCCTGTGCCATCCCAGAGGCTACTCTGCCGTTAATGTTTATCAATAGTTTCAGGCCGGCCCCAGGGCCGAGTGGTTAAGTTCACGCACTCTGCTTCGGCGGCCCAGGGTTTCACTGGTTCGGATCCTGGGTGCGGACATGGCACCACTCATCAAGCCATGCTGAGGCGGTGTCCCACATGCCACAACTAGAAGGATCCACAACTAAAAATATACAACTATGTACTGGGGGGATTGGGGAGAAAAAGGCAGGGGAAAAGAAGTTTAAAAAGTAGTTTTAATATTAATGTTTCATTAATAGATTCAACTTTAAATATTTTATTAACAGTTTTAACAGTAGAGTGTTATTAATAGCTCTTTGGATGGAGAAATTGAGCCACAGAGCTGAGACAGCATTCGAAGCCTGGCCTGCCTGACCCTGGGAGGCCCCAAACCCGGCCAGGTAAGGGGCCAAGGTGCAAGGAGGGGTGCACACGAGGACCCCATCCTGACTTTGTCCCTGCACGCTGCATGACCTGAGGAGGTGCCGGCAGTCTCTAGTGCCCGTTAGCACATCACTGCCTCAATTTCCCCCATGTGAGTCCCTTCTCTGGGAACACACTTTTCTCCTCTGCCACCAGGTGGCCCCAGAGGGACAGGAGGTGGGTGCTGTTATGCCTATTTTACAGATCGGTAGACCAAGGCCTGGAGAGGACGGATGACTTGCCCAAGACCCTGTGGAGAGTCTAGGCAGAGAGAGAAGGGTGGGGGCTGAGCCACGAGTATAGATGCTCGCATGGGTCAGATGTTACCCTCTGCTCCAGAGCCTCCCGTGGCTCCCCATTGCCCTCACGTCCAAATCCACACCTCCCAGGAGGTCCCATGTGGCCTGATCCTTGCTGACCTCCCCCCCCACCTCTTCTTGGCTCACCTCGCTCTGCTCCAGCCTCATGCCCCCTTCTTGCTGTTCCTTGAACCAGCCAGGCGCATTCCCACCCCATGCCCTTGCTAGAAGGCTCTTCCCCTGCTGACTCTTCATTTTTCAGGTCACAGCTGGAGCATCACCCCCTCCAGGAAGCCCTCCCTGGTCAGCCAGATAAACGTTCTCGGAGCACCCTCCTCTCACCAGTACACTTTCACATTTACTGTCATGATTATTTGATCTGCATCTGTCTCACCCACCAGCCCCTTGAGGGCAAGAGCAAGTCTGCCTTGCTCCCAGCTGTGCCCTTAGTACCTGGCACTCAGAAAGTGCCCAATAAATGCTTGTGAAATGAATAGAGAATCTCTCCTCCCACCTTCCAGCCACATTGATCTGTGTTTAGCACCTCATGCACCTGGTCCCCTTGAGTCTGAAGCTTTGCACATTCTTTTCCTTCTATTTGGCATACCCTTCCCTGCACCCCCCTGACTAACTTCCTCCTTCAGGTTAAGCTTACATGCCACCTCTTCCAAGCAGCCCTCTCTCACCCCGTACCCCCCAAAGCTGGGTCAGAAGCCACCTCTGGGCTCCCACGGTGCCCTGATCTCTCCCCACACAGCACAGATCGCTGTGCTTTTCCCACCTGGTATAAGTATCTCCACCATCAGCCTACGAGCACCTGCTTGCCCATGGCTGTGTCCCCAGTACGGGGCCTGGCACACAGTAGGTGCTTAATATATGCTTGCTGAACTAGATGCTAGGACCTGCCCAGACCCATGTGATCTGCCTGGGTGGTGGGGAGGAGAACCATGGCTGAGGACTGCTCCAGCACAGAAAGCTCATGACAAAATGCAAAAAGTACGGATCTGTGTTTACATCTCACTGACGACTCAGAGGCTCAGGGAAGCACTGCCACTTGCCACTTGCTCGGGGCACATGGCAGGCAGGTTGGCCTCGAACCCAGCTTCCCTGAGGGCTGAGCGCCTCCCCCATGTCCGCGTATATATGTACGGGCAGGACACGCACACACACGTGCACGCTGTGCTCACAGGGACTCAATCTATCACTCCTGCCTTCCAGAGCCACGTGGGGTCTCCCCCCAGATGGGCCCAAACCAAGTCTCTGTTTGTTCTTTCTGGGTGATGGAAAATCATGAGTCACCCGGGGGGGAGGCAGGAGGAGCTGAGGGCTGGGGGTCAAGAGGCCTGCCGGGTCACCTGGGAACAGCTCCAAGCCCTGCAGGCCATGGGCCCATCTACCCCAGACACCGCCCCGGGCTGGAGGACCAGGCTGGGGGCGTTAGGCCAGGCTTGTCAATCAAGTAAGAAGCCAGTGGCCCCAGGAGGTCCGTGGACTAAAGTGGGAGAAAATCAAGATCCAGAGAGGAAAATGACTTGCCTGAAGTCACCCAGCCTGGCCTCAAACCCAGGACTCTAGGTCTGGCTTGCTGTGGCTCCTCCTCCCATCCAAGGAGGGCCTGGGGCTCCTGGACCCTGCTCCTGGCCCAGCAGTTGGAGACTGCCACCCCAGGCCCCTGTTTCTCTGGTGTCTGTCTCATCACACCCCTCCCCACCCCCCCTCGTTGATATGAAACAGGAGAAGCAGCTCCTGCCCACTTCCCCACCCACCCTTTCTTATGTGGAAGAAACATCCTTTGCTCAGGCTCCCCAAGAGGCTTCCCCTCCTCTGGCAGGGGACAGGGGGTGGGGCGAGGGGAGGTGGCAGGACATAAAGAAGGCTCCTCCCCCACTGCCAGGAACAGCCCTCTCTGGCCCTCTCACACACTCACCCCAAGGTCCTCTCAGATGCTTGCCGTGGCCACAAACACCTGAGGACACGCCAAGAGCTGGAAGACTCTTGGACACTCAACTGGGTCAGAGTAAGGACAGTCACGCCACATACTCACTGGCACCACAAGGCAAACACACAGGCATGTACACAACTGGTGTACACACACCTGAAAACATCTGGTCACCCACAGAGACAGCCGGCTGTGGACACACACAGCAGGTGAGAGCACACACGGGGTTGCAACTACTCAGACTCACACACACTCGGATGCAACCACCCCTGGGCACGGTGGGTCGCAAAGACCCATAGTCAATCACGACACCACCACCCTCCAACTCCACCCCACGTAAAAACAGCTTTTTCCTCCAAAGCGCCGGCCTCAGCCAAGCAGCACAGACACCCCGCCCTCTGGAGAAGCAAGGACCCTCCCCCACTCCCGCCAGGCCCCGCGCGCCCCTCCCCCACGACGCGGGAGGGCCTTGCCCCCGCCCACCTACCGCCTGTGGAAAGCGGTGGGCGAGGAGCGCCGCGACTTCTCGACCCCGGGCCGCGGGCTCCAGTCCGGCTCGCGGCCCGTGGACCTGTCCGGGTTTGAGTGGAAGCGCCGCTCGATGCGGACTGGGCGCCGGGGCTGCCGCCACAGGTGCTTCAGGGGTCTGGCTATGCCTTGGCGGCTGCAAGCGCGACTCAGCCCGCTGCATGCCTCCACTCTTTCTTGGAACCCCGGGGTCTCCATGCGCAGGAAGAGGGGAGCAAGGAGTGCAGGGGCGGGAGCCGTCCCCGGAGCGAGGAGTGTCTGCACCCGGGTCCGGCAAGGGCCGGCGGGTGGAGGCGACAGCGAGGAGCTGTCCGCGCCCGCGGTGCTGAGCTGAAGGGGAGAAGCAGAAATGCGCTCAAGGTGGGGCTGACCCCGAGGAGCTGTCCGGGCCTGGTGGTGCTGAAGGAAAGCGGAGGACAAAGAACTTGGAGGTAGGGGTTAGAGACGGGGGCTGGGGAGAAACCCGGCGCCGAGAATGATCTGCCGTCCTCCCTAGTGCTGAACGAAAGAGGGTCAAGACATGGGATGGAGCGGAGAAGATAGAAAGTGTCCTCCTGGTTGCTGCCGAATGGAGAGCAGGGAGGCAGGGTCTCGGCGCTCTCTCGCCTCCTGGTGCTGGAAGGGAAAAAGGTAGTAGATTCAGGGGCTTCGGGTGGATGAGACAGTGAGGTGGGTGAGGGTTCGTGACCTGTGGGTGCTTAAGGCAGGGCAGGGACACAGGTTCGGAAGCACCTCCAGACCAGGGCAGTGTCCGCCCAGGAGGTGCTGAAAGCTGAGCAGCAATGGATCCTCAACCTTCCCAAGTGACTGTAGCAAGGAGTCTGGAAGCAGAGGCAAGGGCTCTGGTCTTCAGAGGTAGGCATAGACGGCGGTCTCTCCACCAGCCTCAGAAAGGTAGGCTGAGCGGTTCAGCCCCAGATGGGGTCTCTCTGGAGTCCTAAAATCCCTGCTCACACAGGCAGGGATCTGAGAAGGACAGGAAAATGGGGAGGGCTGTGGCAGGGCTCTCCCATGCCTTGAGTCGGCACACGGAAGCTGCCTTTGGTCGGGGCTGCCAACACTGGGGATAGGTATAGAGGGGCACCCTTTTTTTTTTTTTTTTTTTTGAGGAAGATTATCCCTGAGCTAACATCTGCCACCAATCCTTTGCTTTTTGCTGAGGAAGACTGGCCCTGAGCTAACATCCATGCCCATCTTCCTCTACTTTATATGCGGGACACCTACCACAGCATGTACCATGCCGAAGTGGAATGTGCAAACTTAACCACTGTGCCACCAGGCCAGCCCCAGGGGTACCCTTTTATAGTCACACCAATGCCTAGATCCTCAGCGGAAATGGCGAGATACCATTCACCTCGTGATGTCCCAGGCCCCAGCTCACAGCCACGATTCCTGCCCTCCAATCCCAGGCCTGCCCCTCTCTTTCCCAGTTCTAGAAACTCAAGGCCCTGCCCACCAGGCATCCTAACCGCAGGGGTAATTTCCTGGGAAGCGGCAAAGGGAGGGAGGACATTTCTGTCATGCTAACGGAAGTAGACATGGATAAGAGCAGGGCTGGGTGGGTGGCTGTGGGCTCTAACCTGGGGCAGGAAGGCATTTGGGGCCACTTGGGGCAGCAGATTTGGGGTTAGGAGGAGGCCCAATCTTTTCAGAGGGCTCAGAAGGATATTTCTCATGGAGACTGTCTACCTTCTACCCCAGTCATCTCCCCAGGATGGAGAAATGGAAAATGTGTGGGGCCAGGGAGTCAGACAAACTGAGTCTGTCAAGCCCCAGGACTGCCACGTCTTGCTGGATGATGCAAAACCAATGATGCCTCTCTGACCTTTCCTCCTATGGCTCAGTCCCTGCCCTCCAAAACTGAGAGTGGACGACAACTGGGCCCAGAGGAGGGGCTGGAGTCCTGCCACTGGCCGGCTGTCATGTCCCCTCCCCAAGCCTGCTTTCTATTCTAGCAAATAGGGATAGTGAAGGTGTACCCACCTCTTGGCATCATTGCAAGGATGAAAAGAGTTGTCACATGTGAAGGGTCGAAGGCCAGGAGCTGTCCACACCAGTCCTCCCTCCCTTTTACCCCCTCTGGTGTCCACCAATGCCTGGTGTGTCCACTTCACAAACAACTTCTGAATCTGCTTGCTCCTCTCTGGCCCATAGCTCCTGCCCAGAGCTGCCCAGGTCCCCTTATTGCCTCCCGCTGCTTCCCCCCACTGCCCTGTCAGTTCTCCCCACAGCAGCCACAGAGAATTGTTTTAAGTGCCAATATGATCAACTCACTTTCTTGAGAACCTGCCAGTGGCTCCCCATTGCACCCTATGAGTTTTACGTGGCCCAGCCCCTGCCCACTTCCCCAGGCTCCGCTCTCACCCTCCAGCCACAGTGATCTGTGTTCAGCTCCTCGTACATCTGATCCTCTTGAGTCTGAGGCTTTGCACATTCTGTTCCTTCTAATTGGCATACACTTGCCTGTGCTCTTCCTGGCTGACTTCTCTTCATCTTTCGGGCTAAGCTTACATGCCATTTCTTCCAAGCCATCCTTCCTCACCCCGTACCCCCCAATGCTGGGCCAGAAGTCTCCTCTGGGCTCCCACAGTGCCCAGATCTCTCCCCACACAGCACAGATCACTGTGCTGTCTCCAGCCGATATGAGTCTGTCTCCACCATCAGACAGACTGGTGACGTGTCCCCAGTACAGGGCCTTCCCCATGGCTCTGTCCCCAGTTCAGGGCCTGGCACATAGTAGGTGTTTAATAATGCTTTCTGAACAAGTTTAAAAAAGGTTCAGCTAGACGAGGCACTCTCCCTCTCCTGGGACCAGCTCCCTCAATCCCCATCTGCTTCCTCACCTGCCTGGGGCTGGGCTGTGGCTTTGCTCTGCCCCTTGAGCCTCGATGGTGAATGCCACACAGGTGCTTGCCTCGACCTCTCCAGGGGTCCCAAGCTGGCTGGACAGCCGTGGCAGAAGAGGGGTCCCTGAGAAGTACTTCCAGATGACACCACTGTCAGGAGCTCCTGGGGGCCAGGCCAGGG